AGAAGTCGTGATTTAGGTCTGCGGTTGTTACTGGAGGCATTCGGTTTCTCAGCACAATTGGGCTTGAGAAAGGGAACGAGGAAGCTTCGAGCTAATTGTTAGGCCCAAGCGTCACGTGGACTGATACACATGATAAACAGATGTTCCCTCGCACTTCGGGGAATCACCTGAGTTCACTTATATGTATATCCGAATGGTGTGACTCAAGGTCAGAAGTAGACTCGAGGTAGAATGGTGTGAATAAACTTTAGCTCGAAGCTGGGGTATTCCAGCGAGAGCTGCCGTCCTTAAATACTGTACAGTTGTCCGCTAATTATACTACTGCTTATTATGTATGTCTGCATCCATTGTGCTCGTTGTCCTGGAGCATCGCTATTGTACATAAAAGGTCGATTGTATCGTCGAGCACGACCGTCACTATGTTTTGATGGGAGTTCTAGTTGTGCTGACTAAGCTTCCCATGGTCTCGTGTCTGACTCAGCATAAAAAGGAAAGAAAAAGGAAAGAAAAAGGAATAAATCGTAACAAGATCAGAAATGGTTTTGAGATATGGTGGTAGTCCTCATTTCATATATTCAACCATTCAGCCGGTATCAGCTATGTCCTCTCATACTCTGGCGAGTTTGCTGAGTCATTCTAACTTGTCAAAGTAGTCTGTAGCCACCTTGTCACCCATCTTGTAGTCCTTCATCTTCTGCTTGTGGACTTTCTGGATGGCTGGATCCATGAACTTATCTTGGATCATTTGTTTAAATACCAGCCATGAGGGATATCGATGATATTGGCATATATTTGATCAGAAGGCAGAGGCAAGAAGCACCCACTATACCTTCACTTTATTCTCCAGATAAGTCAAGGCATATGTCACCTTGTACATATTGAGTAGGAAGTACAAGGTGAAGACCTGAAAATATTAGTTGCAATCTATAAGGAATCGATCGATGTTATCTGAAGCCTTCTTAAAGGGGAGTGGGTCTCGTACCAAGGTTGGTGTGACCTTTAAGATTTATGCTCCTGCAGCAATAGAAGGCATCGGGTTCAGGGATGCACTGCTAGGCAGGCCCACCCATCCTTTTGGTGGGTCTGAGAATGAATGGAGAGATCTGTCATCAGCTATAGGACTTCCCAGTGGAGGGGATTTTTTTCACATGATCTGTCTATTCTGGATGGTTCAGCCCTGGGCTGTGGTGTCAGGGTTATCTCTTTCTGGAGCAATGGGAGCTGCTCCACTACCCTCAGCCTCATCAGACAGCAGTTGTCTGGCAAATGGTCACTAGACCAGAAACCTCCAGGGGTTTAGAAAATAGCTACTCAGCTTGGGTTGATATTGAGCAAGCCAAGATGCTGAGCTGCGTATTGCTGATGTGGCATACGAATATCATGAGGTTGCCGAATGGGTTGATGGTGCTGTATATGCTGATTTGGGTGGCATTATACTTGGCATCCAAGATTTGGGTGCCTCTCTTCTGCTATTCTTTGGCTTGTATAGCAGTAACGGTCCCATCTGATAATGTAAATATCTTTGATTAAAATTAAAAATGGCTTGCTCCATGACCATATATTGTAAAATTTCCTCTTGCTTGACAGAGTCAGCAAGAGTATACCTTTGTCTCAGGGATGACCATAACCAAAGGTCATCTCTCCATAATTCAGCTATCTGCTCCTGATACAACCGAATGAATTTATCTTCTCATGTCTTCTGTTCTTTCTGTCGTAATACCTCCTCCATCAGTGGGGGTTCAATCTTTTCCCTCCATTCCGCAAGAGAATCCCTGGCTTCTCCACCAAGGTCCTCCTCCTTGGCCTTGTCATCTGTATCGGTCATTTCCTCTTTCTCATGGAGGGAACTGTCGAGCAGGCTGAAGATCTCCAGAGTGGCCAGACTGAGGCTGAGTGCTGGGACCGGCATCATCAGGTCTGAGTCAAGGAGTAGGCTGCTGCTCAGGCTGCTCTGTTAGCTCCTCGATGCTCATTGCTATTCTTGCCACTATTGCTCAGTGATACTGACAGAAGTTTCAATAGAATCTGGGATGGAGGAAGAGAGTAGCAAAGTTCCTATCCAGGAACTGCTGGATATCACCTGTGAGATCGATATGTTCATCATCCCCTCTCACTGTCCCTTGATCTGATGGTATCCTTCCTTGGGCAGAGATATTGTCTGTGTCTGCAATGGTATCGGTCCCATAAGATAATGGGCAGTCGTTCCCAAGATCTGCCACCCCCTGGAAGTAGTAGTCATCAGCATGAACAACTCCTGCAACTGATTCTGTCCAGGAGTTGGGCTCTGTGGTGGGAGTGGCAGGTTTCTGGAATGGAGGGTTGGAAGTGCTGTTGGTGGTGGTTCCAATGAGTGTATCAGTGAGCCAGGAGCTTCCAGAGCCCCTCCTCCTATCTCAAGCACAGAGATATCACCCAAAGAGGGCATTTTCTCATGTGGCCTGATGCCTGATTTGTGTCTGCTCTTTGACATACTCAGTGAGGAATTGGGGGTGTTGTATGTCACCCTCTGTGATGACTGGAGTGATATCCAGGAGGGGTTGTACTGGTCGCAGTACCTCTGAATGTGATCCTGCTCGGCCTGCCATTCGGCCTCCTTCTCCTCGTTCCAGTCTGCTGGCCTCTTGGGCTGCCTCCCTCTAATACTGGAGCTCATTTCTGTCATTGTCATCAAAGAATGGGTCAGAACTACTGACTCTTGTTCCCTGACTTGGGCTCCTTCCTTTTTTTGATGGGGTTTGTCAAGGTCCTCACTCTGTGGAACCTCTGGAGCCTGAAGCCATCTGTATGGCCTCCAGGGAGTCTCTAGCATGGTGCCCAATGCTGGGCTCAGAGTTGGTGGTTGTGGTTCTTGATGGGTGAACATAGTGCTCAAGGGATGGGATGGGGGTGTTGGGTTGGGGTCATTAAAACCCTGTAGCTCAAGGGTTTGTAGGGTCTCTGATGATTGCCGATGGGGGTCTTGGAGGATATGTGTGCTACTGGTGCTGCTCTGTTTCTTCCCTAGGATGTTCTTCAATCAAGCTCCCAGGGACATCTTTAGGATCAGCTCCTTTGGGATGGAAGGTCTGTCAGACAGAGGCAGAGATGTCATGGAGAGGGAGGTCTGGTGTGACATTTCAGAGAATGGTCCAGATACATTGGAATTCGTGATAATATCAAATAGCCCAGGCAGTTATTGATTGATGTCCATGGCACAGCTATATGATCACCAATAAGCCTATCAAGATTCCAATGATAGAAGCCAAGAGTTTGAAGAACTCATGGGTAAAATTTGGATCAGAAGGATTTAGTGCAGGGGGCATTCAGTTCCTCAGCACAATTGGGCTTGAGAAAGAGAATAATAAGCATTAAGCTAATTGTTAAGCCTAAATTCCATATGACTATTAACACATGATAAACAGTTTAGAACCTCGCACTTCAGATTAGACTGACTGAGTTCACAAGGTAATAGCAGTAGTGGTTCAAGGCATGGCAAGAAGCTTGAGCTCAAGAGTGGATGGTGAAGAATAAACTTTAGCTTAACACTGGAACTACTTCAGCAAAAATAGTGCTACTTAAATACTGTTCTGTTATCTAGCTATTAATAACTGTTCACAAAAGATATTGTTCTGCTGTAGAGCTGTTACCTCTGCTGTTGCCAGGCTCTCCACAAAGGCTGTTGTCTTGCTGTTATGCTGTTACTGCTGCACCACAGTTGGAGAACAAAAAGAGTATTATCTCTCTCTTCACAGCACACAGCAGCATGATAAGACAATGACTGACTGGGTTGCTGAGCTAAGCATTCCCATGGTTCTAAGCACTGGCCTAAGTGCCCTAACTAAGCAAGGATAGGGGTCATTTCTGAAGGAAAAGGAAAAGAAAATAGGAAAAATCGTAACAGATTCCTAGTGCATTGATCTTTGTGCTCAAGATTTAACATATCACCACCCTTTTTTTTCCAAACTTGTAACTCCTATATACATCAATGTTTTTGGGTTTTCAATATACACTTTGATTTGTTCCATTTATGTTATAATGGTTCTTGGGTGTATGGTTTGCTGGAACCATATGCATATGTTCTGATCCATCTGAAACAAGCTGATGAGCTGCATAGAGAATATTGACTTAACATGACATCTCACCAATGCCAACACCATCAGCAGCCAATGAGCTCTAGATAACAGGAAAGGAACTACCAGCTATTGAGCTTGTGACAAAGAAATAGATGAAGGCATGATTGTCCTCCTTCAGCATCTCACCTGTTACCAATGCCACAACAATTTAGTTGCTGAGTGGTTTTGGCCTCCCAACATTTAGGAGTCAGCATTGGGCACTGGGAGTGACTTTCAGTTGACCTGACAACTGGCAACTGCAGAGTAACAATCAGCCACAGCACTTGCAAAAGACACCCCCTTTTGTCTATGCATGTCATCTATCATAAGATCACTTTCCTTCTAAGATCACCTCTCTTGAGCTCCCCACCCTATCACTCCATTAGCCACCATATGTCCTTCTTGCCTCAACATATCGGACAGGACCATTTCTGCATCAAGGAGGCCAATCAACAGCAGTGTTATAGGAGAATGTCAATGGGACTTTGTGATCACATGCATATCAAGACAGGTGGAGTGAAGCCTCAACAACAGCCCTCCAGTTTCTATGCTTGCCAGCATTAATACAGTCCAGCCATCGACGCCATTGAAGATGGAGGCCTCTATCAGAAGGACTGGTGAGATGAAGACAAAGTTCGCAGGCTCTTGAAAGCATCAATGATGCGATTCCATAAGCAAACTTTTTGAATTCATGCGAGTATGAACTATCCAGGGCTCTTTCAAAGGCCACCCTCCTGCTGTTAGCTTCTGCCTATTTTAAAATTATCTATGCTCTCGGTCTGATGCAGGTCTCTTCCGTCAGAGGGGTGGTGCATTCTATTTTTTAATATAGGTTTCACACCTTGCGCCTTTAGGCTTTGACTCGAAAGTACGAACCTTGTACACCAATAGCAGTGAACACTAGCAATAACTGAATCAAGTCCGGTACCCGATATAATCTACACTAAAACTCTCTATGCCTAAGTCTTTCCTGGCTTATAATCAACAGAACTGATATCGATAGATGATGTATGAGCCAAGAACAAGCTCTTATCATTTCTCTACGTAAGATTAGGTCGCTATCGACTTTGAAAGATCTCGTCATCCATCTAGAGGAACACTAGAATTAATGAAGCAGAAAATATGGCAGATGGTACGAGTATTATGAGTCTACTTCTGCTAACAACCAGCTTAGTGCTGCTTCAGAGATGCGCAATGACCTGTAAACGACCAGCTCGAACAGTAGAAGTTCGGGCCTGTAAAGCGCGAAACGCGAGATCATAATGATAATATGGAAAATCATTACGATGGACATCATGCGAGCAGCACTGGTGATGATTAATGCGGCTCCAACGAGGATACTCCTGGTGAAACATCCCATGAACCTGTACAGTATATCTGACGTCGGAAGCCAGATATCGACTCGGAGCTGCATAAGCAAGGCGCAGAAGACTAGCGCCACGAGTAGCTTCGTGAGATTAACTCGATAGAATTTCCCTGGAAAGAAGACATAGGTAATGGGTGGAGCCACACGTATGGAGTGAGGCTCTACGTACTGATTTCATCCCAGTAGACGTATGTAATAATAGACATGACGAATGTGCAAACCACGGTGATTCGCAGGGAGATTAGCAGTTCTGTGCTGACTAAAGCTGAATGAGCGATCGCACCACGCTGAGGAAGCTCGAAACATACTCATGTTTGTCAGTGGGGGTGAGTGTAAAGAAGCGGGCCAGGTTTTCTATTGATCGAGCAATGGCATAAAGCGCGCACTGTATGGTGGGAAGGACACACCTGTCCGCCAATCGGGGACCCTTTACATTCCATAAAGAAGGGGATCATCGGGTTTTTGTCAGAATAAACGCCGGACTGCGGTGGGGCGTCTGTAGGACTGAAACCCTTTGGTATGCATCTCCTCGATGTCATCTTACGTTTCTTTTCATTATTTAGGCAGAGTATATTTACCGTGAGCTGTCAAAGAACCTTCTAAGATCATCTAAAAATAATGAATAGTAGGGAGATCTAACTTCGAAATGCATGGTAGGAGCTTCTCGCAGGATTGAACTGTTTCTTGTGGCTCCTTGTCTGCCAAATACCAGTAGATATCTTAGTTAGAAGGTGACACTATATGGGGTAGCTTTGGGGCTGAATCGCGCATTCCGAAGAGGTATAGTGGTCTGTGGCAGATGAGCGTAACTGAGTCCTGTACCGTTGGAACTTGGCAACCTTGTGGAGTACAATGACTTCCACATCATGATGCAAGCCTAGCCGACCTTGAAAAATGGGAGAAAATAGACGTGAAAAACATCATATGTCGTTGGTGATAGCAAGTGATGGGAGGGAAGACGGCTAACGACTCGGAAGACACGAAAGAGTCTAAACATGTGACCGTGACACTCCGGCGAGTTTAATAAAAGCCGAGGCTCCGTCGGACAGCAGTGCTCAGCACGTTGTGGCTTCTCTCCTCTCCGCCGTGACCGTCAGTTCTGGCTGCCTGGCGACCGCAGCGTATCTTAAAAGGCCTTATCTATGCTTACGCTCCAGTCCTCTCTCTCTGAAGAGCGTAAAGATACTGTTTTTCTACCCTCAATGTGGGGCTTCGCCTGGCTGGAATGTGGGGGATCTTTCGAGCCAAGCACATGCGCTGGTAATGACACTTCAAGCATCATGGCTGTTATTGGTTCCCCAGGCATAAAATGTCGGTATGCTAATGGGTACGCTCCTGTCTCTTGTTCACGGATATCCCTATAACATCACCCAGGTACTATTGGCACGCATGGAACAGCCCTGTCCCTTAGCCATGAGTATCAGTTCGATGGATTGGAACACCCCCACCGAAATGAGATCATAACAGAAACCACATCTTTGACTGATTCGTTGCGACTCCATCCATAATTGAACGGGTCGTTGAAACCAAGCATTTTGTCCTTGCTGGGAGTTCGAAGAGAGAACAGAAAGGAAAGGAAAGTTCCGTTGTTCAGGCCAACTGATGGTGAGCATGACCGCCTCTTCAATGTTTCCAGCTCATGGCAATATGCAGGTCTACCGCATCTCGTTGTAGGGTATCCGCAGGTGGAAATCACATTTCGATCCGCTTTTATCATGACATCAGCATCTTGAGCTGCGTGGACATACCTGTCCCAGAAATGGATGCATGCATGGCTGCAATGACGATATTGGTCACACCGAAACGGAACTTCTCAAGCACGTCTTGTAAGCAATCGAGCTTCTTCCTTGTCGGCTTCATATATCTACATGCACCTAGGACACAACCTATCTTCTACGGGAATAGTCATATCCGAATTGCTGTACCCGACACGGACTCGGCTTGATACTTCTTACCCAGACATTCATGTAACCTGGACATTCCACGGTTGTGTTCGCGCAGTATACAAAGATACAAGAACCTGGATCATATGGTACACAGACGTTCCTAATGTTCCGAACAATTATTTGGATCCCTTCCCAACTCGTCCATTTGGATACATTAGATTCCCGACTAATGAAGGCGTTTGCAGAGATGCTGGCGCGCAGGGATAGATGCAGATCAATGGACTGACATGGTTCCGACGGGTATAATTGTCCTGGCACCACCTGGTTCTCCGAAGATATGACAAAGCAATCGCCGAAATATCGGGAAATGACTGTCATCTTTCGTAAGACGTTTTAATACTACCATCCCATATAACCCGGGCTAACGTAGCTTCTATAGAACATAATAATGTCCGCGTTGATCACACTATACGACATGCCGACCAAAGATCCCGATGCACCCGGCTCATCGACGACGTGGCGTACGAGGTATGTTCCCAGGTCCCCGATCCGGAATGTAGGCACTGATCAATGTCCATCAGGTATTCCCTCAGCATCAAGAACCTGGAATTCCAAGTCGTCTGGGTCGAGCTTCCCGATGTTGAGGCTCTAGCAATACGTATCGGAGCTCCTCCCACTGGTGTCAAGCCAGATGGGAAGACGCCACTCTACACTATACCCATCATCCAGGATCCATCTACTGGTGCCGTGATATCAGAGTCTGCCGCTATCGCAGAATACCTCGACAAAACTTACCCCACCTCCGGGCCTATGCTCATTCCTGTAGGCACGAAGGTTCTGCAACTCGCGTTCCGTGAAGGCGTAGCGGAGAGCTTCGTTCCGACGCGTCCGTTCTTCTGGGGCGGCGAAATATTGAACGATCCGACGAAACTATACTTGATTAAGAGACTGGAGGGGTTGGGAGTAGTCGTGAAGGTCCCAGAGGGAGAGGAGAGGGAGAAGCAGTGGGCGAAAGTACAGGCGGGACTAAGCAAGATTGACAAATGGCTCCCGAAGGAAGGCTTCGAATTCGTTATGGGGAGCGAACCATCCTTTGCGGATGTTGTTCTGTGTGCATTTCTGAGGTTTACGAGGGGTATCCTTGGAAGGGAGAGCCAGGAATGGAAGGAAATGGCGAATTGGCATGATGGGAGGTGGGGAAAATTAATGGACAGGTTTAGTCGGTATGAGTGAAAATGGAACCCTAACCCTAGCATCTATTACGCCTGATGTCAATTTTAATGCGCTTGAACATTTCCGAACCTCAGCCGTGTTCGAGTACCGAGGTGGCCTTAATGAATACGCGAGCAGACGGACTCTGTCATGCTTCAAATTTAATCATATCTTGATCTTGTCTGCACAGAGAAGTGTAAGTCAGTCCAAGGCTTTTAACAACGCCCATGGATTATTACTAAGAAGATTGCGCAGATTGCTCGTTGAGATTTTTCTTGCTTGCCAGACTCGTACTAGGCTTGGTCGTCTTCTTTCGTCGACGATAGCCATAGTAGAAGAGAAGGACATCAAGAACGACTACAGGTTGCCGGCGGCATAAAATCGGAACAAACACAGGTTCTTCTGATCATGTACGTTATTCTAACGTTTTTAGGCCGCCTTTCTTCACATCATTTTTAGAGTGAACCTTTACGCACTCTTCAAGATATTCGTTATAGGCAACTACGCTGCATGACTGTCGTGACGAAGCAGTGATCTAGGGACATCATTGGTTCTTGCCAACTGCGATTTCGCACCTCCCGAGCTACATTACAAAACGCCTGAATAATTCCCTGAAAAACCGGGAAATGAATCAGACAATTAGTAAGTAATAGAATTCTCTCTTACATGTTGAATAGTCCACTCGAGTATAAAAAACTGACCTACGCGTCTCTGTAGAATCGATACAACAAGATGTCTTCCAAGCTAATCACCCTGTACGACATTCCAACCAAGCTTCCTGACTCTCCGGGGTCTCCAACGACGTGGCGAGCGAGGTACGTGTACATCGATATTCCAGTGGGGCACTCTAACCCGTACGGTCATAGGTATTCTCTAAATATGAAAAACCTCCCATACCAAACTGTTTATGTCGAACTCCCCGACATCGAAGCCCTCGCCAAACGGATTGGTGCTGCTCCTACTAGCACCAAACAAGACGGAGTCACACCCTTGTACACGGTGCCCATCATCCAGGACCACGCCACTGGCGCCGTCGTATCAGAGTCTGCTGCTATCGCAGCATATCTCGACAAAACATATCCTTCTGGACTTACACTTGTCCCTGCCGGAACAATGCCACTACAGCTCGCGTTTCGCGACGCGGTGTCTGACGTACTATTTGGTCCATTTCGCGGGTTCGTGATCGAAGGCATCATGCCAAAGTTGACCGATAGGACGGCAGAGTATTGGAAGGGTAAGTTTGTGAAGCAGGGGGGGAACCTTGAGGACTTGTTTGATGGGGACAAGGTGAAGGCGTGGGAGAAGGCCATGGCCAGTTTGAGGACACTCGACAAGTGGTTCGAAGGGAACGAGGGGCCATTTATTATGGGGAATGAACCGTGTTTTGCGGATGCTGTTCTTGCAGGGTTTCTGAGGCACTCTCAGATGGCTTTGGGGAAGGACAGTAAGGAGTGGAAAGATGTTGGCAGCTGGAACGGAGGGAAGTGGGTGAAGTACCTGGATAGCTTTTCGCCATACGAAGCTATTCTTTGATATTATTGTTCTCAGTTTCATAGTACTCGTTCGTGTCCTGTAAAAGGTTGTGTAAATCCAGTAACCGTGGCTCTACTAAAGTTGAGGAATGAATTAAACAGAACAATATCAGAGTTACATGTAAGAGAGCTTGATGAGGACGAATGAGACGGCAACGTTGAGACCATTGACTAAGCCGGACTCCGGCCCAATAAGCAAACCAATTCATGCTTCACTCAATTATATCTTGATCTTGTCTGCACAGAGAAATATCACTCAGTCCGAGCTTCAATGTAACAATGTCCAGGAAAATACACAGATTGCTCGTTGATGGCCAGTTTCTGAGGAACCGCACATGGTCCCGAACTTGACATTTTTCTGTACTTGCTGGACTCGCACTAGACTTGGCTCTGTTCTTTCGTGACGATAACCATAGTAGAGAGGACATCAAGAACATGACTACAAATTCCCGGAAGCGTCAACATCCACACAAGTGCTTCTGATCATGATGTACGTCATTCTAACGCTTTTAGGCCGCCTTTGTTCACGTCATTTTCTACAGTGAACCTTTAAGTACTCTTCAAGATATTTGTTATAGCCAATTACGCTGCATGGCTGTCGTGAAGCAATGATCTAAGGACGTCGTTGGGTCTTTCCAACTGCGTTTTCGCACCTCCCGAAACGCCTGGGTAATTCCCTGAAAGCACGGAAATGAATCAGACGCTTAGTAAGAAATAGAATTCTCTCGGGCCCGTTGAATAGTCTTCTCGAGTATAAAAATCTGACCCACGCGTCTCCGTAGAATCGACGCAGCAAGATGTCTACCAAGCTAATCCAAGTGACCCTGTACGATATTCCAAACAAGCTTCCGGACTCTCCAGGGTCTGCAAATACGTGGCGAACGAGGTGCGTGTACGCGTTGTATATCGTATATCAATATGCCTAACAACGTACGGTCATAGATATTCCCTAAATATGAAAAAAGTACCATATCAAACTGTTTATGTCGAACTTCCCGACGTCGAAGCCCTCGCCAAGCAGATTGGTGCTGCTCCTACTGGCACCAGACACGACGGAGTCACGCCCTTGTACACGGTGCCCATCATCCAGGACCACGCCACTGGCGCCGTCGTATCAGAGTCTGCTGCTATCGCAGCATATCTCGACAAAACATATCCTTCTGGACCTACACTTGTCCCTGCCGGAACAATGCCACTACAGCTCGCGTTCCGCGACGCGGTGTCTGACGTACTATTTGGTCCATTTCGCGGGTTCGTGATCGAAGGTATCATGCCAAAGTTGACCGATAGGACGGCAGAGTATTGGAAGGGTAGGTTAGCGAGGCAGGGGGTGAGCCTTGAGGCCTTGTTTGATGGGGACAAGGTAAAGGCGTGGGAGAAGGCCATGGCTAGTTTGAGGACACTCGACAAGTGGTTCGAAGGGAACGAGGGGCCATTTATTATGGGGAGTGAGCCGTGTTTTGCGGATGCTGTTCTCGCAGCGTTTCTGAGGCACTGTCGGATGGCTTTGGGGAAAGACAGTAAGGAGTGGAGAGATGTTGGCAGCTGGAATGGAGGGAAGTGGGTGAAGTACCTGGATAGCTTTTTGCCATACGAAGCTATTCTTTGATATTATTGTTCTCGGTTTCATAGTACTCGTTCGTGTCCTGTAAAAGGTTGTGTAAATCCATTAACCGTGGTCTACTAAGGTTGGGCAAATGATTGGAACAAGACGAGCTCTTCATCGGGATTATTACAATTTGGCACATCTCCTTTGGTTATGCATGTAAGAGAGCTTGATGAGGACGAATGAAACGGAAATGTTAAGATCATTGACTACATTCCCATATATCGAGAAATATCACACTGGGAATGAGGCAGCATTCTCTTCCTCTCGTCCCCCACAGGACTGCCTTGTCACGTCTCCCGCTACCATTGTTCGCTTTCCATCCTCAGGCTCCCACTGCCACTGCCACCAGTATAGTCAAGACATGCTACTTACTCCCCCAGATTCTGATGCTGGCTCGTCATTGAGAAGTAACGTTCCATAGACCCTTCCAGATAATCTATATTTAGGCATTCCGGAGCGTCGGCTTGCGAGGCGCGTTTCGAACTTGTGACTTGCAACCACTTGCCGAGTACTACGCGTCACCGTGGCTTGGGCCCCTATTACTGGCGCCTTGTGTCATATCTACCCGGTCTAGGTATCCTTTTAAAAGTGACCGGCTGCCCAGTGTTAATTCGTCATCATTATACCACACTCGTCTCTCTTCGTCTAAAAGACGGGAAAAAAAATCAGCAAATATGATCCTAACGAGCACTTACGTGATCCCTCCCTTGCATGGGCCATGGCTTTCTCTCCGTGGGGCTCGGGCACCGAGTTTAGGGTGGAAATAGAGGCCATTTACTGAACCCCTCGTGTGAGTTTTTGATTCCGTAAGCCGTTTTTTTGGACACGAGAATTTCGGGGGAAAGCTAAACTTGGAAAAAATTTTATCAATGTCCCTAAACGAACGACGACCTTTACTCTGTGCCCTCGCGTTGTATTGGCTCCGCAAGGTTTTGAGTCCAAAAAAACCGACCTTTTAAGAGAGATAAGAAAAATCTTGTATGCTGTTCTCGCCGGATTTTACAACACGGTTACTGGATCTACACAACACATATTACAGGACACGAACAATCCAAGTCCTTCATTCGGTAGATGCTGAGGATCCTTCTTCACAGTATGGTTCTTTCTTACAATTAACTCAGCACCCCAGTAACGTCCTTCCACTCATCCAAAACTTTCACCATTTTCTCGCACTTGCTCCTTATCGCCACGTCGCCGCCAGGTCCCAAGACGAGATATGTCGGCCATTCCCTGCCCTTCGCCTTACCGTCCCCCCTTACAACGTCTACGACGACATCCACTGCCAAATCGGCGTCACCGGTGCACCAGCCCCCCTCGAAGAACCCTATAGCATGGTGACGCGTGTGGTCGTAATCCGATATGAGGTTGTCGATATACAAAGGCTGAGAGAGTATGTGCTCCGTGACGAGCGCGGCGGGCTCGACGATGAGCACACGAATACCTAGAGGCGCGACTTCGGTAGCTAACGTCTCGCTGAAGACTTGAGGAAAAGATATCAGCGTCTTCGTTTTTTTTATATGTACAGTAAATGCATACATACCGCGGACCGCCGCTTTGGAGGCGGAATATGGAGCTGAAATTCATGCTCGTAAGCAACTCCTGGGTTACTGTTAAATGGTTATACGTGCCTGTCATCTACAACGAGAATCATATCAGCCGAAAGAGTACAGAAATAGTATGCGACATACCGGAACTCTTTCCGGTACCCACGAGGACCGGCTACCGATTTGCACAATTGTTCCCGACCTTTGGGTCCGCATCGCAGGAAGCACTGCAGTCGTCACGTCGATGACACCAAATACGTTGGTCTCGAATTGCTGCCTGAAGATGTCAGACCTGCGGACATGAATCAGTCAGTTCCAGGAGCACTGTCCCTGTGGACCAGCGCAGCGCGGCTCACCCTCCCTCTTCGAAGATGGACTTGACGCCGATCCCTGCATTGTTGACACAGACGTCGATACGGCCCCATATGGCGACGGCCTGGTCGACAACAGACTTGATCGCTTGATAGCTACTCGTCACGTCGAGTTCCAGGGTTCGTAAGCGGTTTGTGGATGGAAAGAGCCCATCAAGTTTGGAGAGAGCACGCGCTGTAGCGATAACCCTGTCCCCGCGAGCGAGAGCTGAGAGGACGAAGCGTTTGCCAAGGCCAGATGATGTACCTGACACAAGGGTTGTTAGTAAGGTGTGAGATGAGTAGATGACATATACCTGTGATGAACCACACGAGAGACGAGGAAGGCATTTTCAAGATCAATCTTGAAATGATTCCCTGCCATCATCTCATATATACGTCAGAACCGGAAGAAGGCAATGGCCGTCCGCTCATGATATGACGACCAGGTTCTGGGAAAATCGTTATTTTGGGCGCGAATGCTGAGATGGTACAAGTGGAACCCCTGATTTACAACCGGCCCCGGCGTTTCATCATGAACAGGGCTTTGCAGATCTGGGCCTGGGATTCAGGAGTTCATGGATGCTGTTCGAGTTTATGGTAATTAAGACTATTCCGAGATACCCTTTGGGGCGCGTCAAGTTCCCAAAACTCCCGTTTATGATCAGTGGACCTCAAACTCAACATGAGGAACGAACGGTTCAAGTTGGAGCCTAGCCAAGCTAAGCTAATAGGGTATTTTTTTACGCTCTCCATATTAATAGCGATGTCCGCGGCCTTCGTATAGTCTCTCTAGCCAATTTTTCACTTGCTCCTCATTCTGCAGGGCTCGGTTTTCGCGTCCCCACACCCAACTGCACCCTCGCTAGCCATAGTTGGTTGGTTCATTTGTCTGCCGCAAGGCACCTCCAAAATACGGAGTACCTTGGTCACTCGCTCTGCTCGCTCAATCCAGGGCGATCTAGTATCTTCCCCTTCTATCTGTACCTGTCCCACCTAGCTTGGGTCCTAGACCTGTAACCGGTCGTCTTCCATATATGGGAGCAAGCTCACAATATATTCTGACCCTTCGAAAGCGTATTGGTCCAAGTAATGAATGCCAGAAAATCTGCGCATAGTTGAGCAGGGTAACCGCACCGCACCGCACCGCACCGATGTTCACGGGACTTGAGCTTGACGACTTTGGATTCCACCGTCGTTTCCTTGTGGATATTCGCATCCACATCCGTCTGGAGACGCGGCATGACGGAATTTGGAGTTGCGGCCACTATTGATTTCCGCAGCACACGTTGAGCGCCAGCGTAACATGTCTTGTGGGCACTTAGGTACTCGTCGGCCCGAATCTCGCGCGCTGATATTGTTAATAACACTAACCCCAAGCAACGATCTCCAAGTCGTATCCTCTATCAAATCACATACTTAACCCCAAATGTCCACCTTTAAAGCCTGTGCTTCATTCAGCCTGCGGATCCCCTCACGGCACTTTCGACGCTAGAAAAAATGGACGGCATCCGAGTTGATTGTCAACTTGGATGCCACCCGCTCAAGCTCTGCCTGTCTCGCTGGGAAGACTGGGACAAAAAATGGCGAATAGCCAGCTGATAGTGTAAAGGAATTTCATTCGTTGCTACATGCGATGCGGGGTCTATAACTCTCCGCCCAGTCGCCTCAAGACAAAAAATGTCGACTCGCCGACATCAAGCCCACACCAATAATAAGCGCGCTTCCTGGTGATCATTTTAGCTGCCCAGAGGGAGAATGCCATGGTAAAATTCAAGACCCGACCGACCTGCATAATACCCGGCCGCCTCGAATCCTCCAGTAGCGGTAATGATAGAACCAGAGATCGGCGGGCCAGCCAGGGCACCCAGAGCGAGGATGCTCATCATCATGCCCACTCGCCGGCCCACATCCGCGGTGACTCCGAATTCAATTATGGGAGTACACAAGAGGGAGACAAAGGACCCTGAAACAAACCTAGCCGAACTTGTTTGGTTAGCTACTAAAGATAACGTTCTAAAAATAGGTGATATATAGTACCCGTAGATGATAGCGATGGCAATCAGCGAGTCTTGATTTTTCGCGAATGGCCATGAATAGGTTACAATGGCGGACGCCATAGTAAATGGGATCATTACGTTCATGGCGCCTGGTTCTCTCTGATCAGAATTTAAAAAATTAATTCAAAAGGAGAGCCAGCCGCTAACCAATCCTGTCTCCGAGTAGTCCAGCAAAATAACGCCCAAAGCCAGAAGCGCAGTTGGCTATCGAGACTAGATAGAAAGAGAAATCCTCCGGTACACCGACTTTGGTCGCGCTGACATCGATGTAAGTCAAAACTAGACCATGAAATTTTATTATTAGTAGCCAAAAAAAATCACAGGAAGTACAGTAGACGCACCGGTGTAAATTCCGAGGAAAGATGTCAGTGTCGAGGCGCAGTAGAGTGAGAAAGGGGCGGACTTGAATTCCTGGAAGCTGAAGAGCCTTCCGTGTACGTCTGTAAGCGGGAAACGGCGTTTCAGCAACTGAATGTACTACGCTTGAATAACGAGGTAGGTAGCCGAGGGCGGAAGAAGACGGACGGACCAAATTGCCCAAGCCGAGGCCCAGGAGAAGAATGAGCGCTAAGATTCTCATGGTCCATTTGAAGCTATCGTGTTATTGAATGAAATACGGCGGAGAAGACTGCGTTTCGAAAACACGTACCCTACGACAGGTAATAGATTCCTGGTTGCAATGGGTATGACGGTCCCACCAAGGGACGAGCCTACTGCCATCAACCCGAGGGCGAGCTTTAGCCGTTTTTTGAACCAATGAGAAAGCACGACGGTTGTGGGGTTCATTATTCCGCCGCACGCCAGCTAGATAGTTGTGGTGGTCTGCGTCAGTAACGTCGACGAAGAGAGATGCAGATGAATGGCAGCGCTGACCCCAACGGCGAACCCCTGGCACAGTAGGAGCTGCCAATACTCATGACACTCGGCGACTAATAACGTTGCGGCCACCAGTAGAAGGCTGGATGCGGCGAAGAGAGGGCGAAAATATCCCAAGTCAAAGAGTCGGCCTGCAAGGACGCCAGGTAAGAATACCAGCGAGTACTGATCAGGGGTTAGAACATGAGAACGGTCATACGAGGCATAGTCTGATACCTGAATGGAACCGATCCAAGCTCTGGAAAAGCAGAGTCACTAAATGGCATGCTCGGGGTTTATTTCATGAGAGCGCACATGTCGGACGGTGGAGTGTCCCTCAACACATTGGTTTGGTAGTACGATTGAAACACCTGAAGCACGGAGAATATAAAGGTCAAGCACGATACGACCGGGAGCAATTAACACGGGACTCACACCCCATGAATTGACGTATCCAAACCTTTCAATATAGTCGTCGAATCAGTTCCGGAAGCGGAACGGGAATATACGGGGGGGATTGCACCCTACCCTAAAAGGTGCTCACGTCGTAAAGTTATTACACATCGACTGACGGAAAAGCGAGAGCGAGAGTGAGAGACAATATTAGTACAATGATATACCGAACTCGGCGAAGCCGGGCTTACTCCAGCAACAATCAGCCAGGCTCGCAAGCCGCCATCGGGATAATCGTCCAGAGGATACCCGAGTTGAGACTCTTCGGACGGTTTTGATGCAATATTCCCTAGGCTTTGGGTAAGCATACTCGGAGGCGGGATTTTTTCAATGACGTCGGAGGGAATTTCTGGGGGTACAGACATTGCAGCGGCGCGGGGAAAAGAAGTCGCTTGCAAGACTGGACCACGGAGGTTTGGGGTTTTATTCCACCAAAGAAGAGTTCACCGGTCATCAAGACAGTCGCCGTCGGTGGAACCAGCATTCCAGGCATACACTGAGATGGGGCGATGAATGGACGACAGGGGGGCCTCCGGGATTCATATTGGAAGCAGGTAGGCTGTAGATAATGACAAATTTCCTTGTTTGTGGTGGGGGGTGCCGATAGTATTTCCAAGTTCGGATCGGGCCTTGGTTCCGCATGACGCGTTGGAACACGTCGTGACCATCCCTAGTCCAAAATTTCCTATTTTAGTGCAAAGGCGTGATGCACAAGGACTACTATGGTTTCAATGTCTCGGTTTGCTTTCCGATTACCCACGCGGATGGCGGTGATACTTGACCGCTAGTTCGTCGCAGTGGAATTCTTTGATAACCGCACCGCGTCAGTAATTTTCGGAGAATTACCTGGCCACTTCCTTGGTGGTACAACTCTCTACCAGACTCCTGGCACACACGACTCAGTTGTGTCGTCCTCCTTGGTATAGCCTAGCAGTTAAGCCTTGGGTCTTTCTCCCGAAATCTGAACCCTGATTTGTAAACAGCCTTGTCGCCTGAAAGCTTCATTTCGGCAGAGGACCTTGAATAAACCCGAGATTCGGGCCCGGACTCAGTCTGGCTTCCTGGCTTTGGAATAGTCCTGTAGATCGCTAGACAGACTCAGGTAATGTACACGTCGTTTGTTGTAATCTAGGATCCTGTTGAGCGGTGTCAGGTATGGCAGTATCTATCAGTCGCGGAAATGACTAAAGAAAGCTTAGATCTGTAGAAAGAAGGGTCAAGTTCATATGCAGACCTAGAAGAACTTCGATCGGACCATAATCTTAGACTGAATGGCGTCTCTCATCCGGTCAGCTTTCCGTGCGGCAGAGTGCAACGAAGAATGCAGCAAGCATAGCATTAATGTCGCACCTGTCCAAGCACCCCCACACTAGAGCACGGTCCTCTCCGTGCCGGCCTTTTCTGGAAGCTTTTCTTTGGGAACCTCAGGCGGGTGTCATCTCGGCCTCTCGCACTTCTGATGTAGGGCAGAAATCAGAAGTTATTTTTTTGATGTATACAACATGGATGCTGACCCGCCGTGCAAGAACAAACGTGCACTTTTATATTCGGTGTCTAGCTACACGCACCGTATTTGCATTCTCTGGACGTTGTGGATGTAAATTTGTACCGGAAGGACTGTGCGGTAAAGAATCCAACCTTGGAAACTTCAGTTCGACGATGCGTACGACCACTAATTTCAAAGACTGCGCGACGATAGAGAGGATTAGTTTTCCGTTGTTCTGTAGGGAAAACTCATTTTCAATACCTATCTAATGGCGAATTCTGGGTGACGAGAGCGTTTCCTGAAGCTGGAACCTACTCGAGTAATGGCGCAGTCGTGCTAGACATTTCTGTGCAAGTTCCCAGCTGGAACAAGAACATTGGCTAGACACAACCGCCTGCAAGTCCAATGCCAACAGCGCTGCCCGAATTCGCTTACTTCATCAGATAAGGACTCTGTCATGCCATCGCCAGAGTATCCCTTCAAGCGATAGCGGAGTCCCCATTCTATTTTGATCAGAAAAATCGGGCATTCTGGATTTGGTATTTCGTTATATGCCATCAGTGAACATTGATCAGTGCATGTAGATGACTGAGGAAGGTGTCCCGTAATGGACTGAGTTCCGTTGAGATGGTTGTCTGCTATCTAGTAGAACCGGAGGGGGCAGCGAGCCATTGTAAAAAAGACATCGGCTGTTTCGAAGGTTGTCTTGCTCCAGACTTGTCTGGTAGTACGCGTTATAACTATGGTCCATGTTACGTCATATGTCGTCTTGCGCAGATACCAAGCGATCCAAAGAAAGGGAGCATGGATTCTTGCTCGCGCGTGTTTTGTGGTCCACGAAGAGAATAGCCACTCTTCACCTTTGTTTCCGGAAAGAGAAGAAGTATGTATCACAGAAGCCGAGTGGTCAGCCATTGTCCCGGTGGGTACCAGCAGAACGCGTAAGGAAAAAATGATAGGCGAGAATGGTAACCAAGCCGAGGATGACCGCAATGGGGCGATCTCTATGACGAGACCGGTGAAAACGGAGTATATGTCGTGGGAGTTTGTTCTGGTTATGATCTGCGGCTGGCACGTCTGCATGAATATGGCGTTGCGGTAAAGGTTGCTTTCAGGAGCCCGGATAATGCCCTATGAACCATGATCACGACTTTTCGAAATCTTTAGCGTTTTGTCGGGACCAAATTGTTCAGATTTTGGTCATTTTTGTCTGAATTGGCCTCAAGGTTGTCACGGAAAATTAGGTGTCGGCCCCCGTACTCTCCAGGGTTAGGGTATAATCCAGGATCCTGTGGTGGCTGCACAGGTAGTACCTAAAATATCAGTTGGTTACTTGTAAGACGCGCGCGCAACGACATGAACGCGTGACTCTCCCCTCCTTGAGTTGACCACGACGCATGATATCACATTTTATCCGGGAAATCACCACCGCGAACCATCCGGCGGCAGCAAATTTCATTGTCTGAGCCCCCCTACGAATTTGACGTGGATCCATCGCCTCGTTCCAGCCCCCGCTTACCTTGACGTCAATTCTGTGCTTTGCATAACGAACGAATGGGCTAACTACCCTGGATCAAACGGATCGAGCCAGCTCTAGATTTTGAAAAAAAAAAAAAAGCATTCGACATACCGTCATGGCTGTTCCAGTACGACATGGTAATGCAAAACGAGGCACAGAGTGGGAGGAAGAGCGCGTATAGACATGATTGGTGGGGGGTAGGAATCAAAAAACGTGTCGGCGTTTGCCGAAGCAGTTCCGTCATCGGATCGTATCTTTACCTCGAGAAGATTGGATGTCTCAATTTGTATGCTGGGTCCAGAGCTCATGATGTCGAGGAAGATATTTTACAGAAACATTTCAGGCCTCACGGTCATAGATTGGGAGAATGAAGAAGTGAGAAGAGACCACATTTATTTGACTGTGAAAAAGATAAAGGCTACAAGAAAGTGTGAGGACTATGATCTAGTACTAGGCACCCTCCTTGAGCTGGTCATTGTGTACTATGAGAGCCAAACCAGCAAATTTACTACAGGTCTTGATGATGGCTGAGTAAGAAACCCAGGCCTGCAGAGTTTCATCCTCAAAGGACCTTGTGGTTTCAAGCCCCTTGTACAGTTTATGTCATTCCTGAGCATTTAACCCCAGCAGGAACTGCTGGTGAATGTGATTTATCCAGGGCTGAAAGTCCATGAAGCTACTGTTTGCCACAGGAGAGAATGTGCCACTTCTCATTAAAAAAAGAGCCTTTCTTGTCCTTCAAACTATCAGGGAATGGACTTGTGTGTGTTTCAGTATAGTACTATAGTTTGATCTGAATGTGACACCTCTGAATTACCATCTCTTTTCCTTGATACAATAAGTTATAGCAACCTGTTGGAATCTGTGAGAGAATTTGAGCAATCCAGCATTCTGGCATGCTGAGTAAGGAAAGAATCTGAGGGAAATTGAAGGAATCAGATAGAAATTACTAGAAAAGGTGTAGTCTAGTATAAATATGAGAAGTCAATGGGGAAACTCTTCAGAGGTTTGTAACCCAAAGACTAAAGGTCCTACAAGCATGTACTCTGGATAATGTCCAAATCTCAATCAGAGATGAGATGGCCTGCTCACAAGAGTCACAATAGTATTGTTGCAAGACATGATGGTGATGAAGGAGAAGACACATCATAAAGAGTCCAGATGGAGGTTATGGTTTCTCCTTACTCCTATATCCTTCCACCTTTCCTTGTCACACAATCACTCTTAGTGAGCATTGGAAAATTCAATGTGCTGGCATTTCTTGACTGGTATGATTTGGGTTCTTTTCTATTACTACTGGGCACTTATGCAGAAGTACAGTTTCTATGATTCCCTCAATGGCAGCTGCAAGCTCCCAGTCACAAATCATGACAGTCCCACTGCCCTAAATGGTTTCCATCAAGGCAAAGGAATCTTTTGCCTCTATCTGCATTTGTATTCTCTGCCACCTACAAGCAGGGATGACACTACATGCTTTTGGATGAACATCTGAATAGGATCAGGGTTTCTGGATGATGTATGGTGCACTGCAAAGTACCCTCTTTCATGTGGCCTAAATCTCACTGCAGTTTGCACTAAAGCTTACCCGTATTGATAAACACTCGCACACCATGAGGATCGAAGGCCAGGTGGGTGCACTGCCTCGACTAAATATGCCCATGAATCTCGTAGTGAATGCAGGCGACAATATGTGATGGCGGAATGCTTCCACCCTTGTCAGAACAGGTGTGTCACGTTTCTCTGCTCGGCAAGCATAACCTATGGAATCAATCCGAATTTTTCAGATGGTTTGTCTCTATGACTCGAGAGCAACAAGACAAAGGTTCGCGCCAGAAAGGATGGCAGACAAGCGAGAGGTCAGGGCTCTCACCGTTTTGACACAGAAACACTACAAGTTATACTAGATCTTCTTAAACATGCTTTCTCTGTACCGGCTGCCTCTGTAGGACAAAATAGACACCTGTCTTGTTATGTATTTTGACAACACTAAGTAAGGGCCCTTTGGCACAATTGTAACTACACTTATCAGTGACTTATGATCTCGGTTCAAATCCGAGAGGGTCCATCTTCTTCAATCCTACTATTTTCATGTGCAGGAAAACAAGATACGCTTCGATTTCCTGATTCATTATTTATATTAGCTCGGTCATTTTTTATGAAGACGGGTCAGTGGTCACGGAGAACGTAGTATGGACTTCGTCCCGGAAACTTTCTGTACCTCTCTCGACAAACGCCCAGCGACTTTTCGTCGTAATAGGCCCATAGGAAGCATGTCAAATCATTGTAGATCCGTAGGAGAGCGGACAGTGTTTTCTGTCGCAGTGCATATTTAATACGTAGAAGAGGGGTTGACAGCTTAGACTTCCAAGGGCCGGCAGCATCAGATAGTTGAAATGGCATTAATCTGCTACCAAATTAGTTGCCGACTACTCGTCTTATCTCGCGCCAAGTCGCTGATACTATGTACAAATTAAATTAACTGCTATTTTGAACACCGATGCAGCCAGAGCAAACGGCTCCGAAATGACTTCGGCGTCAAGTCATCTATAAATACCCTTGAATTAGCCTGCGAGGCTCCCATTACTTATCTCCTTGTTCTTCGTTGATAAATAATCTGTCGTTTTACATAAATCGCTTGCAACTGCGTGGCCGTTATTCTTTCGGGAAAACTCACTGTACGTCTGCCCCTGTCGAACCAATATGCCATCGTATCGGCCTTCGCAAATTTTGCTGTCCACAAAGGGCCCGGTTGTAAGGAACGAGGCCATTTCATTGTGGTTAACATTTTCTTCTTATATTAATTAAAGTATATGGCAAGAGGTTCATTTCACAGGGTCAAAAATCACGGCATTGAATGACAAGGGGGGCATCTCTGTCACAATGTCTGAATCTTCGAAGTCATCACTACAGTTCCCAAGCTATGAAGGCCCTTCCTGATGAAGGTTCAACATTATGAGGCGTCTCACATCTCGGCGATCTCGCCCCACCTCTCCAGAAACTGGTCTTGTTTGTGCCTATTTAATAATTTTTCGGAAAGTTGATGATACAGGATACGTAAAGGACAACTTGAAAAAGGTGGCGATCTCTCCACTTCCCCAATCAGAACTATTGACATCTATATGTTGGATCATACTTCACATGAATGATTGCACCACCGGCACCCCTTTCATCATCTTCCTCATTATCCACTGAAGCGACTTCCTGAACGCCTCGTAGCGCTTCTCCCCCACAGCCAGATTAGCCACCCACAACTGTCCTCATACATCAGTGCCTTCCTCTCATCGTTTTGGTGCATATCCGTGTTGTACAACTGGTGAAGCGTCTTATAGTAGTACTCTTGTGATCCTTGTAACCCTTCCTCTTGGATCCTCGCAACAGTCTGCACTGCAGGATCGATCCAGACGTCCAGACGCGCTCCCGGCTCTCGTCACGGTATCATCGGAGTTCTACATCGGAGCGGTCATGCAAAGACGGTTGAAGACGGCAGCGCGGATAGGATCGCTTTTGGTATGGTTGAGGCAGGTGCACTTGATGCCGTAGGGCAAGAGGTTTTCCGCGTGCTCCACGGTTGGCAGCAGAATTCCGGTGTAATTGGTGAAAATCTCTTCGCCTTCTTCGATGACTCGAACTGGGCGAAGTTCCATAGAAAAGGAAGATATGTAAAATTTCTGGTGGGTGTCCGGTTCACAGCTAGATGGTCATGACGACGTTAGTGCCAGGGCAGTCGAACGAGGAAAAGCCTCTAACCTGTGTTTTACCCTGGAAAGATTTTTGTAGATGCTAATATACCGGCCAATTTTGTCCTTCGTGGAAGGAAGTTATTCCAGCGCTGGATCGTGGCAACAGCAAACGAGATGGAGATGTCGTAATATCTCGGAGCTGTCGGGCACCAAGGTGTTTGGCTTGGACCCTAAGGATAACATCAGTCCTGAGCGTAGGGTTGCCTGAATATCATAGGTAAGAATAGGTAAGACTCGACGGGTGCTGGCTCCACCTATCCACATCCAAGTATCGGTTAACAGGGCGACACGGCGACACCACTGATAGTACTATGAAGGGGGAATAGCCCCTCCAACTGTGGACTCGTTGCTCAAGAACCAGTGGCAGTCCAGTGGGTGCAGGATGAGGATACGCATCGTAAAGTCGTAAAGATGGCCCAGGCTCTGCGATAGTGTGCGAGGCAGGTATCGAATCCGGATCTGCGCCTACCCTCATCCAGGTCATGCCAACCCTTCGCGGCATTTGGTCATCATCCGGAATTTCCGCCCTCCAGCCCATCTTCGTCCGAGCTTCGGTGCATCTGCGAGTCTGACAATTCAGGGCTTTGTTCGAGGGTGATATATGCGGTGGCCAAGTATTCCTTGAAAAAAGGCCGAAAAGTCGTGCGTTGAAAGCATTTCGGGCTTTGTAGACAGCCCTGTGAATAGCTAAGATTAAATGCTTGAGCAAGGACGAAGCAAGCAGCTACTCACTCCGGCGACCCTGAGGGAAAGTAAACGGCTCATTGGCCTCCTTCAAGGCCTCTTTGTACAACTCCCGACTCTTCGCAGCCATGTTTTTTGCCCGGTTAGCCCACGCCTCCTTTGGAGGCTTGAAAAAAGCCTTGCGAGTTACATCAGCATGAAAGCTGGCATCTGGGCACGGCGCTTCGCAGTCCCAACATTTGCAGTCTACCTATGCCTCTTCAACTTGTGCTTCCAGGGCATGTGAGTGATCTTGTTGCATCCACGGTTTCATGGGATCAGTTAACCATGAGGGTATCATACCCCACCTTCATCCACTCCTGATAGACCTTGCTCGCTGTCATCAGTGAGTGGTGCTTAAGACCGACAAATTTGGATAGCAGAGCCTTGTAGAGGTCGTGTGAATAGGATTTGCTTATCGTCTTGCGAACATGATGTAGACGCTCTTGTTATAGAGGAAGACAAGCACAAAACACAGAATTGCATGGAGGTAACGCGGCCTAACGTCGAGGCAACAGGCAGTTGCCAGATATACGGGTCACTGTAGAAAACTATCGGTGCAATTTGTTGTCGGGGGGTGAAAGGCCGGCAAAGTATTCAAGGACGTACCGGACTTGAGCTCCCCCACTAGCCGCTATGAACCTGTTACCCACTTCCGACGATTGCGAGTCAGACAATGAAGCTTATATGCGCAGAACATGATGCTACCGGGTAACGGCAATATGTCGAGACGAATGTTGGAAAAAAATCAGCCGGGAACGGGGCTCGAATAGACAACCGTCGCGATGGCTGTTTGCATAGGTCGGCGTTGAATAGACGTACCTTGCAGTCTCTCAGCGCATTGCATTGATGGTAAAAATAAGGGTAGGTTCGTAAGGTACGTTCGTAATACAAACTCGGACTGGTAGCCAGAACCGGCTAGGCCGGCCCGGTCGCGATACTTAAAACGTTTTACTCATCCCCCCCTTTTTGCTTCACTAGGAGTGCATAGGCTCAAAGCTGTTCGTCTCTGCCTCAATAAAGGGGTCCAGGGATTTTCAATATAATACCATTTGGCTCTTTTCATAGCCTGACTGAGAAATCGGGGACATGGAAAGTACTGTTCACTTCTAGCGAAAATCTGCAATGACTCGCTAGTAGCCACTTTTTTCTTACTAGGCTCTGCCAGTCCTTCTTGGAGACCTTATGATGTTTCAGGCGAAACCTGAGAAAGGACGCTAGTTCTTGTCCCTGTCAATATCCAATGACCCCGGTCTTCGGATGCAGTTACCCTAGACAGTTCAAATGTTCACAGCTGTTGCTTTAGTGTGAGCTTTAGTCGACTTCCAATACATCGACTTCTCAAGCAAGCTGCACAAACATGTCTTCATACAATTATCTTCTGGAACCTGAAATGATATTCTCACAGACCTGCCAAGCCATTCCTCCATTCCTTCATTCCTTGATAGAAGATATCATGATGGGCTTAAGAAGCGGACGGTTTGATTCTAGCCTTGCTGAATATTAGATTCCGGAATGATCATCAAATCGAAAGCGAAACATACTACGGACTCGTACTACTCGCCACGGTCCAAATATTTCTGCTCGTTCGAAAATTCAGTACGACCTTCGTGATTAACAAGCGCCTCTTTTAGTGCTTCCCCGCATCATATTTACGTTTTACTTTCATTTCGGCACATGTACAAACATCACCACTAAAACGTAAGAGGCGTCTGTACAAAGTTCTCGTGCACATTGCACGCTGAGCTCACCGCTTCTCCTTGGAACAGATTTAACCTCCCTTCCTGCCTTCTACGAACGGCCATCTAGATCACCCCTAGCGGGTATCTAACAGTGACACCCATCCGCACACTTGATGAAACGTGGAAGATGTCGAGACCACAATGCGAAGCCGATTCGATCATTCCTTTTTGTATGGTGTGCGAGACGAACAGTCATTCTCATCCCCGGTGTCCCACACAATCATGCCGTTAACCTGCGGCTGCATTCCATTCAACAGATGTAGCTAATGGAAGGAAGATGAGGATGTAAGGTACTTTCAAGGGAAGATAGCTACAAGAAGTAATCGGGAGATATACGTGGAATAAGATAGTCTGTCGAATGATACTGGTGTACAGAATGAGTGAATGATAACAATACAAGTCTTGAAAGCAAAGATGATTGGTCCGTGAAAGACAATTGTCCTGATGCATGAATATGGATGGTTAACTGTTTTTAGATGTCGTTGCGTTTGACTATGGTCATCAAGCCCGGTACGCCCTTCGCGGACTCGAGTGAGACAGGTCTGTGAGGGTCCGGATGTGATGAACGTGCAGCAGAGGCAAAATAGTGTATCTAGGAGGAAACAGTCAATTCACTAACATATTCAACGATGGCGGAAGACATACTTGGACTTTGAATGTCCCATTTGGCCGATTCTTCGGTTCGCGTATTGTGCACGTCCACCTGAGATTCTGTTAAGCGACGCGAATCAAGCCGTGTATACGGCGAACGCACCTCTCATCGACAAGCACGTTGCCGCCTATATGCTCTGCGGTCTCGAGCAGAACGCCCCGCGACGCGCGCAGGAGCAACTTGACATTGACAGCGCCGAGGCAGATAAACGTATCCGTCACCTCCATAGGCTCTCGTTTCTGGCACCCCATCCCTTCCTCCACACCAGGATGCGACTGCGGCGCAACCCCAGAAGAGGACTCTATGCAGTGTACCGGAGAGTTCCGCCGCATCTTGACAAGGAAGTTCGCGACCTTTGCAACAGATGCTGGTCGGGGTGCCGATGGTGGTGTAGGAGATGGTGGCTCGGTGTTGCTGGTGCGTAGGGAGAGGCTCATCATCGAAAAAAAAGGCAGGGGTGGAATTGAAGATAAAGGAAAGAAGGAAAGGTATATATATAAGACGCGTGAAATGATGCAACGTGTATTGCACGACTCCTTCAGGGTCACGGTTACTCCTTGTCTTAGGCGGTCGGAACCCTCTTCCGCCGCGATGACAGAATGACTCGGATCGATATCACCGTTCTCGTGCTATCAGACACCCATACTGAGCTGCCAGGACAGAAAGGGGATATTGTCAGGATTTCTCAAGATTTGTCGGATGAGTACAGTGTCCGACAAAAACTCCGAGAAGCAAGGTTCAATCTCAGCGATCCTTGAGGCGAACTTCCCGCGATGAGGGTCTCACAATCAGCACTGCGGACGAGGGAACATTGTGACTTAGCATGGCTTCGACTTCCCGTGGTGACTCTGGAATTCAATGGTGAGAGATCTGCGCAGTAAAGCGCAGGGATGATCATGACCAGCGGTACACGTTCACCTTCCTCACAACTCCTGTCGCGCTAATTTAAATTGAAAACGAGGATCGTGGAGCCAAATAATAGGTGGACACCGCAGCCCCTCTCCCATTCCCCGAGCCACGGCACCATAATCACATTACGAACTAGCATATGTTCGTCCGTCAATAGTGGAAATGAATGCGGAGGACGGAGGTCGTATGACCATTCGGCCCAATATTTACGGCGAAGATGGGTTGATTTTTGGGCCGCACTATCCGTGATCGCCTTGACTGGCCGCTGAGCATTATGATAAATGATTAACTAGAGGGGCTGATGAGCGAAACGTACAGGTGAGAAACCTACAAGCGAAAAACCCGTCCTTGAATACCATTTGCTCAGTCGGACCGGAGGAGCCTAATAGCAGGCTTATAGTTCCCGAAGGTTGATAAACATCGACAATTGCCTCCACAAGAGCAAGTTATTGTCTCACGAAGCGGAAGGCACTTATCATGGTTCTACGCCAATAAGTGGAGTTTGGATGACGTACCGGCGTCCACGATAGATCATGTTGATCCGCTATGCATGGACGCCAAGATCTTGACGTTGCTTGTAGATTCCCAGGCACTAATCGTAGACCAAGAGCGACACCAATACAATGTACACTCCATACCTGACTCGCAAAGCAAAAGATGCGCCGATAAAAATGAATGGGGCCCAGTGCAAACGATGAACAAACTCGTCTCCACGGAACACATAAAGGGACTTGTCGCTATCGGGTAAAGAACACTACCGTATCCCTCGTTGAGAACCAAAGTGGCCTGAGAAGTGAATAATCGAGGCGCCGTTCCTAGGGAATCCGAAAAACGTACTATATCCGTTCAATCGCCGACGCCACAGGACGTAGTAGAACGATCTTGGTACGTCTAGTACTTGCTTCCACAAAGGAAGTCTAGTGATTGGGGAACTAAGCAACAGAGGAGTTGGCCGGGAGGAAGTGCGGGACAGAGGAGCCGGTCCAATATCCTGTGCTACGACTGGTCGAATCGAGGGCCCCCTGCGCACATCGCAACCTCGTCGACATTCGAGACTCTGTCGTCGTAGATAGAATGTCGCAAACAACTATATCATTCTCCAAGTGTCCAGTCTGAAACCCATGATTCGGGCCTTGTCTTTGGAAAACTGCGCCCTTGCTTGATTTTGACGCAGCCTAGACGCAGGTTATAGAGCTTGGAGCAGCGGGGATCGTGGCGTGGAGAGGTTACGGAGGCCGGGATATTCGGAGGTGGGTGAATAGATCGATATGCGCCGGAGGAGCTCGTGAATGCTAACATCCTCCAGACTAGGACAGTGGAGATTCTGCAGTTGGACACGAAAAAGCTGATGAAAAACACAAGAGGTATAAGTGTTCTGGTTGGTGACGTCAATCCGTGAGGTTCAACATATAGGAGCCCAGCACTCAAACCCTTGCTGCATTGAGTCCCATGGCGTGGTTTTGACCAAATGGTTGGTGAGTCGATAGATGTCGAGCTAAAACTCGGTCTGTGTTTCGTGCAGAGAGCGCGCTAAACAGAAAATATGAGAAGTCAAGGTCTTTTTCAGGATTGGAATGCGGATATATGCTACCTTGCGGTGAAGACTCTGAGACGCCAGGACAGGAATCACATCTATCGAAGGAGATATCATCTCTTTTGGCTGCCACGACTCGCGTATACTGGCGTTTATACGTTTGATAATCTCCAGAATACACAGCGTACAGCAGACGAATGGAGAAGTCCGCCTCCGCAGCCTTCTCCTTGCGTCTGCACATTGGGATGCTGAACATCGTGGGTAGTCAATTCGGTCCGCATAGGTAGAAGACATCTTGATAATGAAAAGTACGCCCCTTTTCCAAATTCGCTTCCCCTACAACACAAGGGCCGTTTCTGATGACTTCCTGTAGCCAAAATGCACTGAAGACAAGGAGATATGAGATGAAATGCTGCCAATCATCAGCTAAAGGTTAACTCGCACGTATCCAATTTCCCAGAGGCCTCAACTAAACGTGGGTAATAAAATTTACAGGACCGTATAAGATCTTTTCCTTGGGAGCAAAATAATAGGCCAGTGGTGAAAATTTAAGGAAGGAAGTGGTGCGAAACAACAAGTGAGCGACGCGAGCTTGACTCAGGCTCCGAGTCCGAAGCGCGTCAATGGCACGTGATCTGAGATATCACGGAGGAATTATTTATGTCAAAATTCGAAACTAATAGTTAATTTCACTTGTCTCCGGCCGAAGGACATCTGGCAACCTACCACTTCCACGTCTACTCATTTTCACCCTGTTACCTTACCCATGCTTTCTCACTCTTGACGTATCGCAAAAAAATATCTCCTGGGCATCCCTAAACGACGTTGGACGTAAATTTTTAACACCTGTACGTCAGACTCGACTTTTGGCGTTTTCATCTCCTTACCTGTCTCCTTTTTCTAATAAAATTCAGCTCTCTTGTGCACAATGTCAAACATTGAGCTGAACCGACTGCGGTCGAGTCCACGCCCAGACTCTGGTTTTCTGACCGAAGAGCCCCACGACATACACGATATATTCACCCACTCCAACGCGTCTATATACCCAACGTCGGACAACATACGTCCACCATGGAAGCGTGACCTGCATGCCCTGCTCGAACAACCGACGTCATCAGCGGGGGCGTTCCTCATACACATCCTCATGACGTTCTTGATCGTTCTGTCGGCAATCGTAACGGTGATGGAAACCGTCCCGGCGTTTCACTCCATATCAACACGGTTCTGGTTTGGCTTTGAGACGAGTTTGGTAGCATTGTTCACGGTGGAATATGTTGCGCGGTGTATAGCATGGAGTGGTTCATGGATGAGTTTGCTGAGGTGGATGGTATGTGAGTGCAATGCGTTTCTGCATCGTCATGGTTTCGCTCATGGGGATCCCAGCTTTCTACGGGATAATAGATTTGTTGTCAGTATTGCCTTATTATATAGAGATTATGCTACGACAAGACACGGTGAGCATTTATCCGTTTGAACACCATCTGCAGGCAGCTAACAGCACTAGTAGAGCGTCTTCTTTAGGTTCTCCATTCTCCGCATGTTCAGACTTCTTCGGGTTTTTAGACCTTTCAAGTACAACAATACTATCCTTCTGTGCGTCATATCAACCCCCGAAGACCAAAGGCTAATTCTTATACAGAACCATCGAAGTGATGTTCCTCTCGGTCCGGAGATCCCAGCACGCGCTGTTGGCAATTGGGTTCTTTGTGATCATGCTAATGACCATCTTCAGCACTCTTCTGTGAGCCCAGAAATATTCTTTTACTATCGCTGTATTGATATCATCAAAGGTACTTTATCGAACGTGGTACCTGGGATGACACACTAGAGACTTTCGTCAACTCTGACGGTGACCCCACGCAATTCGCATCTATACCTGCAGCAGCCTGGTTCGTCATCGTAACAATATCCACAGTCGGGTATGGCGAAATCACCCCTCGCTCCTTCCTCGGTCGTCTCGTCACACTGCCTTTACTCCTCTTCGGCTTGCTCCTCATCGCCCTCCCCAGCTTTGTTCTGGGACGAGAGTTCAGTCTCGTCTGGGAAAAGATGACTGAGAACCAGCGTCAGCCAATTGACGAACTGGATATCGCTGACTCGCCGACGCTGACGAGGCCGCTGTTTAGTGCAGGCAGTACGTCGAGCAGGCCGAAGAAAACAGACTTGTCAAACAGGAAGTTGGCCCAAAATCAGACGGAGTTGAGCAGGCAGATCGAGCGCCTGAGTGCGACCGTGGAGGCGCAGGGTGCGATGATCCAGCGGTTATTGCAGGTGATGGACAAGGGCAAGCAAAGGGAGCAGTGATGGAAGCGACTAGGACTAGAACGCACTTGTGATGATATCCGGATTTGCTATATCATTTTTATCTGAGACGGAGTAACGGTTTATGAGCTGGTCGAGCTTCTCGTTTGCTAACATGTGAGAATCCAGGAAATAATTAATTCTTAACCAACCTTTGCATGATGGGAGTGGCGTTTTGTAACGGAAGTGAGAAGTCAATCAGCTCTTAAATTTGATTGCTAATCATGTTTTCTTAGTGTGGGTGTATACCAGGTACATACGCAATCATATCTTCATACCCAGAAGTACCCTCTCGGTCAGACAATGCATCGATTTATTGGTTGAAAGCCATCGCTGGTCTCTAATACTCTATGCAGCATGACCTCCATATTGAACAATGCAAATATAGAAAAGAGTTGGATATATGAGTTTCTCCCAAAGCTCTGGGGCGGACATTGTACCATCCCTTCATATCAAGGATCAAATACATTTGGGTCAGCCTTACCGACATCTACATAGCGGTCGGGTGAAGTTCGTGACCGCCTCGAGATGTTGGGGTGTTAACCGCGTTGCTCCCACGAGAATGCTCAAGTAACTTCTTGGTCTACAGCCTTTCCTGTAATAGAAGACAATCGATAAGCGCTAGGCGCTTACCGTGCTCATACATAAAACGTTGACGGAGGAATGAGCATCGTGCTTCCACCCACCGACTGTCCACGTTTGAAATTCGACATCGAGCCTCTCTCTACCAGGATCAACAAGGATCTGTCGTAATGTCTACTCTTGATCAGTATGGTCGTTCCAGGAATGCCACCTCCCACACCTATCCTGACTACGGAACCATAGAAGTTGGCCCAGGTCAGCGCCGTCGTCGAACTCCCGTATCATTAAAACTTAAAACTCACAATCGGCTACCAGGTTACTCCCAGGCGGCTAATAACAGAGCACCCTACTACGCAAGTCAGAGCATCGAGATCCTCGGCAAGACCGTCGGATTCCTGATCATCCTCCCATTCACTCTTATCTGTGTCGCCATACTCGCCGGAATCTTCAGCGCCACCAGCGCCGCCTGGATCGTCACCGGCCACTGGTTCCTGCTTCACCTCAACACCGCCCCAAGCCCTTATTCCGAAGCTAGCCTGTGGTCAACGTTCCTGGTTGGATTCTGGGGATCCATGGCTACGTTTCTTCCGTTTTGCGTGGTAGACGCTTCGATTCACGCCTGTTTTTGGTGTGCTTGGGGTGGAGCGGCCATGGTTTGGGCTTTCCTCAACTTTGTATTGGTCGGTTGCAAAGTCGGATTGGATTGCGTGGCTGGGGTGCCTCTTGTGGGGCACTACTTTGGTATAGAGACACTCGGGCTCGAGTATGTCGTACTTGCCGCGTATACTGGAGAGACAGTCATGCTCTTTGTGATGGTGGGGATACTTTGCATGTCCGTCGCAAGCTAGATGTTTAATTGTACAGGCCCTAAAGTACTAAGTGTATTATGTTGAAATCCCAGTATTGCGTAGTAATAGTGCTTGCCTGGAGCATGACGCCTCGACGGGAAAGAACTTTAGATTGTTGTTGGATCAAATTTCCTGTCTCAGAATGTCCTAAAGCTAATCTAAAATGTTCCAAACCTAATGTCCTCATTATCTCCTCATCAAATGCCCCAAACCCTTTGAGAAAATGACCTTGAACCACCTCCTAACTAGCTTGCCTTAGGAATCCAACCGTCTCTCTTTAAAATGGTCCAAACAGTTTATACCTTCTATTTTACTAGTTGAGCTAACTGGTGGTCAGACTTCCTGTTTAGGACTCACGTGGTGTGTTCCGAATATTCACCCACTCACTTTTCCTGTCACGATCTTCCTATCTTTCTTCATTGATCATGGACCACGAAGGCGGAAATTCTTCTACCAAACACTCGCACTCTGACAATGACATTTCCTTTCCTCCCAGCAAAAAAATGTTCCTCTCCCCCTTTACTTCTCGATGAACGACTCACCCCAGAGGAGGTCCAAAGTGTTGTCGATCTTTATCTAGAACCTATGATACGCAATGGCCTTGAAAACCTCTTGCAGATGGAGTACGATCCTGTCGACAGATTAAGATTGGGGTTCCTAGCGCTGTTTGCAGGAGAATTGCTGAGAGGCGCAGCCAGTCACTTTGGGAAGGCAGAGATAGATATCCCGAAAGTCACCACCGAGCACCTCCGCCGTCTTCTAGCGAGTGACAAGGAATTTTTCGACATCGTCCTGGATGCTTTACGTAAGTTGTTCCATCATGAAAGTACGCGCCAGAGTGTCCGTAACCTTTTCAGACCTTGGTAAATATATCTACCGGCCAATCACCTGCAAAGCTGACTCGGGATCATCTCATAGGTGCTATCCGGCTACCCCAGACCACGGGTGTACTTACGAGTAGTACGTCCAACTTGATTTCCATTCGTTGTTTTACTATTCCTATCAATATCAGAGAGACAGACAGTTCTAGTGGTGGAGCTCGTACGTCCTTGTTCCATAAATCATATCGTTCTATCTGACTTGGCCACAGCATATCTGGATCCAGACGCCGAACTTCGCAACTACTTGATTTCTCCTGGCGGACCTCTCCATATTCGATACCTATGTTTCTTGTGCACTCTTTTCGACGAGGTTAGGAAAGTACTGAAGACCCTCCCAGGAAACGGAACAGGAAAGGATACAGCACTTCTCTGGCGAACGCAGAATCTAATAATCGTAGGAATCTGTACCATGATGTCATTGAACGGGCTCGAGAAGTGACATCTGCCTGTCAGTTAACCTTATCATGCAGGACGCTCATGTTCTGGTAGTCGGAAGTCAAGCGCGCCTCCTCTCAGTCAGCGCCTTCCATTGAGCGGAAGAACCTTGTCGAAGTAACAAAGGAGTCCTACCAGAATCTGATCAACATCCTCGACTCCAACATGAAGTTGAAGCTATTGATGTATATCGACGAGGCTCATACTCTGGCATTCAAGGATCCCGGCAATCAAAATAACTATGACTCTGTGCTCAGCGATGGCTGATCTTGGTGGTTCCAACCATTTTATCATCTTCATGTCGACTACTGGGGTGCTGAGCCTGCTCGACCGACCCAAGTCCGACCAATCATTAGCCCGGGCAGTCAGCATCATAATCAAGTCACCTGCACCCTTCACCATTCTCCCCTTTGATGTCTATGCAAAATTTCGATACAACGATCCCGGATTGACGTTTGAACACATACAGAGCATCGAACATCTTGCTTGCTTTGGGTGGCCCATGTAGGTTTTGACGTCCTTCTAACCTTCATTGCACTGATTTAATATTTTAGGTGGCATGCAATACTTGATACTGGCGCCGACGAACAATGGCTCATTTTTTTTTGGCTCTGTCCAAATTGACACGTAAAGATTGCGCAGAGACTCCTCAGTTCGCGATTCATCAGGGTATTCCCGTGAATGAGACGTCTAAAAGGGACGCCTCGAATGAAGAGCCTGATTTGTTCAAAACGGTCCTTGCGGATGTCAGAGTTATGATTGTATGATTGAATATGAGCCTCGCTGAGAGAAGGCTCGTCATCTGCAAGAGGAGATGTTGAAGGGTCACATGCGGGTGGCGTTTTCCGTGCCGGACCATAAAGAGTATATGAGATCCAGACATCCCTCGGAACCTCATCTGCTTCCTTCTTGAGGAAAATCTGATTGGCAAGGGTGAACGGGGCGAACTCGTTGGCCGGCTTCTTCTTACGTTGGGATGCGGCAATACATCAGTTAATGTTGGATAAGAAAAATCTTTCGATGCCAATTGCTCAAGATAATAAGCAGGCTATCTGTTCTCGACCTGTGCTTCTGTTGGACTTCTTGGTTGCCCTTCTACAGCCTGATAGTCGCGTTGGAGGAGAGACTTTTGAAGAGGCGTTCAAAGACGGATACGTGTGCTTCACCTACTTTGGATGTGCTGGATCTCCTGATGCCATCAATTCTGGCTCAGCTTTTGCAGTGTTCATCCATGACATCGCATGGCAGTGCTCGTCTGGACATCCCATCATCGACATCTTCCTTCTTCTCATTGTCCCCAAAGACTTGGCTGCACATCGAGGCTTTAACGTCGACCAACTGCCGCTAGAGAAATTTCACCACTCAGGGATCTTTGTCTCAATCAAGGACAAGGTGAATGCCGAGAGGAAGAATTATACTATCAATGCAGAAACGCTTAGATTTTAAGTCAATCAGGACGAGGATGTTGATGTGCCTTATGTTGCCATCTTGATGCAACTTGGTATCATCGGGAAGCGTCCGAAGACACCAGCACCTCTAGAACCATCCACGACACCGACGGATCGAGGATCATCGACTGAAACAACAGACACCCCGTCGAGAGTCACTTCCCACCCTAAGAGTCAGCCCGAGAGGAAGGCCAAAAAGGCTAGCGAGGCACACCCCCGGTATACGATCGTAATATCTGGTTGTTCACCCTCAGTCTACAAAGTAATCAAGGAGGACGAAAAGTTCAAATACGCTAGGATGCTAGCTTCCAGGGGGATAATCTACGATCTCTTCGTCTTCTCAAAAATATGAAGCCGTTTTTGAGCCTTGGTCCAGAGTACTCTGATTGGGCTCCTGGTCTCCCCGGTGTTGGCGTCGCCCAGAACCTAGAGATGCATTTGACACTAGAGATCACGTATGGTGATAAGGCGGTGATTATTGAAGGACCTTACGCTGATGATTTGGATACTGGGCTAGATCCTAATTAGTTATGCTTTGCACCGTTCCTCTGTGTCTTATGCTATTGTGTTAACCGGCTGCGACATGGGCAATCCTAGCATTCTTGAACAATGTATGATACCTTGCCGTAAATTAAACGGCAGCTGAGCCTTTCGTATTCGTGTTTGGATCAGACCCTTCTCCACCTCTGTCGCATAGTCACACTTTGGGATATCTTGTCGGCGGTCACCGATGGTCAGACATGTAGGCGATCGCAGTAGCGCTTGTGCTGCTCGTCGGCTGTTGTACGTTTTGGTAGGCCCAATTTGATACTTTTTCGTCGCGCCTTCTAACTCGCAATATAGGCATGCGATCGGGACGGCATAAGCCCCATCAAGGCAGTGACACTCCGTGGACTCCTTGCCTCATGTACTGCGTCGCAAAATATGTCCAAGATGAAAACGGCGATCAGTTTTGCTCATCAGAGGAAGCCTTTCTGAAATATTGGACGATTGCAGCGCTTGCAGAATTTTTCTTTGTTCTACTTCCATATACCACTCACAGGAACGATGAATTCGAACTCTTGTGCCATCCCGACGACAAGATTCAGTACGGTAAGGAAGATCTCACCGAAGAAGCACTCAGGAACACCGAGCGTAGAGGCCGGGGCCTCGTCATATAACGCGCTCTCTCCTCAATCACCACCTTACGGCCACCCAGCTTTACTGGGGAAGCCTCTGTACGCGTTTCATCAAAAGAGCTTCCGTGAAGAAAAACCTATGAGAAGAATGGTTGGACCAGTCGTTAGCCCGAAATGAAAGGGGGTGGCACATACTGGCCCCGAAATTTATTAATATTCCCTTCGGCGTACCATTCACTCGTAGGGAAAAGGCCTCGAATCATCCCTGCGAACACCCTGAGTACCCAATGGATGCGGATGCAGTACTTGACTCCAAACATATTATTGATGAAGTGCAAAACATCCTTCATTTATTTTCTCAGCACGAGGGAAACAGTCCTGTGACTCGGAGCATCTCTTCGGGACCGTCAAAGTTCCCATACATGTGTAGTGTCGAAGTCTTCCGAAAGCCCCCAACACGACATTTGCCATCAGGAAGAGCGTTCCTGGTTGTAAGACAAGTGCAAGACGCAGAAATTCAGAGCCAAAGGGCTTGCAACGGCGCCGAGCGTGGTATTGACGAAAGCTGCTTAGCGTCTGCCAAATTCAAGGCGTCAGAACATATAAGAAGTTAATAGCAAGTTCTCACCTTTGATTACGTTCAGAAAAAGCAATCGATTATCACTGCTTCCAAAGTAGGAACGAGATGCGATGCATCAAGAAATTATCTGACCAACACCGGTCAAACGTCGGTGCCTCACTAGAAGCTAAAGTTCACATGGGAGACAAGATTTTGATTGTGATGCGACATCTCGTTTCAGCCCGTTCCATACCAATATAAAACCACGTCTGGATACTATTGAGTACCGCGTCTTAATGTGACTCACCGGCAGCGAGAGTTGATGGATGGACTCGGACCGAAGTTCGGCAGAGACGCGTGCCTAACAACAATCACCACTCCGAGAAACAGGACGGCCATGGCTGACGATTGCTAGCAGTTCAAAGGATCAGGAAGAGCACGAGAAAGCGGGCAGTGTACCGAGCAGTTACTGAGCGGAGTCCTGGTCACAGTCGAGTAGAGAGAATACGATTATTTGTTTATTTATTTACATAATAAAAGATTTGATGAGCCATCGATGTTTGTGTTTGTTTGAACCTCGCTCCTCTGACTTTTGCGCCTTCCTTGGCATCCCCCATCCCGATTTCTCTGCTGTACCAGTACACGCTGTTCTGTACTACTTCAGTCCTCTTTTTTACTTAGATTTCCATTCACTTTAATCCTTCATGTGAGTGGTCTTCCCCCGAATTTGCGCCATTTTTCCTCCCCAAATGCCGGGGAAAGTGCTGACATGTCCTGCCTATAGCATGACCGCGCCTTCAAATTCGTCTGCTCACCGCAACGTCGTTCCTTCTGAGGTTGGATGGCAGTTCGTTCCCCAGTACTACACCTTTGTCAACAAGCAGCCCGATCGTTTGCACTGTTTTTATACTAAAAAATCTACTTTTATTCACGGGACTGAGGGGGAGGATGGAAAGCCTTGTCATGGTCAACAGGTGCGTAATGTCTATTCCTTTGCGTTTTTGCTTCTCCAAGCTCAATTTTTCCTCAGGAAATTCACGCGAAAATAACTAGTATCGGGTTCCAGGACTGTAAAGTCTTTATCCACTCCGTCGACGCTCAATCTTCCGCCGACGGTGGTATCATCATCCAGGTTATCGGTGAAATGTCCAACCATAATGATCCGTGGCGGAAATTCGCCCAAACTTTTTTCCTGGCCGAGCAGCCAAATGGGTACTTTGTTCTCAACGATATCTTCCGTTTCCTCAAGGAAGAGACCGTTGAGAGCGATGAGGCGGAGGAGCCAGTTGAGACCGTTGCGCCTATGGAACCCCAACCCGAGCCGGTACCTACTCCCGTCGAGGTTCCACGGGAGCGCACCCCGACTCCTCCGCCGCCCCCACCGGCGGAACCCGTCCCAGCAACACCGCCGCCTGTCGAGGAACCCCCAACCACGGTTGCTGACGTCCCAGAGCCTCCAGCGCGGATTCCTACACCTGAGCCGCCCAAGCCGCCCACTCCTGCCCCTCTGGCAGCGCCCCCCGCTCAGACAAACGGTATTCACCCACCTGAACCGGCAGTTTCTGCCCCTGCTCCTCCTCCTCCCGTCGTCGAGAAGGCCCCGTCGCCCAGGGCTCCTGCAGCCAAGACGTGGGCCAACCTCGCTGCGACCAACCCCAAGAAATGGGGCGCGGCTGTGGCCCAGGAGTCGAGGGGCACCACAGAAATCGTACCGTCTTCGACGCCAGGAAGTGGAACACAGACTCCCTCTGCCCCAGCTCCAGCAGCCAATGGACCTGTTCGCGCGTCTCATCCGGCGTACGTCGCGGCGCAGGCAGTGGCCACTGCCCATTGTTTCGTCAAGGTAGGATTCATCTCCAGACACTTTTCACGGCTTTCTCTCATCCCTTTCTAGGGTGTCACGGAGCCCGTCTCGCAGACCGCACTGACAGCGCAGCTCTCGCATTTCGGAACGATCAAGGAAATTGACATTGTGCGTTCCAAGGCTTGCGCGTTCGTCGAGTTCGTTGCTGTGGAGTCTGCTAAGCGGGCTATTATCGCTTCGTTGCCCGTGGCTCAGGGTGGTGGAGGTGGTGTTTGGGTTGAGGCTAGCGGTGAGGTTCCCGGGGTGCGAATCACTGTAGAGACGAAGAAGGAGCGGGGCGACAGGCCAGTCAGTCGTCCAAGAGGCGGAGCGCCGCAGGGCGAGACACGGGGAGGTGGAGGTGGCGGTGGCGGATTCCGGGGCGGTCGTGGTGGTGGTCGTGGAAGAGGTGCAGCTGCAGGAGGAAAGTAGTCGCGCTGGGTCAGCCTGCTCAACCTCTTCGCATCGAATTGCGGACTAAAAAAAAACAGTAAAAAGGAATAAAAAGTACTGATCTTCACAATCATCTTTGTTGCGCGCGTCTTATTTACTATATCGGTCCTTTTTACGGTCGTTGTTGTTTTTTGCACTTATTTTTTTTTTTCGCTTTTTGTTGTCCTCGCATTCTTACCATATACTCTCATCCACCCCCACCCGCACACTCTCCGTCATGCCCTCGCTACGCCCCATTCATGTAAGGTTTTCGTTATGCATACATATTGGATTCCTCTTTGATGTCCATGTATTCGTAGCACTTTCTCTTACGAAAAAAAAAAGGAATCAAAATTATTTCAATAAGTACTTTGTTTAACCCGATAGCCATGTGGGTGTATGTACTTGCTAGGAAGGTTTCCGTCAAGCCTGCATGAGCACTGACACTTACACCCACAGGATATTCTTCGGATCTTATATCACTTAGGTTCTGTAGAACAGTCGGTGGTTTTATGGCTGAAGCATCGAGATATCGCACTCCGAGATCGCCGAAATTTAAGCTTTGTCGATGTCCGCTTGTTTACGACTAAGTTTAGACCGCTCCCACTCAAGCTGCACGCAAACGGCAGCAAGTCCTCCGAATCACAGGCCAGTAGATAAGTAGCCTCGACTATAAAGATGGATGGCTGCACGTTTCGTCAATCAGTCGTGGCACTTGCGCGCCCTAGTTCATATCCTGAGAGTTCAGAACTTTTTTTTTTCTTTTTGAACTATTGGGTACTATCCGTATCTTTCAAATCATCCCGAGCCTGATGATCTCCCATCCATGTTGTGAGCCTCGATGCTGTGTACATGTTTCACCCCGCAATCAACAATGCTCAGTGACGGCGACACGGTGACTACCCAGCCACAACTATTCATTCACTACAGAGCGTACTGATAATCCTTCACAAAGCGACTGTTCTATACTCCTAAAAACTGTAACATAAGAAATAATCGCCCGTAACATCCGAGTTTCAATTATCTCTGATCCGAAAATCGCCACACTCTACCATCCACTTCCAGGAAAGCGTGGTGGGCCTTGTCCGTGCGGAGGGTAACCACCATACGGCTCTGCTCCAGGGAACGAAGGAACGCCACCTGGAGGAGGACCTAGAGGCGGCTCAAAGCCGCCTGGAGGATGTTGACCATATCCCCCATATCCCCCACCACTTCCAGGGAAGGCAGGAGGAGCCTCAGGGAAGACAGGTGCCTCCGAAGCCGCTCCAGGGAAGGCGGGTGCTTCCGAAAGCGCTCCAGGGAACGAAGGCGCAGACGAATACGACGGGTTGTATCCCGATTGATGATGGTGTTGGTGATGATGATGATGATGTGTCGGCGGAGGCCCTGAAGGAGGGGCATAGGCTGCAGGAGAAGCGCCGGGTAACGACGGTGCATCAGGGAATGAAGGCTCAGACGCAGCTCCAGGGAAAGATGGAGCAGGTGAATGCGTTCCTCCACTATGGTAAGACGACGGCGAATTCGCTCCGCTTCCATAATAAGACGACGCCTGACCCGTTGATGGAACAGGTGATGGATTATGGCTGTGTCCGTGATGCGCTCCAGGGTATCCAGATGAAGGTGGTGGTGCAGAAGGAGGCGACGAAAAGTTATCTCCTTCTCGCTTGCTACCACTTCCACCGCCAAAGAGATGCTGAGCTTGCGCCACCCCCGGGATCTGGTTAGCGTATCCAAGCAAAGCGTGTTGTGCCTGCTGGCCTTCATTCCACGCAAAACTATCTTGTGCCGCAGAAGGTTTGCTACTATCCGCTGAACGCTTGTTATTCCCTTGCCGAACGGACTCCTTCGACAATCGGCCAATGATTTCGTGTTGCTTGGGTCCGAGACCCTGCACCCACTTTTGCAGGCATTGCATCATTTCGTTCTGTACTTTCGAGTTACTAGTCATGAAATCGGGATGGAACCTGAAACATGATTGAGCGACAAGACTCATGCCAAGGGAGGATACCATACAGTGCTGAAAGGATATCTTCGGTTGCTTGATGTACGTTTACAGAAGTGTCGTCCCAGGCCTTCGTTACCAGTGTAACAGTATTCACCTTGATAAACTTTACCATTGCATCGCTGCATGGTCATGTACGAAACTCACCAGTACGACCTTGGCAATCTCTCCGGCAGGCTCATTGAGTATTAAGTTCTGAAACGCGATGGATAAAGATATATCATCACATCATGATCAACTCACGAAGTGGTCTTTACTCAAAAGAGAATGTGTTGGATCCGACTGCCAGAATTGGTCAATCAGAATCAGACGGGAAAGAAACAAAACAGAATAGAACGAACCGCGCGGGGATCATTGAACACTTCATATTGATCATGACTGTTGATAACCTCACTTGAAGCTTCCGCTAAACCTGCCGTCGCGGTTTGGAGCAGAGGCTTGACGAACGGCTGTATCATTGATAATAAAGCGGGGATTCGGAGATCTCCAAGCAACGCACCTCTATTGTTGAAAAGACGAAGACTTTGAAACGACGTATGTCAGCAACTCTCTTCTGCCAAAATATTGACCAGACGATACCAGAAACCCCATCCATAATTTTTTCAATCAAGGCAGAAAGCCCGGGTATATTTTCTGAATTTCGATCAGTTACAACATTTAGTCACCAGTACCCAGACGTACCAATAGTCTTCTCAATCTTCTTCGCCATCGAGTCTCTAAAGATCAATACTTGCCATAGCACGGAATGCAATTCCTGAGGCGACATGTCCTCTGGCCTCTTCCCGCCTTGAGCGGCTCCTGCTCGAATTCGTTCGATATTGTCCATGTCCCGCGACAAGTCGCCACCAATGCCACCAGGCAAGGAGGTGAACATGCTTCGGAGAACGCCGGCAGGGCCATAGGAGTCTCCGGAACGACTGGAGGTGGACCTTGCGTCGTCGAGCTTCTTGTTCAGGTCCGACACAGATGCTTCACTAAGCTTGTCGCCAGCCTCTACAAAAATAACGGTCAATGCCAAGCAGTTGGCAACTTTAAGATCGATAAAGTACCTCCTAGTAAGGAGTATATGAAGTCGTTGCCGCCGAACGTCCCCGTCACGATAGGCGCCACCCATTGACCATTGGGTGCCTGAATCCTTACCTGATCGCCAACGTGCTGGAAGACATCTTTGTGTCCCATCGAAACAAGAGCAATTTCGCAGAAGTTAGAGTGAGCGGAGAAATCTTCAAGTGTATGTAAGGCTTGTCCAAGAAGGCGATATGCTTCGTATTCGTCTTGCTTCCTGCCCTGCGCCCGTTGCTGGCGACCGAGTTGAATGCACTTTTCGAGTGTACGACGAACGAGAGCCTTGCTCGTGTCCCAGCCACCGGATTCTATCCGAGCCGAGATTATTAGGTGCCCTCAGTCATTCTGAAACTCAACGTACCATTAGCAATGTAGTTCTTCATTCCAGTTTGATGGTCAATCTCGATTTCTCTAGGCTACGCGGGCGATGTGTGCTTTGAGGAAGAGTATTTGAATCAGACTCACATCGACGGGTCCACGCAGTTTGGGATGGTATTTCCTTGCATCCTCCCCTTCTCCGTAACCTTTGGGGTTGTCGATATGTTCAGTGGGCAGATAAACTCCTAAGCGTTCGGGGGTGACTTCAAATTCGTTCGTGGCATATCCGTGAGCCTGCAATACAATTTGATTGTCAAATAATATGACCTAAACGGACACGTACCATGAAACCTAGCACCATGCATAGATTTACAATCGTCTGGCACACGCCGTTGAGGAGTTGAAGTGGAAAAGAAGTGAGCACATACCTGAAGGGGCAGCTTCTTTAGGCCAGCAATATCGACAGCCTGTTACATCTCCGGTCAAAATGAGGTTTCGTGATGCACACCTATCAACAGACCTGACTGTAATCGCGAAGCCAATTGCTGTTAATCTGCTTCAGCCAACGCGAGAGCACAAGAGCAAAAAAGCGAGCATACCCAAAGTAGACGCGTTTTATGTCAAGACCGCCAAATTTTGAACCCTTCCCAATAATGCTAGCCAGTGCGAATCCTCCGGCTCCTTTCTTCACCAGCTCTGCCAGTGCATCTTCCTATACTGCCCTTTAGTGATGTCTTGTCTTTGATGTAAGCGATCTCCACTCACGATATCTCCATGGCGGAATGCCTTGCCCTCCATGTAAGCGAACCTAAATGATAGATCTTGTTGATCAGGAGGTCACACAGCACTCAACAGTACTTACGACGGTATGTTCCCTGCTCCAAAGGCATAGACACCATTGCCAGGCAGACATACTGCAAATGTGAACACTAGAAGGAAGAGAAACGTCATATTTCCCGACATGATGGTGGTGGTGGTACGGAAGGAAACAGATTGTGGCGTGGATGGATCTTGAATGAATGCACTGCAAAGCTGTGGTAATGCCAAGCCCGCTTGGCGGTGGTGGTGGTGGCTGTAGATTTTGAGGGTGTAGTAGCGCGTCGTCGATGTTCTTACAGCGATGAGGGTCTGTAAATTCAAAAACAAAGTGGGAAGCGGTCAAGGGTCCTTTTATCAACAACATCAGGGCGTCGGGGTTGATGTGAGTTGGTGATGACATCAAGAAGGTTACGTAATTATCATAGATAATTATTTTTCTCCCGGATATATATAGATGGGATGAATTTGTGGCCTTTATTCGCGCAAGACGACATATATACTGGCATTTCTAATCGCCCACGCTCGCTAGAAAATACTGAGATAGGATGCTGACTCGGCCAAGTTCTGTACTTGTGCTACAGGACAGGTAAACCTTGGGCGCGATTTGCTTTGATGGAGATACGCCGCTTTCACTCCGACTTAACGGCCAAACATAATGCCCTCTGAAGGCTACCACCCTCATGATGCCCATCATCGCCCGACTCACCATATTACCTCCCAGGTTCACCGTGACTACAACACCACCGGGGCTGCCCTCACTGAGGGCCCCAGCTCCCAATCCCAATCTCAATCCCAAAGCCTGCTCTCCCAGGATATCGCCAATGCAGTGGCGATCCTCAGGACAATCGAGAAGATTGTCTGGGAGATTGTTGAGGTTTTGTTTTGCATCGTCATCGCCCTCTGTTTGTTGGCTCTCGGATTCCTAGGGGCCTTTTTTGGTATTCGGAACGTCATCGGCCATTGGATATTGCTTCATCTTCGCGCCTCCTCAAAATCCTATTCCAAAGTCACCCTGCTGTCGACTTTCTGGTTTGGATTTTGGGGCTCAGCTATTACATTCATCCCTTTCTGGCTAGTATACGTCCCGCTGCGCAATTTCCTTTGGGATACAGAAAACCCGATTTTGGCGTCCTTCTTGGCATTCCTCAACCTTGTCCTGGTCACTGCCATGGTCGCATTGGAATGCAAAATTGGAGTGTTTCTCGCCAGGCGCTACGGTGTAGTGACGCTCAAACTTGGAGATGCTATCCGTGTTGCGTACACTGGAGTAGTAGCCCCGATCCTTGGGGTGTGCATTATGCTAGTGCTCCTTCTCGGAGTCAGTCTTTAATCTGCTGGTACGTCGACTTATTTTCTCTACTTTATTATTTCATATTAAAGATAGACACAGAGTATCGGTGGTAGTGGTGATCGAGCTGCAGATCCTTGGATGCATTGGTGATGTACATTGTTTGTATGCTCCACGGTTCTTGCATAATTACCCTTACCAACATAGTATACGGCAAATCCCTGGCTTCGTGATGTGTAATGCATAATACTGACGGCCCTGCCAAAGTCTCGTCAGCGACCAAATATACATTTGTTCCAATGCCAACTTATAAGACTATCGTGCTCAAGATAAGCGCTACTGCTACAATATGAATTCGATCCACCCAAGTGACGGTACAGGCACGCTGAGTAGTTATTTTCGTTCGAGGCAGCATCGATATCGACATTCACCGTAAGTCTACCAAGTCGGTGGCGATGCTACAACAGTCAATGGATCGTGTACTACACTTCCTGCCTACCTACCTTCCACTACCTTCCATGACGCTTTCCCTGTCTCCGGCAGCTGGTCATTGCGATGAGCATCATGCCCAACGGTTTCAAGGCCCTATATCTGCGTCCTAACCAAAGTGTTTTCATCCTGCTTTGCTATGCTCTCTCGCTAAGTTACCATGGGGACGAACGACCCTACTTTGGGTACCATACCGCTTCGCGCCGAGGAAATACTCCAAAAGTGCCACAATCTACACATTTTACTGGAGTCACAGCCGGGCTTTGACAGCAGAATGGAATCTGACAGATATGTACAAACGACGAGGCCGACGCTGTTGAAAAACGCGTTTCTGGTGTTGAAGTTGTACGAGATGAGTATAAAGGACAGGTCAAGGAGGTCGGAGACATTCATCCAGAAGTGTTGGACGCGAGCTTGTCGTCACTTCAGGACGTTGGCGGGGCATGGGTATCGCCAGGGTGCGTATCAACCAATTTTGTCCATTTCATCGCTGATCCTGGAGTAGAACTGTCGACTTTCACCCTCCGGATTTCAACGGGTGCTCAGATAGAAACCCATTACACGGTATCGGACTGTGCTGGTATCTATTAGATGCCTACATCAGTCGACTTGCACCTGTATAGATAACAGACAACATTCTGCCGGCTGACGCGTCTGAAGAGGCCATGCATTCACCAATGCTGGTCCTTTGTACTTCTAGGAGCGCTCAAGAGAGTACGCTTCAAAAATGCGGCTTCGGAGAAACATACACTAGCACTGCCGTCGGCGGGTGGATCTATTTGGGTTCGATAGCGTGATCATACCGTGATCATACATAAAACACGGAGATACCACTCTCTACTCTGCTCACTTCATCGAGCACCATATATTTCCCAGTGTACGAACATTAACGACTAATCATAATGCCCTCTGAAGACCACCACTCTCATGATCCCTATGATATCCCTATCACCTCCCAGGTCCACCGCGACTACGGCACCACTGAAGCCTCCCTCACCGAGCGGCCCCCGCTCCAATCCCGTCTGACCATAACCCACACCCAGCTCGCAAAGCACTCTCAGAACGCCAGTAATATAGTGGCCTTCTACACGGGACTCAGAATAATCGGGCAGATTGTCGGGGCCTTGATCTACATGGCCATCGCCCTCCTTTTCCTGGCTGTCTCGCTCGGATTCTCGAGTATCTTCAGTGGTATTTGGAACGTCACCGGCCACTGGATTTTGCTTTACCTGAGCCCCACTCCGAGCCCCTACTCCGAAGCCACCCTGCTTTCGACTTTCTGGTTTGGATTTTGGGGCTCCGCCACTACAACCATACCTTTCTGGCTAGTTTACATCCCGCTCCGTGCCTGCTGCGACTTCGCTTGTAGAGGGAGCTTGACTTTGCCGTTCCTCAATCTTGTTGTGGTCGCTGCCAAGATCGCGTTGGAATGCATAGTTGGAGTGCCTCTCGTTGGGCACTATGGTGTAGTGACGCTCAAACTTGGAGATGCCATCCGCGTTGCGTATCTTGGAGTAGCAGCCCTGTTTCTGGGAGTAGTGGGTATTATGCTAATGCTCCTTCTCGCAACAATTCCCTTTATCACTTTTTAGCCTTTGGTACGTCGACTCGTTCTCTCTACGCTATAATATTAACGATAGACACAGAGTATCGGTGACCAGGTAGTGATGATCGAGCTGCAGATCCTTGGATGTGTAGTGCATCATGCGTCAATGTACACGGTATTTGTATGCTCCACGGTTCTTGTATAATCCCCCCCGCCAACTGTATAGTGTACGATAAAACTCTGGCTTCGCAATGTATAATCCATAACACTGTCCCTGCCAAAGTCTCAGCAGCGAGCAAATATAAAGTTGTTCCAACGATAACTTGATGCCTCTAATCAACATGGTACAGATATGCACAATATTTACTTTTATTCGAGGGAACATCGGTATGTAAAGATGTCGGTGGCAGTGCTGTAGCAGTCGGCCATCACCTTCTATGACGCTTTCCCTGTCTCCGGCAGCTGGTCAATGCGATGGCTCTCACGCTGGACGGTCGCAGGGCCTACACCTGTATCCTAACCAAAGGACCCGTTCTCATCCTTCTTTGCTGTGCACTTTCGCTCTCATGGATGTTCAAATGGACGAACGACCCTGCCTTGGTAACCATACCACTTCACGCTGAGGAAATACTCCAAAAGTGCCAGAATCTACACGTTTTACCGGGACCACCACTGAGCAGAACAGAATCCGATAGGTATGTACAGACGACGAGGCCGACGCTGTTGAAAAATGCGATGATTTGGACCGGACGCGTTTCTGGCTCTGAAGTTGTGAGAGGCGACCTGTTGATGGATAAAGGACTGATCATGGAGGTCGGAGACATTGATCCAGAAGTGCTGGACGCGTTCGGCCGCGAGCTCGTCGTTCAGGACGTTGGCGGGGCATGGGTTTCGCCAGGGTGCGTACTATCAACCTATATAATTCCACCCTTTTCTTCGCTAATTCTGGAGTAGAATCGTCGACCTTCACTCTCACCTGGGAATATGCTACTCTCCGGATCTCAACGGATGCTCAGACGGGAACTCATTTCACGGCATCGCACAACCATGGCTTCGTAGTCTCGACGCCCTCAATATTCACGACGATGCCTATCGTCTTTCCATTGCGGGAGGAATTACAACAGCGCTTATCCTTCCTGGTTCCGCTAATGCCATCGGTTCGTCTACAGGTATCTTAGCCTGGCACCATCTAACATCCATAAACCAGGTGGACAGGGATTTGTGATCAAATTACGCCCTACAGAAGAAAAAACTCCCTCTTCGATGTTATTGGAACCGCCTTTTTCGTTGAATGGCTCGTATGTAAACCCTTCACTACCCCCGAGGTGGAGACAAATGAAGTGCGCGCTCCGATTTCATGACTTGCTCGTAACCTAAATATCCCATCCACGTCACAGACAGGCGTGCGGTACGTGTATTGTTTTTGTCAACTACTTACGTGTATCTGACTATTCCGAACAGGTGAGAATCCAAGTTTGTATTTCTCTCATCGTGCTAGTGTTGTTCGGTATCAATGCTGTTATAGGCCGTGTCTATGAAGGATCGCGAATGGACACAATCTGGGCATTTCGTCAAGCATACGATATGGCCCGAACCATCCGGGATAAACAAGACGCGTATTGTATTAAAGCTCTTGCTAGCCAATGGTCAGGCCTAGGTGATTTTCCCGACAGTCTTCAGTGGGAAGCGCTTGTGGATGTGCTCCGAGGACGCGTCAAGGTAATCAAGCATTTTGTCTCATCCAGTTTCTTTGTTCTAATCCCCTTCAAATCCAGATACACAACCACTGCTACGAGGCTGTAGATCTGGACGGTATAGTAAGGGTAAGCATACCACGTCCACTGTAGAATAATGCTTTACTAGCGATCTACACAGCTCTCAAATGAGTTCAAATTCCCAATTGCGGCTTTTCATCACGCGCATGAAACCTACCTTGTCCCGGACCTCCTCAAAAGAGCATATGGTCCGTTCCTTCATACCACCGTATTGTTTCTTGTCTGATTCGCCATCCGCAGGAGACCCTCCGGCATCAGCTGTCTTCGCGACCTTCGCGCACTTCAAGCGAGAAGGTTATCGCGGTTCGGAATTCGCTGCTCGCATTTTGTCTGAGCATGGTTTAGACGTGGTCATGAAGGTCGTTTAGTCTCTGTTTCTATCAATTCCGATTAACTAATGGGCATCAAACTGTAGAGTGACCATCCGGCAATGAATTCGCGGTACCTGCTCCATGAAGCACAGCTGGCACATTATTATGGATTGCCGGATAATATTGCGCTTGCCTCTGTTACGTCTACTCCCGCCAAAATCATGGGTGAGGACCACAGGATTGGATACATAAAACCAGGTACGAGATTTTGGCTGCAAGTGCTATCCTGGTGCTCACCCGCATGTCCGTCCGTTATGTAGGATACGACGCAGGTAGTCTCTTCTGCCTTTTGCCTTCCTGCCGTGTCACTGAACGTCTCTTCCTCAGATGTCGTCATCTGGGATAGCCATCCTCTCGCTTTAGGTGCCACCCCTAAGCAAGTGTACATCGACGGAATAGTCCAGTTCAACAAGCCCTACTCGAGACCAAAGCCGCTGTCTCATCAACATATTCCAAAAACACCGGATTTTGACCAAGATGCCGTAGATGCTGTGAGGTACGACGGCTTGCCTCCCCTCCAGGCAAAGATATCGACTTCGGATGTCGTAATCTTCACAAACGTGACGAGCGTATTCATGAAAGGCAGCCGACGTATAGAACAGGTATTTTCTGCTGCTGATGACAGGCTGGCAGGCATCGTTGTTGTCAAAGATGGAAAGGTCGTGTGCCGGGGAATAGAGCCATGCCTTGAGGTTCATTCTGACTCAAATGTTAGACGCGTGAATCTAATGGGTGGGTCGATAGCGTGAGTGTTTGTCCCGTATGCGTTGCATTGAATTCTTATCGTTTCGGTCCGTCTAGTCCTGGCCTCATCACTGTCGGCTCGCCCTTGGGACTAACCGATATCGATCTCGAGGACAGCACTAAAGACGGGCTGGTAATTGATCCCTTGTTGTCCGAAATCCCGAACTTAGTGGGAGGGGGAGAAACGGTCATACGAGCAGTGGATGGTTTGCAGTTCGCGTCTCCGGATATGCTGTATGTCGTCTTTCGACGCGTGAGGATTGGACTGACGAAAAGTTCATATTTCAGACTGGCTTATCGCGGAGGGGTTACTACTGCTGTAACCGCGCCAGAATCTTCCGGATTCTTGTCTGGCTTAAGTGGGGCGTTCACTACCGGTGCTGCACATAAGTTGGAGGATGGTGCTGTGATACAAGACGTCGCGGCGCTGCATGTTATAGTGTCCATGTCTTCAGATATCAGTGTTAGCACTCAACTGGGTGCTCTCAGACGACTGCTGTCTGGCGAGATACATGGGGATCTAGGTGCGCAGTTTAAGAAGGTCGTGGAGGTATGTTTTCACCGATCCTCAAATAGATTTTACACAGCTAATGATGGAGACACTAGGGTGAACTACCGCTTGTCGTGACAGTCTACAGCGCAGATATCATGGCGTCTTTGATGCAACTCAAACAAGAAGCCGAAAAGAGATCCGGGAAAGCTATCCGTCTGACATTCCTTGGAGCGTCCGAAGCCCATCTTCTCGCTACCGAGATAGGCAACGCTGGCGTCGGCGTAATCCTTGGCCGTGTACGGCCTTTCCCTACCGACTGGCAATCAAGGAGAATGTCTGTTTTTCCTTTTTCTTCCATGGAATAAGATTTATTGAAACCCCGCCAAGTCTCCCCGGCCCGCCACTTTCTGAGGACAGCGCCCTCGATGTACTCCTATCGCACAATGTCACAGTGGGCATCGGCCTTGATATCCTCGGTTTGGGTCCACAGAAAAGTTCCGCTCGGAATACTAGATTTGATGCAGCCTGGGTTAGTAGTGTTTCAAATTTCTCAGTAGTGCGGCCATCTTTGTGGCTAACTCGCTTGCCACAAGGCTGCACTTGAAGCTCGCACGGAGATATCTCAGTCCGGTGCTCTTGCGTTGGCGTCGGTGAATTTGGAGACCCTGCTTGGTGTGGATGATGATGAAGACTATGATATGGTGGTGACGGCGTTTGGGACTTTGCTTGAGTTTGAGAGTAAGGTTGTTGGGGTTATCTCGTCTAGACGTGCAGTGGTTGATCTATTCTGAGAATGATGTCTAGTCTTCGGGTTTAAAAACTATTTGATACGGCTTCGCCTGTTTTTGGTCGAAGGCGAATTCCCGTATTTTGGACGCTGGCAAGCCAAGTCGGTTATACGTCCCGGCTCCGACGAAGCGCCAAAACTTCATCGTTTCTTTCACCCCATCATCATCCTAATCACGGAGAAATGCCTTGGAATCCTTCCGAACTCACGACGAAACGGCTGTTTCCTTCACCTTCAAGTGGCTTTCATGTGTCTGTAGCGCCCTCGATTCTTCGACTCGTAACCGTTTTAAGGATGTCCAGTGGACAAAAGGTAGATTAATGAAAGCTGATATACTTTTGTACGTTTACATCCCCAATTGCTATGATTAGACTACATACCACCCTTGAACTGTCTCATTACACTCTGGTTGCTGCTACATGTCGGAAGACCACGCATCATTGTGTTTGTCCCTCCAAGCCCTTCCATGAGGACTGAAAATCGATTCCTTCGTACGTAAAAAGGATATCTGTCTGGCGAGATAAATTAGAAGCAATGCGGAGATTCGGAAAGTGTATTACTCCCACCTGAATTATGCAAGTCAAAGACATTGTGGACGTGAGCAGAACTGCTACAGTACGATGGACATTATGTGGCTTGGACCAAAGTCCGACCAATAGGGACGAAGCAGTGAAGAATACATATGAGAACGAACAAACCTCGATGGGTGAAAGTCGCGGAGAAGTATGAAACATCCAATAGATGTACATGCAAATGGAGGGAAAGAACCAAATATGGGAGCAGATATACGACCTAGAGAACGCGAAAGAAATCCTGAGATGATGGACAAGCCACAAGATCTAAAATGAAAGAAGGGTCAGGCGTTAATTACAAGCAAATTGAGTGTTCGAATGCTCTGTAAATTACACACAGTAAGTACTTCAACGGGGACAATGAGTACTATTCGTCGACTGAGTTGTGTCCAGGATAATTCGATAGATCCGATGTAAGCGCCATATGTGGCATAACCAACTCACCGAGACATTCGATATATAAAGCTTATGCACAAAACCTATCACACACACACAAGAAACTGCATTTATTTCTTCAAATGTTTGATAATGAACTCAACTTCCTCATCAATGACGCTGTAAAGATGGTCGACACCGTACTTCGGCACCCATCCTAGACGTCTTCCATTATCCCCGGTCAGAGCACACCTATAATTCTACCGTCAGCTCAAGGCTAAAGGACGAAGCGAAAGACTTTTCACCTGCCAGCAACCGAGATATCCACAATCGCCTTGGGCCCGCCCAAGACCTGCGCCATCTTATCGTAGTCTTGCGCAGAAGGCTGGATCACTGCAACATCGTCCACGAGACCCCTTCTGCTCATACTAGAAGCAATGCCTTCATACAGCTTCTTCCAAGAGAACTCGCCATTGACCGCGAAGTAGTAACCGCCCTTCTTGCCGTGCGGTACATCCTTCCCCTCAAGAATACCATTGACAAGAGACATATACAGTGTCGTGATATCCTTGAGGTGGCACATTGGCCATTCCTGCCAGAACAAATACAGGGTTAGTGATCAAGGTCTCGACTTGAAGGATGCATGAACGTACGTCAGTATCACCAGCGACCTGATATATGCGCTTCAAGGCAAGGCCTATTTCCACAATTCTTACGAATTGAATGGAGATCTTGTTACCAAACCCTTCGCCTAGACCGTGAACCATTGGTGGTACGTAGACATATGTTCGGACACCTAGCTCGTCGCCGAGCTCCAGAACAGAAGTCACAGTGTCGACAGGCTGCAGCCAATACAATTTAAATACACAATCATACAATACGAAAGGATATCTCACCTTCTGCATGAAAGGAATCGGTGCTTTTGTGGCCTTCTGAATAGAGTAGACATCTTTCGTATCGTTCAAACGCTGGTTGATACCGGTGTGGCTAGAAAATATTTTGGCCCCTGACGTCTTCCTTGTTCATCAGCACAGAGATCAATATATGTGCCAACGCAACAGACTGACATGGATGAAATGAACATCTTTCCCCGTCCTTCGCTTGACAACAGCGAGACCTCGGATGAACGCTTCCGGTGGAACAAAGCTAAATGCATCCGCGAGATGCAGAATAACGGTCACTAAATGAAGCTCAACGTATATCCAATCGCACAGCCAATTAATTACGCGACACTCACGTTCAAACTCTTCAACCACCTTTTGGATGACGGCTTGATCCATAAGATCAAACTCAACTGGCCGTACGCCCAAATTTCTCACTGTGGACGCCTGCGACTCCGTGCGCACCAGTGCGTATATTTCCAGGTTAGGTATTGTGACAAGGTCATTGAGAAGTGTCCCGCCACTACAATAGGAGAGAAAAGTACAAGTCCAAAACGCGAGTTGAAGATTTACTTACAGGTAGCCAGAGGCGCCAGTGATGAGAAGCCGAGTCATATTGGAAAACTGCAGTCGTATCCTTTGCTAACAAACATAAGTCGGACTGTCGGAGCTTTGTAATTTAGCACTTACCAAGTACGCTTTGTCATAATTATCGATACACGGTCCGTGCTTCCGTCAAGAAAAGAACCAAGACCTGCCGAGAAATTAGAGATGGATTTCCCAGATTTCTCTCCTGGACTGCTAATTATCCTGTGTCTTTGCCATTAGTGATGTTCTTTCCGGTACGACGGCCGATGAAGACGGCTTTGGCAGCTTCCCTATCTTGCATATATTGCCAACGCAGGACGGCACTTGCGTTGCGAAAATAGTATGCAGTCTTCGCCAAGTAGCCTGTATCTAGATGCTCCGTTTGTCAAGGCCTGGTGTCCCCGATTACAGACATTGCTATCGATACACTCCCACGCCGTTCCTCGCAAAGACGTGAGAGGTGAATTGATGGAAAAATAGAGGCTTGCGTAAAGACCCAAAACGTCTCTTACTTGTCAGGGCGTTGTAGCACGGCTCTTGGTGAATCAAGGTGGTCCTATTAAAAACTATATTAAATGGAGGTACCTTACGACTGTTCAGCATCAGCATCAGTCAAACCGCCTACGCGACGCAACGCGGTCTCAGCTGCGTTGACGCCTTCTGGCATACCTATCACCTTCGAATGATCCAACCCTCGTCGATAGAATTCCCGAGCCATCGATTTGTCACCGTTCATCTGTAGCAAAAAGATAAGATTCACATCTTGCGATAGCAAAGGTGTCTTACTTCACGTAACATGCCAATATTAAACAGGGCTGCAGCATATGCATACTCGCATATGGGAATGGGCTCATATTGCCGGCGTGTCCGTTGCAGGATAGCCAAAGCCTGCTTGGCCCACGACTCAGCCTGATGCAGCTTTTCGGGAGTGGGTTTTCCTCGGATGATTAACTCTGACAGGTTACCCATCATTTGTGCACCTACACAAGCAATATGAGCTTACTCTAAAACATACGGAGCAGAAATGCCTCACCTCTACACTGGTCGTCTGGCGACGATGTTTGTGGCGGCGGCGGAATCAAGATGGATATAGCTTGAAGATACAGTGGCATGGCAAATCTAAACACGGTCAACACAAGCATGCCAACAGAGAAAACAAGACCCACTCGACTTTTCCTATCCGAGCGTAGAAGGCTGCTAGCATCTCGAGCGGCGCGCCAACATCCGTCTTGTCGACCCATGGTGGCAGCTCAAGCTCTGCCAGTGTCACCTGGTTATCGCTCGTAATATCCTCCTGTGGATTAATTAATCCAGCATTAGCTTCCTTCACGAGCCTCAACACCTCTTCGACGCCCCACGACAGCCACTTCTCCTCTTCATCTGCCGGCTTCTGGAGCTCCTCCGCGACTTCGCCCAGCTTCCCTGCGATAGCTACCGCGCGAAGCCTTTCCGGCCCTGAGAGGGTCTTGATCGCCTCCTGCATGCGAGTCAAGCAGTCCGTGTAGACTTCGTATGCTTTTTGTTTCTCGTTCAAGCTCTCGAGGGTCTCTGAGAGTGCTACAGCGATTCCTGATATCTTGAGCCACGGCTGGTCTTTCAGCTTTTCCAAGGGGAGTTGCTTGGCTGTTTCCCAAGCTCTGTGAGATAGCTATCGTAGGTCACCACTGAACAAACAGACGCGTAGGGAGAAGAAGACATACCTATAGAAATACCGTGCGCTTGTGTCCAGATCGCCTTTGTGCTTGGCTTTGACGGCGTCTCGCAGGTCTTGCCGAAGTTCTTCTGGCCACATCGTGAGGGTCGCGTAGAGGTCATATCTGATTTCACCGTCAACAATAGAATAATTGTACGACAGCAAAGGCTACGTACAGTCCGTAGGCAGTAAGCCCCACCCCGACGAAGAGAAGCCCAGTGAAGAACGGAGACAATCGACTTGAACTTCCAGCTGCGGCGCTGTACGTTCTACATATCGTCGGCCGTGCTCTAGGAAGAAGTACAGGCATAAACAGTCTTGTAGAGCGGAAGAGAGGCTGGGAGGCCTCCTGCAGGCGTCGTAGAGAGGACATCGTCGGCGACGATGACGACGCGACTTTCAATGTAGTTTTTTTGCCGACGCGAATTCCCGAGGATTGTCAAAGCTTTTGCCAAGCTCAAGCAAATATCCCAGATAAGATAGCGTCCTTCCTGTTTAGGCCCTGGCCATCAAGAACCTGCTCTTGACCGTTTCTGCTCGACGGTTCCTTTCAGTACTTATTAATATTACGGCTTGTATAATTATTCGGTTATCATATCTAATTGTATATATTACGGCCTCAATTTCCCTCTTCGCCTACGTCGGTCTGCAACTTCAGCCAGTCTCTGTATCTTGAATACTCCAGAGACTCGGATTCCCGAGGAACCTCTAGTTGACAGTCAGACATTCACTTAGCACCCTCAAGAAACCCTGACCTTAATGCACTAACTCGCTTGTAATACTTCCGCCGGAAGCAACAGCAATTCCGGATATCGTCTTCGCTTTCTCATGCATATAAATACTTAATCATCAGCCAATACCCTTCTGAATTCAATGCTGGATCTGCTATGACGACCTGCTTATGCGGCGTTGACTTCGAGCAGCCTAACCTTATTCACTCATATTCTCGCTGGCAATTAGAATCCCTCTTCTGTCTGATTCCGACGCGTTGCCAGCGCGGATAGTTCCACGGGAGTAGTCTGCTCTTTTTGGATCCATCCCCCTTTTTTTCGCTCATGCACCTCGTTGGCTACTCTTTTACCCTGCTACCTAATTAATATCCACTCGTCTTTGTACCTTTCCCCGTTGTGTAGAGCTGTCACAGATTAATAATGTCTCGGTGATGTCGGTAGAGCCTCAGAGACGCTATTCTGATATTTTCCAATCGTTGCCAACTCGCTTGTGAGCCCCGCTAAAAACGAGGCATTAGCAGCTGACATATTCTCCTTATCTCAAACAATCCGGGACAGATACAGGGATACACATGTTACGATAATTTTCTCTGCACTAAAATATATTATATCCATGAACCCATGTGCGCTAACGCTCGTGCGATGGACGCTAGAGACATCCTACTGATGGTCCCACGACATATTGGGCATCAGCAATTCACTTCCCTTAGCTACAGAAGCACGCAAAATCTGCACTGAAACCCACTCTGTAGATTGTTGCTCTGACAATTGTTCATACGACACGCTATTTTGACCATCAGAAACGTTGCTGCTAGACTAAGGATTCATTCAATGATAACACAGATGTGACCTGCGAATCATATCCCACATTTTGATCTGCCTATCGGGACAAGGACCAAAGGGCGTAAATCTCTTCTGAGATGGACTTTCCGTTCCACATGTCACGAGGCCGAATCCCGACCGCGTTTCGTGCGGATGTAGACGAGATGATGCTGTGAAATTCGTATTCAGACCAGGCAACATCCACTAAATGAATTCAATAGAGTGATCCTTGCCCCTGTTAGCCATTGGAAATAATGCCGGATGGTACAGGCTGCTTCCGTGGCAAAATGCACGCGTCAAAGATGATTTTGGTGTGTGATAGACACTGGGTTTCAGCTCCCATCTATCGATGAGTCTCCATCACAGGATCATCATCAGCCTCTTGGAGAAAATAACTTCCGCCCCTCCTTCCGGTCATCATTACTATGGGGATTTGGAAGGATATTCGATGAGCAGCCTGAGGATGGAGCGAAACGGCCTTTGTGAGAGCATTGAGAATATTAGCATTTTAGCAGGCCGAAGCGAGATCGATTGTGGGGTTGGGCAGACGCCATCCAATGACGTCCGGGGAAATGAATGAATTCTTTTGGACGTACAGGATCATGCATGATCCAGACAAACGACTCTAAGCATGGGAACAGCAAATAAGAGATATGGTCCACCTGAGACTAGAACGCCACTCGGATCAGAAATGAGTCAAAGACAATGATAGTATACGCAACATATCTGTCTTATTACAGCTTATTTTTCGCTTACCTCCACTCGGAGTACCGTAGATCAGCCGTCATTCGCTGTAGCTTGGCCCTGAGAAAGTAGCAGCCCAGATATATACACGTGGTAATCCATTGTGGGACAGCAGGACCAGAAGCGGGATGCCAACGAATGATTGCCATGGCGAATGTTAGGACTGGTCGATGTCAGGCAATAATTTCATGTTTTGGATGACAAGGATAAGGAGTACCACTCGTTCGGGTCGAAGCCTTGTCCTCCTTGTTGTTGTTGTATTCGCGTATACATAACACAACAAAACTGCCAAATTCGTTCGTTCTTTATTGTTCGTCCCCCTCTTCTTTTCTGCTAACCACCACCGCTCCCTCTCTTTCCTCTAATGCCTGATACTTCTGCTCCCCAGGTCCCGCAGCCGGCGGCGGCCCCAACCAAGTCCAAACATAGCCATGCATCGTCGACGACCGTCCAGTCTGCACCACGGAAAGTCCGGTTTAACGTCGGTGAGCTCGTCGTGCTTGGTAGACTCTGTGGCATGGTACTTATTCATGCGTAGGAACTCAGTACCAGGTCCTCGATGTCGTTGGCGAAGGCGCGTATGGCATTGTCTGTTCAGCAATGCATCGGCCAAGCGGTCGCAAGGTTGCCATCAAGAAAATTGCGCCTTTCGACCACTCCATGTTCTGTCTGCGGACTCTTAGGGAGCTCAAGCTACTTAAGTTTCTTAGCGAGGCTGGCGTGAGCGAGAATGTATGCATTGTCCGTTTTCTTCTTCACTTCTGTTCTGAATGGCCATCAAAGATCATCTCTATATTGGACATTATCAAGCCGTCGTCGATTGAGTCATTCAAGGAGGTCTATCGTGCGTAGTTTTTTTTCTTTTTTCTTTTCCCCTTTGCACTGCGCTTACGGCTACCGACAGTTATCCAGGAGCTGATGGAGACAGACATGCACCGCGTTATTCGCACGCAAGATCTATCGGATGACCACGCCCAGTATTTCATCTATCAGACCCTTCGGGCTCTTAAAGCCCTCCACTCGGCCGACGTGATACATCGAGACCTCAAGCCGTCAAATTTGTTGCTTAACGCCAACTGCGATCTCAAAGTATGCGACTTCGGTTTAGCACGGTCCGTGAAAACAGCAGAACCCTCGGGTACAGAGACTGGATTCATGACCGAATACGTTGCCACTCGATGGTATCGAGCCCCCGAAATAATGCTTACCTTCAAGCAGTACACAAAAGTGCGTTTTTTCCCTTCCTCAACATCGGATCCTTTTCCTGACAGGCAGAGTCTAGGCCATCGATGTATGGTCCGTAGGCTGTATCTTGGCAGAGATGCTCTCCGGCAAACCCCTCTTCCCTGGACGCGACTATCATCATCAACTCAGTCTTATTCTCGATGTCTTGGGCACCCCTACTCTTGATGAGTTTTACGCCATTACGACCCGGCGATCGCGCGATTACATCCGTGCGCTTCCGTTCCGTAAACGCCGGCCATTCTCCGCCATCTTCCCCAACGCTACCCCCCTCGCAATAGATTTCCTAACAAAAACTCTCGTAACTAGCATTTCTCTATACGGTTCTGCTTCTCGTCTGATCAATCTGTTCAATAGACGTTCGATCCCAAGAAGCGGATATCCGTAGAAGATGCGCTTGCGCATCCCTATTTGGAGGCTTATGTGAGTCGATCCAATCACTTGGAGACGCGTCCGGATATTAATGAACTATTGAACAGCATGATCCCGATGATGAACCGGTTGCACCACCTCTTGACCCCGAGTTCTTCGAGTTCGACTGTTAGTATCTTTCCTCGACCTCTCAGCCTTGACAGCCTAGTGACTTTTTACCGATGCAGTGCACAAGGACGACATCAGCCGCGAGCAGCTGAAAGAACTCCTCTATGAGGAGATCATGACGTTCCGTCCTGCCCCATTTGTATAATTATATCACCTTTTTGTCTAGTACGTCCTGATGCGCCTGGAGTTTGCCGCCCACATATTAACGTATTCTGCTTTCCCCACTCAGCTCTTTGACGATGTAATGTTCTTGCTGTCTTCATGCACGCCATCAGAGATATATATACGGCTCTGTTCTTTAGATCGGACGCCCGCTACCGCCATTGACACGCCTCCCACGGACAACCTCACTCCCTCTTTGTTACCATCTTTTACGTTTCCATTCTTTGGTTTGGGCTATCTCCAGGGCACTAGATGCCTGGATTTCTTGTGCTGAGGCGTTCATGCTGGACAATTCATTCATTTAATCGGGTCTGACGCCGACGGAATCGCTTTTGCTGTGCTGTATGGCTCTCCACAATTCCTTTTACCTATGTTCTGCATGTTACGTATATCTGTACTCCTTCCATTGACGGTTTTTTTCGCTATCTATCGATCACTATTCATAGTACCGCACTTCTTGTATAAAATACCAAAGTATTGAGGAACGCAATCTGGGGTGATATCGACAATCTTGAAAGATTATGCTCGGGCCAGTGATATGGGGAAGGTTTAAGTGCGCACCAATGGAGACCCTCCTGTCAATCAGGCCCTTATGGTGGGAGCCGGTGTGTTGTAAAAAACTGAAATCAATCACATGCTAACGATACAGTAAAGACAGCGCCCAGCATGACTTGGTGGTGTAAGTTAAGACCCATGCGTTGTGCTCAGCAACCCGCGTCCGTCGTGATGCGACCATCCAAGTGGAAAAAAATAAAACCGCTGCTACATCCCTCCGGACGGAAGCGTACCCATAATAAAATTGAAGATCAGCGAACCTCCAATTCAGTTTTTAGGATCATGCACCTTGAACGTGTCGTAAAGGTGCCTTGATGTCGATGAGGGTTCCTTGGGAGATTGTCGGACCGTTGGGAAATCTTTGCTAAGAAGTGATGGGGTTCTCTCGAAGAAGAAAACTATGTACGTTGGGGGGGGGGGGCAGTGCAGGGGGGGAGGCCAGGAGAAAGTTGGTCTTCCTTTGAGGGAGCATGGACCGAACAGTTAGAAAGATGGAGATCACCAATGACCTGAACATACGTACTTACTGCCCCATGGCAAAAATACTGTGGCGCAACATAACGTAGTTGCAAGCGGGGCTAAAGGCTCCAGCCACGTAGCACTTGGAAAAGGAACATTCAAATTTTGTCGTAGAAGCACCATTAGCCAAGCCCTTGCACAAGAAGTCGGGGATATCATAATTCTCTGATACTGCGCGCTCAGCAGTAAACTTTAAGTAGCACGCACGATACATTCAAATTCTGAAACTACGAAGATAAAGTTCAGGAAGGGCTCCAAAAATAAACTGAAGACACTTGCAACGGTCAGTAGAAAAGCACAGCAACATTACGGCTGTCGGTCATGAGTTACGAGCGTTCATTAACATATGCCTTTCCGAGAAAATTTTCGGAGATCAGTACTCACCGGGTCCTCTTTCATGGCATAAGCTCTCATGATCACCAGGAAAGCCACTTGCGCGCTCCCTCCTCCCCAAGCAGCAACAAGACCATTCTTTTTTAGCCCTCTATCGTACATACTAGTTTCAGACTTTTTATTCCATCAAAAACTATGTCCTGGACTCTCTTTAAGGTAATTTCAAGAGGTTCCTGCATACGGTAGTTAACCGAGGGCGGGATTACCTTGTTTGGTGACCCCGCACTTTGAAAACCGGTGCCGCGGCATCAGTTGAGCGGCAGGCCAGGCCAGGCCACCCACCGTTCGAGTGAAAGTCCGCGGATTTGACCTGCTCCACCAGCAAAACTGGCAACACCCTTGATGCAACGTTTCGAACGATACTATTGTCCCTTCAACGTCCGTTAAAGTGAGGCTTGATCGATTGAGCCTCACCAAGGCGCCGCTGAGATTGATTCTTCAAAAATTCCAAGTCTTCTCAAAGCGTTCAAGTTCATGGGACCTCATCGACATCAGTTTGTTGCCAAAGTGCACCGTTGGGCCTCTTCTGAGCCGTTCTATACGATCATCTAGTCACTGAGAGTGTTTGATACGTTCCCTCTCGGGTAGCTTCCCTTTTGTCGCACCATTTCACTTCCAGCACGGCGATATCATCCCGCAGGGTTTCGACAATGTAGGGAAACCATCCTCCTCCTGCTCAGTGCTGACCAGACCACAGTAAAAGAATGCAGTCCGAGGATCATCACTCATCATACAGAGATGATGGCGACTGAATAAGATGAGATACGAATGTTCTTCCATGCCACAGATACTTAGCGACAGAAGGAAGTGGCCTATGTTCCGTTGAATAGGTGCCTTTAGACTGACATCTGATCGACTCAATTGAACGATGAATGGGACTTGTAACTTGATGACTCGGAGTCTGTTCTGTGATCGATGAAATATGCAAAGATCGAACGTATGAGCCTAGCCGATACAGTGGAGATAGGAAGATCATATTAGAGAGATCTAGCGACCTTCAATGATACAAACGTGCAGGAAACCCCACAGCGAGTCCTCGATATGTACTTCTCTATCGTTAGGACTTGGGCTACTTCAATCTGGCTTTTGATAGATCTGGAATGTGTTTGTGTGAATGGCCGACAGGATTCGGCAAAAACGAGGACCGAAATTCGTCGACTGGACACGCTAGTGATCGGGTATGGCGTTGCGAATTTCAGGAGGAGGCCAATTTCGACTTTAGAATTTGTGCTGCCAGCTCTCGGCTCTCCAGCAATGAAGATACATCATGAGTGAGGACTCTGTAGTACCGCAATCCATCGAACAACCCGATACCAAGCAAGATATGACCGACCCGAGGTTGAATTGGCCCACAACACCTAAAGAGGCGATGGACACCATGCACTTGTAACATCTATAAGTGTTTCATGCATAGGCGATGAGTCTAACCGCCACAGAATGATAGATGAAGTGTTTGAGCACAACGGGAGAGCTGATGGAAGAAAGCGCAGCAGAGTTACTGACGCCCAACACCTTCTATACCAGACAAATCATCATCGTTCTGAGTAGTGCGTGAAGTGGAACCTTTGGGCCCACAGGACAGCCTCCAGAATGAAGATTTCAAAACTCCACCAAAACTATGTCGCGTTTCCGGCGAGCAGCGCTTGAAATGTTTTGCACTGGACAGTAATCATATGCGGATGCCTGAAAGACAGTGTCACTCTCGATTGGAACCACGAAGTCAACGGACAAATACTTGAGGCGAAGTTCACCCGAGATTTTTTCCGCAAGGTTTACCGACGGCACCAGATTCTTCCGCTACTGCTTGCATTGAGATGGCGCCCTAAGCGCATGGCTATACTTTGCGAGCGCCTCATCGATACCGATTTTTGACTCGAAGACAGGTAGAAGATGCACTGACCTGATCCTTAAGAGAGAACGTCGGAGTAGCGGGATCATCACGAGAAACATCGGATCCCTCGTCTTGATGCGGCACCACACAGCAACTGCTTGCTTGATAGCATACTCGGTTCTTGAGGCTGACGAGAAGATATAATGAAGATACAATGCATTTGAGAAGAAAATTAGAAAATTAAAATCAAGGAAACGGTAACCTATGCATCATCGTCATCCTCCACCTCTTCAATCTTTGTTCTTCGACTAGCAGAGGAGGGTGAAGTATCGGACGTCTCGGCGGGTATCTCAGCAGTACTGCCATTGCTTGAGGCTTTAGTTTTCCCTTTGTCGGACTTTTCTCCCTTCTCGCTCTTCTTCTTCTTGGACTTCTTCTTCGGAATGTCCCACTCCCACAAAGGTATAAATGATTCAACCTGCAACATGCTCAGCCATGGTGACGTTTCAAACAAAAAAACACACGCACGAATCCAACATCAGCAAACAGTTTCGGAAATATCCAAATGCCTGGACTGGCGACGATGACGGTGATGATGTAGAATATGAGTCGTAGGATGGCAATGATGAAAAAGAGGCCTATGAGACCGAGCATCCCAATGCTGAGATACCAAACGCCCAATCGCATGATTGGCGGCCACAAGGGAAACATGACACCGGCGAGCATAATCGCAACCATTGCCGCTCCTCCGGCATAGGTCGTCCACTGTGATCCAGCATAGAACCATGCGTAGTACTCGTCGGGCGCGAATCGCTGCTCTTGGATGATTTGCATGCTTTTCGGCGATGACGACGAGGAACCTGACGGCCCGCCACGCTGGACAAGAAGGAAAAAAGCAAAAGAGTTGACGGCGCGCAGTACAGTCTTGGCTTCCTCTTCGTTGCCTATCGTCGGCATCCCCTTTTTCTTCTGGTATGCCGGTGAAAGAAGTGCCTTTACTGCAGACTTTCCTGCACAAGGACTTCAATACCAACGAACAGAGGTATGAGGAAAATACACAACATACCTTTGAAATAATCTACCCGCTTTCCATTCAGTGCACCGACCCTAACCTTCATTCCAGCCTCCCCACTCCGCAGAAATTGAGCGACTTTTTTTAGCTCGGGCGGCGCCTTGGCTTGGTGTTCCATTATTTGGGAAGAAATATATAATATCTGGATCGGAAAACAATGGCGGGTATGTCGAGAGTGAAGAAGAAGAAAAAATAGATGTTGTGGTGAGTGCTGGCAGTTCAGGATAAAGGATGCTGGCCAGACACGTCACGTCACGTTGCAATTTGGTTTGTCACGTGGAGTTCTGTGGCTGTGCCGAATCCCAAGGCGTCGTCGAGATTGTTATAAAGTTGATTAGTCATCACCCCCTTCACTATATACTTGCTACCCTTCCCTCTAGGCAATAAACTCTACCTTCCCCGAAAACCCTGGAAGAAGCAGCTTCGACTTCCATTCTACCCTGTGTCAATCGGAGGACTGTCCGTCGGCTACATTGAAGTTGAACACAAGTGATTGACGACAGCCGAACTTGCGATACGTCTTGAAGACAAGAATGGAGAAACTAGCTTTGATGAAGGACATCTTTAGCAAATATTTGGAGCAGATCAGGGGAGTCCCACCCTTGGGGCCGCCTGATGAGACAGAGAATCCAACCCAATCTTCACCTGCTTCGGTTCCCTTCGAGGAGATGGCTAAATATCACTACCCGCTCTACTTTGATCCCGACCAGGATGCAGCTTCTTTCCCACGGACACTTTGCGAAGCCCGCGTCTCCAACGGACATAGCCTTCTCAGTGCGTTAAAGGTTGACACAGAGAATCCAACCCAATCTTCACCTCCTTCGTTTTCTCACAACTATCCATATAACTACCCATCCCACTTTGATTCCAAGCAGCATGCAGCTTCTTTCCCATGGATGTCTTCGGAAGACCACCTCTCCAACGGACATAGCCTTCTCAGCGCGTACAAGGTGACCTCGCCCTATAGATATGGCTTCCCTTCATCATTTCTCTCGGAACTTGCCTTCAATTCTGGCGCGACACCATCTATCTCACTACTGCAGCCCTCAACACCGTCTATGTGCATCAACGTAAGGGATTTCATAATGCTTTCACCGTTCGCAGCATCCCCTTCAAGCAAGAAGCGTAAACGCCTACAGTCTGACTTGTAGGTGTCCTCAGCCTCTCACTTGTACACGGGGTCTTCGAGCGGTGCACCACGGTCGTGATCCGAATCCTCCCATCACGAAGACGACGAATCGGATTCTGGTTCGGTCTATTGTCCTAGTCCTGTTAGGAGCAGGTTGTGTAGTGCAGCGGGAGAAGCTAGGTCTGGAGTCGAAGGTCAAAAGCTGTAGCATTATAAATAGTATGTGATACATACCTGGAGTCGTCGACCTTTGAAATCCAGTATTGGTGTTGGATTAGCAAGCAGGAGCTCCGTCGTATCCCGCCGGCCGAGCTCGATAACCCCTTCATGTTGGGATGGACAATATATACTGAATACTATCTGTCGAGCACCCTCACCGTGTTTCTGCTTATCGCTACGCTGTGTAAGGGTGAGTATCTACTTCTATTACTTCGTATATCTTACTGACTAGTATCCTGTAGTCTACATTAAAGCTAACAGTGTATTCTAATAGATCCTATGAACGCACATCATTTTCTTAGAATTGGTAGTTACAATTATGTAAGATAAGAGCGACATGGAGGGTGTTCTACTTCAACAAGTCCAGGACCTTTGACCCCGACGCCCAAAAGGAGACAGTGGAGAAGAGCTGACGGTCATTGCGAATGGCAGTAAGAAAATTCACAGAAGGAGAGTCGCTGTTGCTCCAGAGTTTCGTGAAGGCGGCCAGACTGTAGCAACGTCTCACCAAACTCGGTGGTGAGTGCCTCTCCCCACAGGTACGATAATGTCAAATTGGTATAAGTTTATTTGACATACTTAGTCAGTGCAGCGGGAGCAGAGCTAGGGCTCCTTCGAATTAGCGCACTCCGTCTGACAACTAAAACAGGGTAAGCGGACACAGAGATAATAATGAGATACCCATGTCATGTAGTCAGACCAGTATGGTACCGAGCAGCACTTCAAGTTTTCCGCGCCTAAAATAACGATATCAATGCCGGTGAAAACTGTGCTTTGATCCTCCTACATTTTACCTGGGATGATTTGCATCAGTCGTCGAATTCTTACACAGATATGGATCTCACCTCATAGGCAAATCCGCCACCTAATGAATGACGATGAGTATGACACGGTCAAGCATTCCAAAAAGCAAATGTACATTCTTCACCAAGAAGTGGCGCTGTTGGATGTGCCTCCTCCCTGGTAGCACATGTAGACGCCAAGGCGCTTGATAGGGCAAGGGTGGAGATGAAAGTTGCCAAAACGAGGGTCTTCATGTAGAAGGCGTCGTCAATGGAGTAATCGGTCACATTGCGGCCTCATTATACAAGACACTTCTACCTGTAGTACTGAATGAAGGCCTATCTTTGGCTTACGAGTGGTCATAAGCATACCCACCGTCATGCCTTCAACCATGCCGACAAAAGTTGCACCGTGCAATGATGAAACACATCTTGGCATACGTCTCCATGAAGTTTCCAGACCGACCCACACGCCTCAGTTGAATTAGATGCTCCACCCACCATCACGGTCTCGACACAGGTACATTTCGGATCCTTGGAACGGTGATCGTTCGAAAGCTAAGATGGCCTTAGTACAGGTAAGCATCAAGAGATCACTATGACCTCAGCGGTCTCGATAAGAAGAGTTCAATCCATATATTGCTTGGTTCCCTCGAGACTAAAACAAGTCAAGTGAGTCGATACATAAGATCAGTGACCTAGAGAAATAATGTACCTGTTATTTTATTGATATATTCTGTTAGTATATTGTGAGATTTGGTTTTCACGGCTTTAATGCCACATTCTACTTATAGCCATTTACCGCTTACTTTATACTTCGACATTTCGTACCTATCTTTACTGGACTCCAACCCCCCACTGTCCCTACTCTGTATGACGGAATATACCCTCCCTTCGAGTCCAATGCGCCCTCCTTCTGAACCATCAGCACCTAGACTCCAACATATACACCGTTTCTTCAATGCTTCTTGCGGCGCGAAAGAAGTCATGTATCATCAACACTTAATTTCCCAAGTCTTCAGCTTGCAGCCGGAGCAAGGAATTTGTTGATGGAATGAGGGTTGGAAACATCGCCGGCAGAACCGGGCCGGTATCAACGACAAATTTCGTCAGACACCATCACGTCGCGCACTGGCAGGCCGTTTCCCCAATCTTAATGCAGGCAACCCTATGGCGACAATGCATAATTACTTGCTTTACTCTAAGCAAGAGTTCCTTTCTTTGCTTGCCGGCGACGTAGGAAAGGCGAACCATGTCATTAGCTTCGTAATACCGGTAGGTATCCGGGCCTTCAAGTTTGTTCAGAACCTCAGGTAGTATTGGAATTGCCTATCACAGCTTCGGACCGTTCACATCTTGCCGGCGGATTCGTTATCATTATCACTTCGGTACCGCTTGGGCACCACCGGCATTCGCACTTCACAAGAAGGCTCCCTTGGGCCATTGCTGCGTCAGGCCAGCATGTCATCAAGGCTCCCGGTAACAAAGGAGGGCCCCGCAGACCCACTTAATGGCCATACTTCCGGGGCTTACAAGCATACTTATTCTATTTCAAATGGCCCTGCCAGAGGTGGTGTTGCTTCAGCTGCTCTGTATCTAGATTGAGTGTGTGTGATAGGGACGTACCTGAAGTCAGGCTTTCAAGCTTCAGACCCTAAAACTCCATGTACCTGCGACATCGGAATAGGGTTTCCGATACGGGAGGAGCACATGTCAAGGTAAGTATGTCTTTTGTTCCACCTTAAAAGTTACTCTCAAAGTTCCCTTGCCGCGCAGAAACACTCGCTTACCCGTATGCTGTTCCTTGATACAGATGTTACATGATGTCCTTACACAATATTAAGTTATTCATGGTAATGAACTCGGACTTATCGCCTGGTATTGGGTCGTTTCGGATGCGGATGAACCAAGCTTTGACCTCAGAGAACTCGCTAAGCACCTAGCGAAGACTTGTTTACTGCCATTGCTTGCGCATTTTCTCTCGCATTCTTCCTGGTACTGGCATAGGTAAGGAGATAATGTTGAGAGAGGTGGTTGAAGGGCTCCTCCACGGGTACGTGCTATACTTCTCTTCATCAAGGTTTCGCTGTCTCAGCCACCTGCGTGAAGTCTCGCTCCGAAATTCACGCGATCAATCCAAGGGCACGCGTCTGCTTATATACGCATCGATAGCGGCAAGGAGGTTTCCATTTAGTTAGCCTCAAGTCGAGGCCTGGTCAGTCGGAATTGTCACTGAAGCAGTCATTTGCTGCAATGATGTTCTCGGAGGACTTTGAACGGCGTGAACGCAGCTTAGGTGAACGTATGTCTCTGGGTACTCGGCGTCGACTCGTTTTTGTGAAGCACCTTCATATCGCTTGAACTATAAAGCCATGCGACTCCAGACGAGACCCCAGAGACAGAGTCCGATATCTCCAGCTGACACTGTGATGACAATGGAACAGGAACCACTTGCCAGCTGCTTTAGAATCGAATGTACAAGCGGCAGAAGAACATAAAAAACGATATTCGTTCGGGGGGGATCGAAAACCGTGATGAACGCCGACCAGACCCACGGTTGTATCTACGGTGTGGAGAAGGATCGAAGAGAAAGCCTCTTCCACCCATGACAGAGAACTCGGGTTCAGGGTGACATCAGAGGCACGCCCCCTGCAAGCCCGTGGTACCCTGTGGCGCCAGAGAGATGAGCTTCGCTAAATCATCGACCACTGCGATTGCAGTTTCTGCGGAATTTGCCGGTGAATCAGAGACTAATCCGTCTTTCGTGCACCCGCGCTACATCGTCTAGGCATTCGCTAATCTATTGCTGTTTGTTTTCATCCTACTCGGAGTCACATTGGAAAAATCGATGCCCGTGGATGTCCAGGTTCGCAGCATCCGATGTGCCGTACCCCCGAATCGTAGCTCAGACTTGATATTTCACCACACAATCATCATCAGGCTGGTTAATAGTAGGACTTCGAAAACGTACAGCCATGCTCCTCTGTCTCCACACTGGGCGCCTAGAACATCTGCACTTCTTCCGGTCTTTGGGGCATCCCTGACTTTCTTTCTGGCTATTAATTAGCTTCGATATCGACTCCACTCACATTGATGCGCCACTCCGACCCTAACCAATGAGCACCTGACGCTTACAGCTCAAATGGTCCAGCATGTACCGCAACAACACACCTCTGATTCGGACGACATATCTCAATCCGGGATAATGTGTGTCCCGTTTGTTTTGAACTGCTCCACGGTTCGCCCATCGGCCCGTGCGATGACACATCTGCTTCATCTACGAATCGATCTACCTTTGGCACGCTCATTTACTGTTAAGGCCAATTTGTCTCTTCAGACGTGGAAGCTGTTATGGCGGCTCCGAATGTCTTCCCAAATATTGACGACCGCCGAAAGATATAATGTACTTTGAAAGCATTTGGTCCCAGCCGTGTGATCGGACATCGCTCTGTTCGACTACTTCTGCACTTCCACTCGGTCGCAATTCGATGAGGATGAACCGGATGCTGAAGGTTCTTGTCTTCAAAGTGGTTTGGAAGGACCTGTTTGGGTCGAGTGACACAAGTCATAAGACGTGTCGTTTCACATTTCGCGTGAGTCTCATGAAACGATCTATAGCATTGAAAATTGTCTTCCTCGGGACCTCAGATTCACATCTATTCACATGAGGAGCATTCGGGGTAATTTAAGGGTCGGATCGGTGCCCGCACTAGTGTAGGCCCCAAAAACGTCTGCACCTATAAAAGACTCTGTAGACTACTTCGGAACTACTCACATCTGCACGTCCTTCTCCCCATTCCTGCGTTCTAGTCGTATCACCGATGCCTCCTGGTGAAGCTACATATATCTGGGATGTCGCCGGCACGAAGAAATTCTGGGCAAAGGGGGAATACTGTGTTCATTGGATCATAGTACACGGAAAGCCTACTATGTTTACTTTTGAATGTCTTCAAGACCGTAAGTCTCCTTAGTTTTAACTCTTTATCGACTCTGTTGATATATTGGCCGCATAGATACTATCTCAGAAGGTACTCGCGTGGGTCTTTTCATGCTTTCTTCGTAACTTCGAACTCTTGACCTATTCTTGTCAGCCCGTTCCTGGGAGAACTACCGCCTTTTGGACCCCATATGACCCTAAATGAGAAGGGGGGGGGTGGGTTCCTCTTTCGCCGGCTTTATCGATATCATGTAAGTAATGACGGTAATGTTCGTTGTATGGTCCACACAGTTCTGATTTGTTGTTGGTGGTAGCTTCTTGTTTTGACCGTTGAAATTGCTTTGTTAATTAGATCATGAGCAGCCCTTATCGATCAATGAATGTCACCTGTACCTGTACTAGTAAGGTATGATAGAGACGTCCACGGACCTGTGCCTGTGCTGCCCATGGCCTATCTTTTCCAATCTTTGCGCTGAGGACCGTTAAGTTTCCAAATTTGTATATTTGTAACCGACCATTTGGAGAAGGTGGTCAGGCGATGCTGGGTAAGAGTACGGTCCCAATATAGCACCGATCGAATGGGCAATCAATGTTGGAGGACCGGACTCCGAGGAATCGAGAGACCACTGTGACATTAGAGCCTTATGCGACAGAACAATAACGAGTGGTGCCACTACCGTCTGCCGGATTATAAAACATGAGCACACCTGTGACCGTCAACATGGCATCCAGTCGTCCCGCTATTTCTAGCGCCATTAAAAGGCCCTCGATCGACGAAGCAACACTCAAGTCCCGCATTGGGAAACACCTCTCCGACGAGTGCACAAAACTCGTTCCCTTCGAACAATGTACGTAGTCAGTTGCCGCCAAGCATATTTTCAATTTTCACCTTGAGATTATGGGAACTTGAAGGTGGGCACCATATGGTCAGTCCTGGGATTCGGAAGCCATGCTCGCATCGAATTTCACTGACTAGTTTTCCCAGACTTATATTGCTCATATGGGAAAGCGACAACCAGCGCTGTTCATTCGAGTCCAATGGTCCATTCTAAAACATGCCGGCTGCGGATTGGCCTTCCCATCTACCATGCGCTCTGAGGTACGCAGAAATGTGCGGTGGAAGACTTCCTCTGATTTATGACTAGGTTTCCACCATCCGTTTCCTGAAATCCAGGACCAAAATTCCTGTTCCTGAGATTTTAGTTCACGACCTGGACGCTGATGGGAAAGTCGGAGGTGAATGGATGATCATGGAATATGTACGTCCTGGGGCATCGTTATAGGAAAATATTCACTGAGATACTGGATAGGTCGATGGAGAGAACCTTTCTACAATATGGAGGTCCCTCGATACGAAGCAGTGCGAACAGGTTTGCTTGGCTATGGCGGATGTATGGGTGCAGATAATCAGCAACACTTTTAATTCTATTGGAAGCATATACGAGAGAAATGGAGGGGAGTTCATGATCGGACCCATGACGCGCCTAGCTTCAAACCGGACCAGCTCCATTGCCCCGCCACAACTTGAGAAATGTGGTCCATTCTCAAGCGTGAAGAGCTGGTTACTAGCGACTGCACGGCGAGACTTGGATTACATGGAAGCACCTGAAGACGCCGATACCTCCTCCCGATGTCAGCATTTCATCGACGACGTCGTTTCCAAAATCGAGCATTTTTCCTTCCCTTATCCAGACTTACCTCTCGTCCTCGAGCATATAGACTTCGCTCCGCGGAACATTTTGGTGAGCCGGACGGACCCGACGAAGATAGTAGCAGTTATTGACTGGGAGGGATCGCGCTCCGTGCCAATGTGGGCTGCTAATCCAAATTTTACATTCCCCCCGGAATCAGTGACGGAGGAAGAAAGGAAACGCTTGCTCACGCTGCTGACGAACCGTATAATCTCTCAGGTTCCTGCATGGGAGAGAGCTATAGGGGAGGAACTTCAACCTCTGCGAATCTTGTATGATCGCGCGACATATAGCAAAGTCGATCCTAGTGTACTGCCTCATGCTCCATATCTAGCCATGTCAGCTTCATATTGAACTTCTAACCAGAATGAAAGAATCTGGAATTTGAATTTCCAGATCACTCTCACGTCGATGTCGGTGGGTCTGTAACTCTGTACAGACGGACGAACACCTACTTCATTGTTCGAGTAGTATCCTCTGTGATAGTAAGCCGGAGTCTTTGTAGATCAAGGGGATGTATCGTCGCAAGTTGAATCCGGACCGCTCCTGGCCGTTGATAATCATGCCGAATTGAAAAATTCCCTTGACTCCAAGGTTTACACGTTTGACGGTTAGCACTTTCTCAAAACAACGTCCTTTGCTTCTATACCATATGGTCCGACGAAGAGCAGCACAATCTTCACACAGGAGTGCCATTGTCGCAACGAATCCTGCTCCTTCAATCCTTTCCGTCAGAAATTTCACCCACGAGAACTTCTTTGTCGTGTATTCGGAAGGATCGACTGGCTTGTTGGTATCTCCATAGCCTAACATCGTTGGAGCGACCACACGAAAGCCCATTTGCACCCAGGGTTTCACCTGGTATCTCCAGCTGTATCTGATAATCCAGCATTATAAGATTCAAAACGTATCGAAGAATGTCACAATTCATCGTCACCAAAGGTCGGGGAAACCGTGTATACAGAGAAGTGTCGTAGTTTGAGAATGAAATGTTTCTGGAAGTTGGTCAACGAAGTGGTACGTGCGACCAGTTGAAAGCCGCTCGTTTCTGTGGCTAGCTGGATTGCTAGGATCCATACTGGAAGAGAGAAGAGACGGCGTTTATTCTACTGTGGGTCGTGGATTAAGTAGTATCTGGGTAGTCTTGCCGACCCCGGTGATCTGTGTTGTTGCAGGTAAAAGCAACATGATGGCAGTAGCACCTGAGTATCAGTTTCTGGAGTACTGGAATTCTTTCACAAACAGATATTCCTTTTTTTCAAAATGAAACAGATAGACAAAGCGGTATCCTGCCTGTTGACCGCTCAGGCTGAATGTTTGCTGCTGGATATCCTCAGGCCAGGCTCGCCGCTCGGCATGTGATCCAAAGAATTTTGGCATTGGTGAATTTGTCCTTGATGCTGAGCTCCAGGCGCCGTTCAACGTTCTGTTGTGAAACTCACCGAGCGGACGGCTATGCAACGAAGCGCTAACGGGAAACCGGCCCGATATCCGCAAAAAAATTAATTATCTGTATCTTTGACTTTATCGTGCGACTACACTTGGTAATGATATCTTGACTGTGCGAGTCCTTTATTTATATATCTCTTTGCAGCAAACCACCACCACTTCTTGTTCAGACCATGTTCAAAGCTCGCTTCATCCCGTTAAATGTGTCCCAGGCCTTGAAACGGTCCTCTCATTCTCTTGTCATCTCTGCTACACAGGACTCCGCTATCATCTTTGGAGGTGAACTCCAGCCACGCATTCCAGTGGACAATGTATTGCATAAAATTGACCTTCCTTCGGGAAACTACGGCTTGGGGAACGTGCTGACTCCAGCGTCTGCACCTCCTCCCCGAGTGGGATCTGCATTGGCATTCACCAAGGAAAGCCTGTGGATATGGGGAGGCCGTGGAGGCATTTCCATGGAGTGTCTTCCAGAAAAGGGGGACGTCTGGCGTTTCAAATCTGACGAGTGGACTCGGGTTGAATGCGATGGAGAGCCTCCGCAAGATAGATCCTACCATGTAATGGTGTCTTATAAAGAGGTACTTGGATTTATCATTATGTATCTCTTCCCCTCAGCGACTCCCATTTTCAGGACCTATACGTGCATGCGGGCTGTCCCGCGACAGGCCGTCTCTCAGATCTTTATCGTCTTTCTCTGGCTTCACCAAAGCCTGTGTGGACTAGATTGGCGGACGCTCCGGGCCCTGGACGTGGTGGTACCGTCCTCGGAGTTGTTCCTGCGCTCTCTTCCTTTATACGCTGGGGAGGATTCGCGGGATACGAGCTCGGTGGTCCGCTCGACATATACCACATCCCCACAAACACCTGGCATTCAGTCGACGTCGCAGGAGAGCAGCCGGCAAAGCGCAGTGTTCATGTCCTTGTTGGCCTTAAAGGAGCTCCTCGAAGTGACGGAATTGTCGCGCTCATGTTGTTTGGTGAAGGAGAAGCTAGTGATCTTGGACATGCTGGCGCTGGGGTATATGCTAACTAACATTCAGTTATCCATCGATCTCACTAAGACCTTGACCACAGAAATTCCACGATGACGTATGGGCCCTCGTCAAGGTGCCACTGACCGAATTAACGGAAGGCTGGTCATGGGAAAAGATCGTTATTCCAGAAGGTCGCGACAAGCCACAAGCACGCGGCTGGTTTGCAGCTGATGCCTGGTCGGAAGGGAAGGTGGTGTTTCAGGGTGGACTGAACACCGACAACGAAAGGCTCGGTGACGCGTGGATTCTTGAGGTTGAAAAGATTTAAATGTGAGAAAAATGTTAGTATTCGTGAAGAATTGTACATGTACTGGTTTTACTCGTTCTTCTTCCCAATGACTCGGTAAACCCACTCGACGTGGATGAGGTGTCCGCGGCTCTTGTAGACATAAACGCCGTAAAGAAGCCCTCCGAAGAAAACGACAACCCAGGACACAAGTCCTGCCCAGCGAAACTGTTGAGGTTCAGAAAGGATCATAGTCAAGACGTATTTCTATTTCGACTGTCAGCGAGGGTTATGTTTCCCAGAGATATATCACCGAACCAGCATATCAAACGTGTTCATGAGGGAATACTGCAGAGCTGTGAGGGTGTTCCTTCGCTGCACAACGACGTTAGTAAAAGGCAAACGAAACCCTTTGCAGAGAACCCTTACAGGATGGTGCTCAAGGGCTTCTTGTAGGATTTGCAACTACGAAAGGAGACAATAAATTTTGAAAGTCGTGAAACGTAGCGAGAAGTGAACTTACCTGCGCCAAGTCGAACATCCAGAGTCCTACACGTGAGAGCGCCATTCCTGCGTTCGCCGTAAGCCCAGCAACATCACTGGACCAGGAACATGATACGACGTACCTCCAAAGAGCATCGCGTTGTTATACGCCGGTCCGTGGCCGATTCCCGTGGGAATACCGATGTACAACGCCAGCACCGTGGGCACTAAAGTAATGACCTCCAACCTTTAAGACGGTCAGCACTGCACAATCATGCGAGTAGGTGCAGCGCTACCAGATAGACCAAGCTCCAGACCGAACTAAGCCAATTTTACGCTCGACGTGGGGAAGAAGGATCGTTCCAATGAGGCCAGTTACAGTACAGATTGCTCTCATGCCTGCGATGAAAGGACTTTCGAGCGGTGTTGATTTGTGAATGCTATGGAAGCAGAAGAAGAAATATGCCTACTCATTCCAGTCTCTAGCGGCTTTGAGGTAGGATCTGTACAAAAATTCATCAGCTCATGAAACATTGTGATCAAAGAGAACCATACAGAAATGTTCCATCGAACGATAGAACGGTGAGGTATATACTAAAAGAATGTTCAGCTTTGTCAACAGTGCGAATAAAGGCAGAGATTGAACCTCGAGATGGACAATGATGCTGAAGAAAGGCGTCAGACAAACATGTAGTCATATGCTTATGCACACTTACTGTAAAACACAGGAAAATGAGAGAACTCCTGCCAATCCCGAAAGGTAGGTCTGGGATCGACCCAGCGTCTGAATGAGAACTTCTGGTTGTGCTTTTTCTGGTCTCCGTTTCGGCTATGCACCAAACGCTGCTGGTATTCGGACTCCAGGGCAGGGAATATCTTATACACGACATGAGATAATGGAATCTGAAGTAGATGAATTTAGTTTTGGCGTCTGTGATAGAGGAAACGAGTACTTCGATAGTAACAGTGACGACGGCCATACCGCACAAGAAAGCTGCTGCAAAGCGGTAGGAAACTGCGGTCGTCAGCATGGAGACGAAGAGCGGGGATATCAATTTGCATATCAAGTCCTGTAGTGGGAAGATGAGCGTCAAATCGAAGCGACTGAGGAAGACGCCGGACTGTACGACGCAACCAAGTATTTATTTTCATCAGGCGCTCAGTATCGCCATCTCCGATGGTAGTGGCCCAATCTCTCTCCATGCTGATCTAGCGTATTCATTACAGTCAATGACCAATCACAGCTCGATTATCACAATTACAGACCTGGATGCACACAGTGGCCAGCTTGATGATAATGCCAGATACCACAATGGCAGTGAAGAGGGCCCATATAGGGCCTTGGGCATTTTTACCTTGGGATCCGGCCTCTAGGAGTTTATCGATATAAAAGACAGCTGTGAATGCTGCATATGCGCCTGCGGTAGCAACCTTTTGGAAGAATATCGCCAGTTGGAGGATGTGTAATCGGTGCTGCTTGTCCACTAGATGTCCCATCCATCCCGATAACTGTGAGATAGTCAGATACAAACGATAATACCATATTCCTTGAGGACGGACAATGATCGCGACACCAGTGGTACAAAACCCGAATATAGATGCAGGAAGCAGGGTAGAACGGAAAATCTGGATGAGGAAGAGGTATGCAGCGAACTAAGAGATGGAAGCTAATTAACGGGTTGCATGAAGAATGCGGCAGGTAATCAACCCTTACCTCGAAACAGCGGTCCCCCCAGGTGCTGAACGAAGTGAATAAACATTTCGATACAGGATGAAGATCCCCATACCTTGAGAAATGAAGGGAAGTAAGTAAAGCCAGGGATTTTGTACGGATCGGATGGATTTGTGACGGTAAAGCCGAGGCGTCATGTTCCAAGTCATTAGGAAAGGAAACATTATGTCGAGACGATATTGATTGTAGCTCATCGGGGGTGTCCCTGCGGACAGAGCATATTTCTGATAATTGCATGTTATCGGTTTGATCCATGGACTCTCCTTGGATGGTCATGGAGAATTGCTGAGAGAAGTGGGCCGATGTTGACATAAGTATCGGACAAGAGGTCTGCCAAGAATTTCTGGCTCGTGGGGAATGGGAAACAGGTGTTTTTGTGTCGTAAAAGTTCTCAATAGTCTCAACCTTGTGGATGTCATATTTCCAGTCCGGACATTATTCCACGCTGATCATGAGTTCGAGTTGACAAGCGTCCCAAGGAAATTTTTAGAGGTCCGGCCCGGATAGCCGAAGGGCGGAGCCTGAAAAACAACCTCTATTTGCTACTCCCATTCTTCTATTTCTTGCAGAGCGCAGTCAGAATCACGTATCTGTTTACCGAGAGCAAAAAGATAAGGATTTTCGGGAGGATATCTGTGATTGTATGTCTGAATATTAATTCGACAACCGACTAACGATGAGTCAGCAGATTCAAAGGGTCCTCATCGCCGGTCCCATATCCAGGAGAAGCCCCGGGATGGTATTGTTCTCTGCTATTCAGTCGTAGCATTGTTGTCTCTTCAAATCAATTATCTAATTCTCGTCTGAAGATGCAGCGAGAGTTACCGGATAGTCCCAAACAAACATGGCCATACCAGGAGCAATCAGATAGAAGAACAGCTGTTCTTTACGATATCTTTCAATGGTGCCGATGAGCGGGGCGAAGACATCAGACACACTACTAGAATATATGGTCGCCAGAGCTAGAAATGCCTCAGAATAGGTATGTTAATGTTTCTTTTCTCCGTGAGTCCGAGTCGCTTAGATTTTCACCAGTTACTAAAAGCCAATCAAGCCGCTTATCCCTTTGGGGTAGACGTCGCTCTTGTCATGTAAACATCCGATTGGACGCGTTGCAAAAAAACATGAGCACTGTTAATGTTAACGTTGATGATGCTCAGCGGCTCCCGTGACTAGCCTTCATTCCAAGATGAGACAGGCCTGCAGTCTTCACAACCTTGTCACTGAATCTCATCTCAGTCCTGGGTCGCTTTGACACAATAAATGTCAGTAGATTTTACTAGTGCCGTTGAGGAACCCTACGCGACTAGACCGGGTTCAGATCATCATTGACACCTCCCGAGTACATTGTTCAACCATTGCGCCATTTCCACTAAATTCTAGGCATTTATTAGGAGACAATGTCGATTTCGACGTGTCACGGGTCTTTCTTCGCGCGGCACCTAGATTCAAACTTCGACTTTTTCAAGTCGATCAAGCCTACATACAGTAGCGGATGGTAACCCACGGTTACACTTTGATCGAGTCTATACGGTGCCGGACGAATATAATATATTGGCTGCTTTGTCCACCTCCGAACCACCCGACGTGTATTTGTGGAAGCGGATGCATCGTTGGTTGAATCAGATTTAACACCCGGAGAACGTTTCAGCCTCGCTCCTTTTAAGTATTACTTACTCGACTTGCGAAGCAGGGGTGGGGCCGTTGAGCAAGTGCAAATTCCACTGTACTTCTTTCAGCACCTTTTCGTCCAATTGTGTTCGACCTAATCCTCGATCTTAGGGAAGATATCCCGCAATAGAGGTTAACCGAATGTACACCGATGGAAAGAACTTTGATATCCGGTTTTTTCCGTCAGCCACACCACTACCGCCTGCCGAGCTGACTTGAAGAAGCAATAAGGATGGATAATTTTGAACTGCCACCGTTATTGATCCACCGTCCAGGTCACTTAACCGGGGGTATACCCAACGACGAGTCTCGACTGTTGTTCTTTATGCGCTTACCCCGGAAATTAGGGTGGGGCTGTATTGGGGGAGACGATTTAGCCTTGTCTGACATAGCCGTTGTAGTCACGGGATGCTGATGGCCATACAGCGCTGCGTATGGCTTTGGCAGTCTTCCGTCAACCGCGTGCTCTCAAAGCCGAGACTAAATCCGACCCGGGTGGTATGACTCAGGTATTCTAATTTGGCCCATTCAATATGTACAGCGATTCCCTAGGGCGCGTCTTTTTCAGGTCTTTTCGAGCGGCACTTATAGGTGTGGTTGTTGATGGTCAACCACAATAAAATACCCGATGCCACTGACCCGCCCTTTTTCAGCGCATAAAATCTCTCGTAACGACACACGTTCGGTGACAACCACATAACGTTTGTCTCGTGGTTGGTAATTAGGGGTGCCTTCAAACAGCGAAAGTCGGCGAAATGCGCTACCACAAGCGGAACATTACTGTTCGCACTGTGATTGGCTACCCGCATATATCATTGGCTGACAGCGGATCCGCTCAATTTCCCGACTCGTCATTGGCTATACGAAGGGCAGTATATGGTGTCATACCTGTCCCTCGTTCGAGAAACATATGGAGGTCGAGGCCTATACAAACGTTATAAATGGGCATCAGACGGCGCCTGGAGAGCACAACAGAAACATTCTCGTCGTAGCTCGTAGCCCTTCACTGCATACCAGCACCCACTCACTACAATGGTCTTAAAACACATCGACCCCGCCACTCTAGATGACCTCCAAACACGCGTCCAGTACCTCCGCGACTTCATTGAATTCACACAGGCCGACGCTGACGCGCTTCACGCGGCCAAACCCGTCGTCGCCACCCTAGTCCCTGACCTCGTCGATCGCGTCTACAACAAACTGCTGTCCTTTGACATCACCGCAGCGGCGTTCACGCCCAAGCAGACTGGGCAGGAAGGTGCCGACGAGTCGGAGGCGAAGGTTGAGGAGCTCAATCATGATCATTCTAATATCAAGTTCCGGAAGGACTTTTTGAGGGGATACTTGGTGAAGCTCGTTAGTCTGGACTATGAGAAGCCAGAGGCGTGGGCGTATTTAGACAAGGTTGGCATTATGCACACCGGGGTCCCGGGGTTTGCCCACAGGAAAAAGAAGCCCGCGTTGAGGGTTGAGTACATCCACTGTGGTTTGCTGCTGGGTAAGCCGTTCAGCATGTTTCATTGACTTGATCGTGACTCCACCGTACTTCTAGGCTTGGTGGAAGACATGCTGGTTGATGCCGTTATCCTCCATCCTGATATTGATCTGAAAACCAAGCACGCTGTTTGCCGGGCCGTGAACAAGGTACATATACGAACCTATCCTCCGAGAAGTGGTCTGATTTTGGTTTTGAAGTTGATTTGGATTCAGAATGATCTTTTTGCGCGGCATTATGTTGAGGACGAGCAGGTAACGGCGGCTAAGCTTGCAGGGAACTGAAAACGTCATGAGTTGTGCCGTTGGGATGTTGGAGGGCCAACTATGCCCCGTTTCCTATAGCATCTGTTCTGCTGTGTGCGCTGCCGATTGTGCCATTACTATGTAAATCTCCCCTCACCAATGTAATTTAGTTTTTGTGATGCTGGAATTCCATGCATAATAAGTACGATGCGACCAAATGCTCTTCCACTTCAAACTAAAAAGAGACTGAGTCTGCAGCAAGTATATACTTCGGTGTCCAGGCATAGAAATAGCTAAGTTCATTATTAAAATCTTAAGAAGTTGACAGCCACCATTCGACTACTAACATCCCTCAGCAGAGGGCCATTCCGACTTCCCAGAAGCCAATACGCACCTCGAGCTAGCAAGCTTTCGTCAAACGTGCTACCTTCCATTCATCTACACCTCTCCCAGTCTTCTTAAGAGTGGCGAAACCATCAATAAAAACAACGTCCAAGCCAAATGTGGCGACCAGCCGGGTAACATCCTCCCGCGTCTTCTGACTCGATGGAGGGATCGTCATTTCCAAAGGTCCCTGAGCATTATTCACAAACGTTCTCAGTAAAGAGACAGGGCCGAAAATTCGATATCAGGGAATGGCTCCGCGGACGGAGGGAGCTCTGATGGGGCAGCGGTACTCCTCCTCCTCCGCTTCTTCCGGCGTCGCTTGGGCACCGCAAGGACTGTATCTAACTTCTTTTTGCTGACAATATACTTGCCCTTGATCTTCTTGTGTAGTATCATCCGGTCCCCGTCCTTATGGGTTCTGATCCTGAGATGAAACACATTGGCCAGAGCGACGACGCGTCGATCTGTCGTGTGTGGGATTGAGAAAGCCGTGGCTTCCGCATCGTCGATGAACGCGCGCAAGCACTGCTCGAACGCCTGGATATCAGATATTCGTCCGTAGTTTGGGCCTCCTTCAAGTATAAGCTGTGCGGCTCGGAAACTGGGATGACTCTCCGTCAATAACCGCTTAACTGATACTTCATCGATATTCTGGCTCGTAGTGTTTTCTGTTCGAGTCAATCGAACATAGGGACTGGAAGGCGTCTCGGAACAAATGAGCCCGAAAGCGTGGCTAAGCAAGAAGACGGAGAGCTTCCTAGCGTTGTCCAGACAATATAGTGTCATCGACGTTAGGCCTTGGGCATCGACGACGAATTCACGGATCTCCTGCTCAAGAATGCGGGTCTGATGTTGAGATTCTCTAGAGGAAGGACCTGGGTCCTCCCCATCAGACGGTGGTGGTGAGTCTGGAGGTGTTTCTGCATCGTCGTCATCTTCTTTCCTGGACCTCTTCCCATTGCTATTAAGAACATCCGCCACATCGGCCTCGCTGACGACAAAGAGACCCTGGGTCTTTTTTGTCAAGACGATAGCATCCGATTCTGGTGTGATAGCCAGCGAAAACACGGCAGCGAGCTGAAAAACTTCAGAAGAAAATGCACTCTTGGGGATGGCCATCGAGCGGGGACCATCAATGTCGGCAACAAATGAACGAAGCTCATTTGTGATAGAGTGAAGATTGGCGAAGGGGTCTTCAACAACAGATTGCGCGGTTGGAGCTGTGGCACGATGCGTCCTCAAGAAGAGGCGCTTCTCTTTATTCACGGCCTTTCTCCTTTTCTCCCTCAGGACCATTTCCAGATCTTGCTCATTGATTACGGTGGTAGACCATTTAAACTTCTTGGACTTTGTCAAAAGAACACCGTCCTCTCGTTCAGTTACGTTCACCCTGAACCGCTGGCACAACTCGTGTATCCTTGAGACTCTCTGTACACGAACCGACTCTGGGCCATTCGGATCTGCAATCCATATTCGCAGCTTCTTCGCCAGGGCCCGAATGGGGGTGTGGAGAAGATCTCCATATATGATATGCCTAACCTCGTCTTCGTCAACGATGGTGGGAGCGTCTATCGGGAGAGTGAACCGGGCATGCCGAGTACCACGAGGGTCACTGAAATTCAGATAAAATATAGTGCCAAGGGCATAAACCGCGTCTTCAATTTTCTCGTCTTTACACGCGATTTCGAGGCAGCCACTAGCATTACTATGGCGGTTTTCATTAGATATGAAAGCGCGCATTTGATCGGCAATGGATTCAAGATCTGTGAACCGATCCATTGGTTCACTTGAAGATGACGCCACAGAAAAACCGGCGTGGGTTGGCGAGACGGCGGAGACGCTGTCATCAGAGATGTATTCGGTATCTTTCCAGTCTAGTGCGATGTAAGTGTAATCGAAAAAAGGCGGGATTTCGTCTACCTGAAGTTGCCTCAAAATTTGACATCTTGCAAGCAATTATATGACTAAAAGTCGCTTGACAAGTACATGTAAAGGCCTAGGAGCGTGGGTCAGAACTTGGGTAGCATCAGAATGTTATATCAGTTTAGCAGTACCTGCAGAATATCGATTTGAAAGGTAGATATATGTCAATCGGGAGTAGTTTGCGATGTGAGGTGGTACGGCACGACCACGAGTTGCAATGTTTAAGTTAGTGCCGGCCCGGAACACGTGCGTTTTGATCTGCAGGAACCGTGCTAAGATGACACTTTGCCCCGGTAGCACCCCTTCATGATTTTCGTTTCTCATTGACTCTCTGCCTTTCTCTTACAATATGAAATTTGCTCGGTGAGCCTCCAGTATCTCCTTTACAGCGCAAGGGCCTAATATCTACAAGATATCTGAAGGAAACCCAGGTTTGTCGGAGATTTTCCGTCTATAGTGCTGTACTGAGTCGAGGTATCTGGTCAGACTGCGGAATGGAAAAAGGCGTATATGTGAGGACCTCTGTGACTGCTTTATCTACTACTCACTGCTATCCAGTGACTATCAAGGGCTCAAGAAACGAATTACGGCCATCAGGCGATGGCAGGAGGGCCATACCATCATTCTCACACCACTAGGATCCGAAGAACCTATCACAGAGTCTCCGAGGACCTCTACAGAGTCGGACGAGCATACCCACCATGGCGATGACAGTGAACCAAGCTCGTCGAAACTCGATGGCAACCCTCCTCGCAATGATCCATCGGATGGCAACCCTCCACGCAACGATCCATCGGCAAAGAACCAAAAGCCGTCCAGCAAACAAAGTCGTCTCCGCTCAAGGCTGCTGCGGGGAGCTCGGAGCTTGCGTGGTACGATACTTATCGGCTTTCTATCTGCGTATCTGACGGCATTGATATAGGACACTCCACTCCTCATCCATACTCTCTCCCTCTTACCCTCCAGGACCTACGCGGACAGCTTTCTCCTGAGGAACTTTCCTTTTTAGATGCACTTGACAAGGAGCTTGAAAAGATTGAGACCTTCTACCTTGATCGCGAAAAGGAGATGCAGACACGGACCACCGCGTTAGAGGGGCAGCTTCACGAGCTCAGTTACCATAGAAAGCTCTTCCACGAGACGCATCCTTCAACTTCGAAACCCTGGATATTAGGTAAAGTTGGCAAAGTAGGTTTCAGGAAACCGCAAAAAGCCGTCAACGCGGACGGGTATCGGCCTCAGAGAAACTGCAACGAAACTGCGCACCCGCACGGAAAAAGCCCCAGTTACGCTCACGCTCTTGACCCGGATGAATACCAGAACGCAAAAAAGAAGCTTAACAAGGCGGTATTGGAACACTACCGGTAATTCAAGCTTGTCTAAGTGTTTTCTGATGCTCATCATACGTGACAGCGGTCTCGAAACGCTGCACAATTATCGAGTTCGAGGTTCACTTTGGTCATTCCAACAGGTACTGATCTACGGCCCAGGTTTTGAACCTGACTGGATTCCGCAAGGCGTTAAAAAAGTTCGAGAAAGTGACCAAGGTGACACACGACGTCGTGTCGTTGCAGCCAAAAATCGTCTCATACATTAGATGCAGATACCTCTCCAGAGCGCTTATCTGTCAGAGAAGGTGGAAATGAGTCCCCTAGTCTCTGACAAGGGCGTCCGTAATATGATGGAAGAAATGGAGACCATATATGCAACTCAATTCGGTAAGAACCCAAATTTGAGGGACGCGGATTGACTTTCATCTCTATCCTAGTACGAGGCGATAAAAAGCGAGCAATGTCGAGATTGCGTGGAGGCTTCGTTACCCAGAGTCACCACTTCAGTACCTTCCGTTCAGGCATTGTGCTAGGCCTTGGCATCCCTGCTCTGGTTTCCGGTGTATACCAAAGTATGCCATGACTTTGAAGTGAGACGATCCTTGCTGACTTACGACAGGTTTTCAACAATCCACACGGGATCAAATACCCGGATGGGATGGACTACTCTTCGCTTATAGTGTTTTTCTTGTTCCAGTAATCTTCTCAATGCTTGTCGGGCTGAATATTTTGATATGGGCCCGAGCCAGGATCAACTACGTCTTCATATTCGGTAAGCTGAATGATACGTCTCCTAACGCACACTCACCATCCTGACAAGAGTTGGATTACCGCACACGGCTTAACCACCGAGAGTATTTCGAGGTCGGCGGTTTTTGTTGATGTAATCGCGACGCTCTTGACTTGTTTCCATCAGATACCTTGTATTCTTTTCACGACGTTGTGTTACACGTTCTGGTTTTCATTCGCACGCATCGGTGCTCCTTCTGTTCACCCCACAATATGGCCTGCAGTCTGGTTAGGTTTCGCTGCCGTACTCCTCTTCGACCCATTACCTATGGTCTTCAGATCTTCGAGGTTCTGGCTTGTACGAAATGTCGGCCGACTGCTCATCCCGGGTGTACAGCGTGTAGAGGTATTGCATACCTCATTCTTATAACATCATCCCGAATCTAATCAATATACAAAAAATAAAGTTTACCGACTTCTGGATGGGGTTTGTCGTTCGATATCATTTTGTGGCTGCCCTCACATGTTGATTATATTTGACAGGGATCAGTTCTGCAGTCTCGTATTCACGCTCTCGAACGTGTATCTCTTTTTTTGTTCGTATGCCCAAGGCTTCGACCAGTGGCGACAATGTGGTGCCAGTTCGAAAAATTGGCCAATCATCTTCGTTTTGGCGATGCTTCCTCTTTTGTCCCGTCTTATACAGAGTGTTAGACGTTATGCGGATTCTCATCTGATCACGCATCTGATAAATGTTGGTTTCCTCTCTCTGTCGAATTCCTTATCCCCGATTTATTGTCTTTTTTGCCGTAGGGTGGAAAATACGGGTCTGGAATCATCAGTTATCTCTTCTATTTCCTCTGGAGACATCAAGGTATCCCATACGTCTCCACGCTTGTCGGCTTCATTCATCCCATGATACAGGTGGCAATCACGGTGCAACTTTCGCCCTTTGGTGCCTCTTCAACACCATCTATTCCTCATATGCTTCGTCATGGGTGCGCTCCTTCCTTCCGCGGAATTTGGCCCTATCTTAAATGTGTTTTAGGATCTTCTGATGGATTGGTCAGTGTTGAAAGCGCATGCTAAACATCCCCTGCTACGGAACGACCTTCTGTATTCCAACTATGTTCCTGTTGAGTTGCATCTATTGGCTGTTCCTGTTTGCATGACTCAATCTTTTTCCGTGTTTCAGTCATATTATTTTGCCATCGTAAGATCGTCACCAGGGCCTGGATCCTTTATTGAGTCTTATTTTCTCCGTAGATATCGAATGTTATCATCAGGTTTATCTGGGTCATTTACATTCCCCAACGGGGACCCGATTTTTACCTGAGAGCCTTTATTGCTGGGATACTGGAATCCGTACGCCGAGTACAATGGAACTTTTGTAAGTTGTTCTCTCTTCTACGAAGCGTCCACTCTGACAAATAATAAGACCGACTGGAGAATGAACATCTTGGTAATATGGATCAGTATCGAGTAACACGAGAAGTCCCACTACCCTATTCATTGGACGATATGAAGCGTGAAACGGACGATGACGATGTAGACGACTCCCACTAGAATATTGCATTCTGGAAATTAGAGCTCCCATGAGCAGGGAAGGTACCGCTGCATGGCGTTTACCGAATATGCCCATCAAAATCGTGTGCCCATGTTAATTGCTGATCAGGGACCGACCTCATCCTTATCTCCTGAATATATAGCGCGCTACTTCATAGACGATGCGATCTGGTCGATCTCTCGCTGCATAAGAGAATCGGGACATTTCTTGCGTAGTGCTCTGTAATAGAAACAATAAAATACTCGTAGTGTATGCAATGATAGAACAACGCACTCGAGCTTGGCTTTATCCCCACGTTCCTTGCATTCTTTTGCAGCGAGACGCCATTCGTTGCATTCGGCGTAAAGATCAGCGCGCTTCGGAGAGTCGCACCGAGCAACGTAAGGTACAGCTTCTTTTGGATGCCCGTTCTCGATGAGACAATGAACAAAAGGCTCGTAGCCAATAGGGCTTCTTTTTGACTTGGAAAAGGCATCGAGGCCTTCAAAATCCCTTATCTCTATGAGTGTAGCCATCTTGAGGTACCAGAATCTAAGGAACCCGCGGTCACGCCATTTCTGACGAAGAAAGACTTGTATCTTACCGCTTGTCGGGAACTTTAAAATCCGCTTTTGTTTTATCAGCACGCTTTGACATGCCGTTGAGCAAACATGTGCGAATGGTTTCGTTGATACTCAGGCCGAAAAATGAAATCTTGCCATCGCCTTCCTTTTCCAGTTGCTGCTGGAATGTAAGTAGTCGCGCGTATTCGTCCATCATCTGCGCGACCAGGATAAGATGAAGATGAACCAGACTCCAGCAAAAGAAAGACTTCTTACTTTAGCTTCGAAGCCCCGGTCCTTGTCTTCGGAAAAAAACTTCTGTGCAGCCTTGACGGACGTAGTTTTGGAATTCGGGTCCTAAAGATAAGGGAAAAAATGAGCTAGGAAAAATGTTGTTCTCACTGCTATACATACCGTCATTCTTGAGCATTCGTCAAGTGCTAAGACAGCGCTCTCAACGCGCCTATCATCTGAATAGTAGAAATCCCGCAACATATCCCGATTTTGTTCTCGGGCGTATACCTGGAGTAATTTGCTAGCTGGGGCAAGGCGAGAACCACCATCCTCGATAAGCCGAAAGAAGGAACCGAGGGTGAGCTGCTGATGTAGGTGCAAAAGAACATGGTAGACTTCGCACAATGATATGAGCATCATAGCCGAAGAGAAACGTCGAATCATGGCGCACCGAGATCTGTATCACCACTATCAACAGCCTTCTCCAGTGCTAATCGGTCTTCCTTCATGGTTAATAGCAAAGGTACCTGGTCAGACGCATTCGACTCGTGGTCTAGTAGCTACAATAGAAATTCAGTGGACGGACCCACGACAGAAAAAATCGCAAACCTTAGTGGCAAGTCCCGTCCTCCCGACTTCCCAAGCACGCTTAGCGATCTCAGCATAGCTGACATCCGCCCCGCCGAGCTTCTTGAAGTTGTCGACGATCAGTTTGCAAACTTCCTCATCTCCGCCGAGTTCCCCATCGCTTCCGGCCACCGCAGAAGGCTTTGTTCGAAGAATTTTGGCACTGGCCCAGTGTTTCAGTACGTGATCGGGTTTCATACCCAGAAAATTGGATATCCGAAGCGCAAGAAGATGCATATTCCGCGAGGTAAGGCGAGTAATGATATATGATGGCAATGTATAAATATATCTGATGAAATGATAATGAAAATCGTCATAAGTGAAGTAATCGACTTACTGAGCGTAGGTGAGGGGTATGCCTATCTCATAGTAGCGGACCGCGTTGAGGACTTTAAGCGTCTGACCCATGTTGATGAAGTCGGTAGGATTATAGAAGTCTAAAAACCCCCGACCAAACTTGGCTGCCTGAACAAAACGAAATGAGGACGATCTTCGGGGACTCATGTGGACTGGTAGTTTACGTTCAGAAGACTGCGCTGCCAATAGGGCTCCCATTCTTGCCCTGCAGCATCAATGCATTGATCTACGGCAATAGCTAAATCTGGGCGTATGTTGCGGATGCTTTCATCCGCCTTTGGAGAGCGTTCGGTGAAGCTCTGCCATGCGTCGTAGAGAATGGCAGCTGGGGCTGTGGAACCTGGCCTGAATATGGCCAATACCGATGCTGTTTCCGAGCTATCAACACAAAGGAAGGAGAAGGAGGCGAAGACTTACCAGGTACCTTCTGAATAAGATCACAGACATCTGGGCCCATAACGCGCACACCATCTGGTTCAGTTACTGCAAACAAAGAACCACTATAGAAATATCTACGGCACGACTTAGGACACGCGAGGCGATGTAGCGAAGAGAAGCTTACTCCAGAGTATCGGCGAAAGGACCAACTAGAACTGCTACGGAGCTCCAAGTGACCAGGATAGCGTCATTGCCACACCATTCCACCTGTTGTATTTGACCCTCCGCGGAAACAGTACGTGTATCAAATTCAGTGATTTGACGTTGAAAATCTGTAGAGATTACAAGGAGAGTCTCAGAAAAAGTGAGCAGCGCGAGTGTTTTGCCGTTAGGAGCTGGCGAGATATGTGTGAATGGCCCTTGTGATAGTCGTTGATCGACGCTTTCAAGATTGTCGACGGAAAAGATAGTCCCCTCCGAAGAGAGGAGAACTTCTACATGCCGGGATATATTCAAGTCCGGAGGAATGATGGCCCACGAATGTGGTGGCTCAGGCAGCCCTGGGGAAGAAATCAATATGATAAATGAAAAGAACCAAGCTTCGAGTACCCGGGTTTGCGAGAGTTAGCGGTCTGGTCCCCTTCCAACCCTTCACTTCCAAGAATGTCAATGATCCCGTCAATGCCACAAGGCCGTCTTCGTGTATTCGCGCGTCAATCACGCCCATTTCGGCTGCATCGCTTCCTAAGGAATATTGTTGGTAGTCTCCTTGAAGGTCGTATACTCGATAAGTGCCCTCTTCGTTGATTACAACCAGGCTCTCATCGGCCGTCCAGCCAACGCGGATGATCTTTCCTTGGTCCCACTATCGACACAGAAATCAGCAAGACCTGATGTGCATTGAGTTATACAGGATATCCACACTGATCATTAGAAGGCCCTCTCCAGCCGGAGAGTAGACTTGTATTTGAGATTTCCCGAAGGCTGGTGTAGCTCGTCCCAGTGCGACAAGTTTGGTAGTATCGCGCATCACCGCTAATGACGACGTTCCTTGAGAACACAGAGCAAGCATAATCAGGCATACAGCGCACCTATTGGCCCTCCATACCGGCAACCCGCCATAATGTAATCTGCAAAGTCGGGGAATTTGCCAGATACAGAATATAACTGTTGCCTCCGGTAGAACACGTTTCCATCTTGCATCGCCTGCCACGACGCCGTTGGATGGTCAGGCATTGCGATAGTCGGTCAACAGTACTGAGACTGGCGAGCGATCCAGATATTAAGAAAATAAAGGGAAAGAGATGACAGTAATGAGCAGAGGACGTTCGTCCCAAAAAGGAAGCTGGTGCTATTACGATCTTCAACGAGCCGCAAGTATGTACCAATTACTTTTGTACTATCGAAAACGAAGAGGAACGAATGAAATGGGGAGGAATGGGTAGGAAAAACCGGAACAATGCGTTTAAAATATACATGTGGATACCGATAGCAACGAATACTAATACAAACAACGAATTGCCAGTCCTTGGATTGCCCCCGTCCATAATATGAATATTGCAGCCATAATTTGACAGTGAAACGCATCGTCTAGATGATACGTATTGGAATACGGTCACGAACCTCGTCTTGACCGACGAGAATAGATATATCCAAGAAGTACTGTGGGGAAAATCAACCAACAGTGAATCACGAAAAATAGTGAACAGACCTTGACGCTTAATCCCACCCAATCAATGGACGGGAGCATATCCTTATCCAGTATTATTTTAGATTTATGCAACCCGTCCGGAAGGGTTGCATGGTCCTGCAGTGACGGATGCGTGTTCGAGGTGCTACGATGATGCCTTGGGCGCTTGGGGAACCCAATACATATACTTGAGTAGACAGAACTTGATTCGGAAAAGACAGCTTGTGAAGGGAGCTGAGGGAGAGGTTTCCTTCGGCGCCCCTCTACACTCTCATCAACAGCTTTGTTTCCACGACTGATGAGAGGGGATGAACTCTTCACGAGTCTGATAAACCGAATGCCATTGCGAGAACCATCTTCGTCGCTTGTACTGGGGGTCTGTGGTGGAGTAGGGGGCAGTGCTGGCGACTCGGTGATGGTGACCTGGCGTACGAGCGAAACAGATATCGTCGCATCTGAAGCAATCTCCCGCGTCAAGGACAGTGATCGAGGCATGGTAGTGAAGACGACGAAATATGGAAGTGAAGAAGAACGAGGGAAAGTAACATTTGTTGGCAGTGTAATCTATTACCATCGTATCATTCGAGGCTTCGCGAAGATATAAGTGGGGAAAGGCTTACAGCACACCGGAATGGAACCGGCCGGTCAGTTCGCAAAGGCATTTCCAGCCAGGAGCCTTGGTCACCCAGACCATCCAGGGACTGAAAATCAACATCAGGATGATAAAGAATAGGTGCTTCAAGACTGTAGATTCAATTAGTAGCTATGATGCGACAGTCGCCGAAGAAGCTTACAATGATGGATATTCATAGGCCGCCGTCGGGTCCCAAGTCACCAAGATCTTGTACTCAACCGAAAAAGATGCAGCACGCGAGGTCGATGCCGGAGAACCTGCTGCATGCTTCGACGAATAGAAAGTTGGTGGAATCTCCTCTCCACTACGACAGCTGCGAGGAAGGTCAAAAGAGAAGGGGTAGGTCCTTTCCACAATAGATGGTGTCGAATTGATGTTCAAGCTCGAGATGCTCGGGCGCCGTCGCAGGCTACTAGCAAAAACTTCTCTGAAAGTCGAACGAGACGTGCCATCGGAGGAAGAAGACAGTTGGAAGGACGTTGAGGTGGAGAAAAATGTATGCTTCCGAGTCTCATAATTCATCACCGATCCAGCGGCAGGCGGGAAAAATGTGAAGGTCCCTTCCAGCTGAAAATCCATCAGAAGGGCCGAAGAATTTAATGTTGCCACTTACCGTTACCGTCAAGCGTCCAGGCTGAACACAACTCGGGTCTAGTGTCACCGCCCCAGTAACGCGGTCGCCTTCACCAAACAGTGGTTCAAGTTCCCTATTTTCGCGACCAATCCCCTCCCGCGCCTTCACAGAAGGACTCCACACCCGAAGAACAATTTGTAAAGAGCTGAAGGGAAATGTGAGCAAGTTTCTTTGCAGATGATGAACATCAGACTCGGAAAAACACGCACCGGAATGTTGAAGCATGAGAATAAGGGGGAGGAGTGAAGGCAAAGCTTGGAGGAGCGCGACGGTTCTCGTTGCTGGATAGCGAGTTGAATCGGCGACGATGTAACATGGATAAGGGAGGGACGAGAAGAACGGAGGACCTGTGCACGAGAAGGGAAGCACAAACTAAGTGTGGTGATGTACTTTTAAGCGCGAATTCATCAGGGACGAAGGGCATTCGAATATTCACATAAATTTGTTAGATGATAAATGAATACATCCTCGCGCATCATATTCGCGGAGATCGAATCCTCCATCACTGTCGATTTTTCACAGGACACCCAAGCCTGTGGTACGAGTACCATCATTAGCGTGATCAGGTCCGTGTAGAGTATTATTCCTGAAGAATCATTAGTCAACCCTTTCACTAGCGTGATTTAGAGTTCAGAGCATCTTTGTGTGAGACTTTCTATAGGTCAGTGGGCCAGCGAGAATGAAAATATCAGTCCGAAGCTTCAGGACACTTCTCGAGTAGCTGATTTGAAGGCCTCTAGTATAAAACACTCCTAGCAGGCAACTAACTCACGGCGGTCAAAATGCAATGGAAATGATAGGAATGCGGATTATGTTTTGACCACAAAAAAATGCGTCGGCTTTTCTATTACAGGAAATCCCGACTCATTCTGTCGTTGTCAAAAGCATGGATCAGAATTCGATCAGTTATACACCCATGTTTCCCGGTTTTTGCCTGACCCGAAACATTTGCTTACCAGGAGTGATAAATAGAATTTATTAGCACGAGGCACAGTACAGGATGGGATGCCATCGGAAGAGGTCAATGGAATACGTCCTGATCGGGAAATTTGCTTGAAATCACCTTACGGTTCTTTCCATGGAAACGAACATGGTTCCTCAAACCCATGGGTAGGAAGAACTAACCCACTGTGTACTGTAAGGAAAAAATGGCTCTCAGATAATGTCAGGAAGCATCAAGACTCACGTTATGTTTTCTGGGGCGCTGGGGGCGCAAGATGAACTTTATCCTGCACATAATCATCGCGGGTTTTGCCCCAATCGAGTCCGAACGTTTTCTCTGTAAGATTCCTTCTCACGATCTGCCGGAGCGGTAAATAAACGCCAGCTTCGGTCGAAGCATTGTGCCGAAGATGACAAGTCCGTTCGAATTTGCGGTTCTTTCTGAGTTTGAGCAGCAAAAGCTGACGGTCAGTAAACGAGATTGAAACACTCTGGACATCATCAACCCAAAAAATCGATGATATTCATTAATCAGAGCCAGATACTCCGCCAAATACCCAAGCCACCAAGCAAGACGTGTGCCAAAGTCCTGATAAGCAGGTCTTCAGTCTCGTTAATCAAAGATAAGAAGGGGAAAGGAGTAGCCTGACTGTATTAGAGATGTCTGCATCACAACCGTTCGAGGAATAACGAACCAGTAGAGCATCATATTCTTTTGAACACTGTCGGCGACGCCGTGAATTGCACCAGAACAGATCATGGTGTTGGCAATCATTCGAAAGCGAACGACCTAAAGTGACGGGAGGATAAAAACAGCATAGCAACCCGTTCTACAAGCTATAATGAATGGATTCTGATCTCGAAGGCAACTGAATTGAGAAGAGTAAGATTTGCAGACCCCGGAAAAAACCTAATACCAGTGAAAGATGGCTTCCCGCTCAGCCTGCGCTTGCGTGAGTGAATTCCGGGCGAATGGTGGGGAATCGGAAATCGAATACGAGCGTCACGAGCATTACTTATAAGTCTGAGTGAAGTTCAGATATTTAGGGAAACAATAGTCGAGAGTAATGCCCAGACATAAAACGTCCGTCAGGGCTACACACACATGAAAGTTTTGAGAAAAAGTGCCCCAACAAAGATTAGGTGCTGAACGAAGAGAAAGCATGACCGCGTTGATTTCCGAAACAGAAGCTGACGACGAGGACATGTATACTGCCTCCGCCAACCAACCTCCCGCTGCGAAAAAGTGTGTCCTTTCAGCATTCGTAAATTTCACGCTAGTTATAGAGTGAAACAATGCATCCCCAAAGCATCGACTCTGCTGACCTCGTTCAAAGAAGATACGGAAACTTTCGGTGTCGTCAAGGTGCATAGGGTAGGTAGAAACAGGGCCCACTGCACAGATCCGAGACGTACCTTTGTTTCCGAGTCTCGGAACATTTTGTAAGGATACAGTCAGACTCTGAATGGGCGGCGCAGAAGCAGAAGAGGAACTCAAAAGCGGGAGCAAAGTAGGAGAAAAGTTCTCACCTTCCGGCTCGGCTTCCGAGCGCCGATCATCCACGTGCGATTGAAGTGATAAGTCATTCTTCCGAACCATGACTGCCACAAAACAGCGAATTATTATCACTGGTATTCTCGCCAAACGATAAAATATGCGTGTACTTAGATTATCTATAGGCGCCTCAGGAGTCTTAGGAACTGCTGTACGCGAAGCTTTCGAACGTGCAGGGGATTTCAAAATCCTCAGTCTTTCTCACACGCGATCAGGCAACGACCTAATCAGACTCGACCTGACTGAGAGGAACGAGGTCGACAAAGTGTTCACTGCGTTTAACCCTGACTGTAAGTCGCTCTGTCAAGGCAGCCGACAGATCTAATGGTTTTACTTTCTCAAGGGGTGATCCATTGCGCTGCAGAAAGGAGACCGGATGTCGCAGAAAAGGTTGGTTTTCATATTCGTCTACTTTGATGCGAGTACACCGACAGTCTCTTCCTCTCCTAGGATCCTGATAGTACCCGCAGAGTGCGCTTGGATCGTGTACCTTGCAGTCTAGGCGATATCTAATTTGTCGTCCAGCTCAATGCAGAAGTTCCCGCTCATCTCGCGTCCATGGCCAAATATTTAAATTACACTCTGGTCTATATTTCCACGGGTCCGAGATTTCGCGATTGATCCCTAGGACTCAGGCTGACAACGAATCATATTAGACTATGTGTTTGACGGTACTTCTCCTCCTTACAGTCCGTCTGCAAAGACGAACCCGCTTCAGCTCTATGGAGAGAGCAAACGCGACGGTGAAGAGGCCGCAATGTCCATAGACGGCGCAAGGGTCATCGTCCTGAGAGTCCCGGTCCTGTGTGTTCATGCGTAGCAATTAATATACTTAACCAATCTGACTGTCGCATAGGTACGGCCCAGCGCCGAAAAATTCTGATAGCGCCATCAACATCCTACTCGACGTCGTTCAAGACCAATCAGGGAAAACTTACAAGATGGATCACTATGCAACGCGTTACCCTACCAACGTTGTTGACATCGCTAATTTCCTGATCAAGCTTACTGGTACGTGCTACTAAATAAAAGTGAGCGTTTGGCCCCCACATACTTTTAAATTGCAGAGCTCAAGAAGCCCATTCCTCCCATTCTCCATTATTCCGCTGCCGAACCCTTTACCAAGTACGAGATCTGCCTCGTATTTTCCAAGATACTCGGGTTACCCCACAAACACATCATCCCTGATGCCGAACCGCCCACAGGTCCCGGAGCAACGACGCGACCCAAAGATTGCCAGCTTTACACTGAAGAGACCGAGGAACTTGGAATCGAGGGTGGCCTTGGCTTGTCGCTCTTCGAAGAATGGTGGACTCAATACCTTCAGAAGTAAGCCACACTATATCATCGCCCTCAGGATCGCACCGTCTTTTATGCTGTAATTAAGAGGATGTTCAACCAATAAATGTACAGATTCCGGGAAATTCAGGTCCAGTTTCAACTTTCCCCTTGGAGCTCATCTTTCCTAGCTGCAATCTGCCGACTTTGTGATCCTGCCTTGCAGCGTCGATATGTGGGAACGACGTGGACAGTCCATGGAATGTAGTAGGAACATCTCAGTCCAAATGCTTACTGTATAACATTTTTCGGACTGTTCAGGCCGTCTCGCCACATGCTGAGCCCTGCATGCCAGCCCTAAGGGGTTGTTTAAATCCCGCTACTGATCCCTTACGGATAGTTCGAGCGATGCGCCGGTTCGTTGTCGTCATCTGTACCTGTACCCCTTAAAGTCTTCCATGTCCCTGGCGCGCTGTCATTCCGATACAGCCCTCTGTCCATGCATATTTAAAGTCTATCTCGTCTCGTCTATGGAAAGAGTGAAAATATGTACAACTCGAACGCCAGATGGCAGACTAGCGAGCACAAGTATAAAAAAAGATCTGTATATAATACTTCCTATGTAACTTAACAATATCCTGCCGCAGGAAGTCGTTCATTGATAGTGTTACACTAGCCGAGAGCGCGAAAATCCACATGAGAAATTTATTTACCACCGGACGTTTTGAAAAGTATAAGTCCTCCCAACGCAATTGAATAACCTGCATAGTGTTATCAGATTGGGGATTTGAACATAAAAATAGTTCAACGCCACTCACCAAAGATTTGGAGAGGGGTAACAGGGGAACCGAAAATCAACACGGATCCTGTTATAAGGAGAATGTCCTTGAAAACTCCGGCGAGGGTCAGGATGAGACCACTACCGACGCCAACCAGGAAGACAGCCGCCACATTGAGCATGAATGCGCAGAGGGCATTAGAGAGCAGGATAAGCGGACCGATCCGGGCTAATTCGTAGAATGGCTCGAAGCCCTCAGTGAATGGGATCGCTACGAGGTTGATGACAGCACAGACAGGCGCATAGTAATGCAGTGAAACAAGCGGGTCCATCTTAAGACCGTGGAGTAGGATTTGGATCATCACTAACCGGGATGCTTCAAACTGAAATGTTTGTCTATCAGTCTCAGAAGGCGTTTAGGTGGGCTGGGGACTTACAGCGACTGCGGCTGCCTGGATGATGAAACCAAGGAGGTTAAACCTAAGCTCGCCATGAGAAGCAAGCGCAACGCCTGAGGAAATCATGACGACGATGACGGCAAGCTTGCGATTGGGCTCTTGGATCCGGAAGCACCATGAGATAAGGAGGATAGCAACCGCTGTGAAAGCCTTGATGAACAGTTTAGAATATATAGCACTGGTGATGGATTAATTGAATTCGTACCTTAAGCATTTGAATGTAGGAAACACTGAGGTAAAGATAAGCGGTGTTGCTGAGGATAAGACTTCCACTGAACAAGAGTCCGATTGGAAGGATAGATTTCAAGAACATGTCCTTGGACATATGGACGTCCTTTGCACCGTCAACGAGAGTGGTTGTCCTTTCTAGAACCCGTGTACCGATAGCCTGCAAGGATGGTAAATACATGAGTACATTGAACAAGAAGAACACGCGCCGCAAACGTCAGATGCCATGTCACCAAGAAAACCGGATACTTGAACGAGAGGGTATTGTACAAGTAGTTGTTGTATATGATGACGGACGAGCTGAGTACGATCCAGACAGGTATTATCATCGTGGCCGAGAGCTTCGGCTTGGCTTTCGGGACTTGTGCAACCGCGGGCGACGGCAGATCCTGGCGACTGTCGCTGATATCGATGTCCTCCTCCTTCCCGCCGAAATCCTTCTCCTCTATCGAAGACATGGTGAACCCAAAGATGGAAATGAAATAAAGCTAGAAGGAAGATGAATGAGAATTCGTGGGGGGAGAAGGGGGGAAAGAGGTATACATACAGTGACTGTGTTAAGATAAGGACGTTAGACGGAGGGTGAAGAAAAACGTCGTGGCGGACAGAACAAAACCGTTGTGAGCGGAAAGGAGGACACCAAGGGTACCTCTTCCCACGCCGATACCCGATTTACCTATCTTGATTATGTAATACAAGCCTTAACCGCTTTCGATCCGCTCGTCCGACTCGAGGCTTGCCCGCAGTTAGTCGCCGTGGTATATTCATGTGGACGCTGTCGGTGCTTGTTTTGAGAGGCGGGTATTTCCTTCTGCACCATGTTGCCGGAATCTCGTTCGGTTCATGGAGAAAGACATGAACTTCAGCGTAGACGCAATAGCTCGGAATTTCTCATGAAGGACCGCTAGCGAGACGTCTTCGCGGCCGCTCATCAAGGGGAAATGATATTCTATTGCTATGGAAGATGTTGACACCACAACTATGATGATCAGCCACATTACATCTTTGCGCATCCCGTTTCAAAAACACGGAAAATCGGACATGTCCCGCGCCATCGTCATTCTACGCGTGAAGACGGACCAAAATTCTCAAAAAGTTCATCCACGCGTAGATTCTCGTTTATGCCCTGAGCGGTCGTAAGAAGTACAACAGTTAATGGTTCAGCGTGTATTTCAGTCCGACGGACGTCAAGGCGATCAGCGGAAACCTCGGAAATATTACGAGTGATCGGAGAGGAACGAAAAAACGTTCACTGCGCATCGACGAGGCCGGAATAAGGACAACGACCGTAAGAGTGAGACCAGGAGTACAGGAGACAGAAGCGCAGGGAAGACATCGGGTTGTGCCCAGCAGACGAAGAGCCCAAGAACCGCCCTGTATGCAAAGAAAATAATTTCGCTTTCAGAGTTGTTCTAGCGTCGCCTGAAGGGAAGAGTAACAGGAGCTCCACAGCATGTCAATAACCGGCGCTAAAATAAATCCGAAGAGGTGCGGGAACCCCTGAAAAAACGGCCTAGTACGCGCTTGTCATAAAGGTAACACGAGGACGGTATTTTATTGAAGGGTGCTGAGCGGAAGGGCTGTCATTTGGGCGCGTTTTGGGCGCTGCGACTGAGCTTGAATCTTGGACTCTAGATTATTTTGCGCCACTTGGTATGGTTGGAAATATACCTCTATTGTTGGCGGCCGTATCTGTGGAGCAAGGAGACTGATACCGCAGTGTGTCAACGACTACGGTCACTAGTACGGTGACGGTTGCTTGGTGGTCTTCGGCTCCCGCTTCTGTTCAGATGAAAGCGAAACTGAGATAAAAAATTTCTGTTCAGCTATATACATATCATCATGCATGGTGGACGCGAGTCACGCAAATGATGGCTAACCGTGTCACTCACCTCAAGCTTGAAACAGTACTACAAAAAGCCGAGTCTTCAGTTTTAATAACAGCAACTAGCAATGGTTACGGTGATTCGGCGGGGGGAAGGCGGTCTCCCATTATCTTACTGTCAACAGAAATCTTAAGTGCTCATTTACAGTCCAAGATGGTAAAAAGATGGCTGTGACCTAAAGAAAATGATACTTACTGAAGAACAATAGAAACATCTGTGCGTGCCAAGAGGTATCAAAAGAATTAAAGAAGAAAGGTAGCCGTACCGTTAAAGAAATTCAAATCATATAACCCTAACCCTAACATTGATCGACAAGGACCACGTGGAACCTGCGCAGACTCCAGGACCGCTCTTCTGTTTACACTCCATGTCCAGCCTGCAAGGCTACGTCGACAGTACGCTTTTCTTCGTCTTCGATGCCAATATCCCACTGATGCACTCCCACAGGACGTGTACTCCTGATCTTGCAAGATGGTCGCGCTATCGCGGTCGGTTTTCTCAGCTATTGGAGCCTTTATACCGCTCAACGCGTTTTGAACAGGGGATAATGGCAGGCTACGACCAAAAATCAAACGTCGTCCTTTCAGACTCGAAGGAACGGGTGTACAGTATGGAAGAGGGCGTGGAGGAGGTACCGCTCGGTCTGTATCTCGTGAAAGGGGACATGATGTGCGTACATGCGGTTTTCTTTTCCGTATCGACCCTGATAACGACAACTTTTGGACAGTATCCTTATAGGCGAACTCGACGAAACCGTCGATGAGGCCGTCGATCTCTCAACGATACGTGCAGAACCGTTACCACCCATACGATACTAAAAGGTCAACATGCACCGTCACCCATTATCACTCGGCGTCTTTCCTATCAGTGCTCGCCGGTGCCAGCGAAAGATATACCTGGGCAGATATTTTGGCTACCTTGCATGTAACCAGCTCGCACGAGCTTGAAGGTTGTTCCATACGTGTGGCATACCCGCGTCATGTGTTCCCATTTTCACTGTAGTCGCGGCCGGGTCTCGGATAAAGAAAAAAAATGTTGTATTAGGTACGCCAGCGAAATCAGTACATAATAATTCCAAAGTCCGTGACGAATGCAAGAGAAAAGGACATAAGATGAATGGTAATAGGACACAAACAAAGCTGTACGACCACGACAGCTGGGCCAGGTGGACGGCCATGGTAGCTAGCATATGCAGTTACGGACGGAAGCTGTCGTCCATGTAGATCAGAGCTCGAAACAATAACACAACGTACGAAGGCAATCGATGACAAGTAAGTAACTCTATACGATGTGACTTTGTATGGATCACACGGTATCGTCAGCTTGACAGAAAAGCAGGCGAGATGATGGTGCCACAAGTGGTCGATGGATATAACCTATTGCCAGACCCCTTGAGCAGCAGCATTTCACGTGTCATCACTGCGTGCAGCAGTGACATGCAGACGGTGAAATAGACGTTTGAATGATTGCACCAAGGTATTCATGACCATTTCGAGTCCCATCCAACTATGACTTTGAGGGCGTTATCATAACCAGCGGCGGCAAAGGATGATTTGACCTCACGCAGTACATGTCCCGAGGCTAGGAAGGACGGTCGCACTAAACGTAGATGAGTCCATCGTCATCCATAGTCTAGCGTTCGATAGGCCTGCGTTGCCCCCAGTGTATGTCATGCTTCATTCTCGAATTCTGAATTAACCAGCGGCTCCATGAAAAGTATCAGAGCACACAGAAGACAGGCATCAATGTAGAGAGCATCCCTGTCACTCAGGACAGCGATAAGTGCCGTGGTGTGATAAGGAAGTAAGGACATGATCTTCAACTTGGAAGTCGCCCGATTTCAGACACAAGTTTCCGTCCTTGGCGGTCGCATGAAGGCAAGGGCCGCTCTATGTCGTAGCCTGCCTTTTGTGTGAAATCGAACCCGGCTTTCCAAGCTTCGCGAATGGAAAGTTCCTGTTCAAATGGTTCAATCAGACCTCTATCGATCAAGTACTGCAAGAGGGTAAGCATAGGGTTACAACCAACAAGAAACAGCGCACCAAAATAGCGTCGAACACCCAGTTGTGGCTTTTCCAGCTGGGATCATCCTGTACGACGGTGACCTGCCGTAACAACTCGTCCAGCGTATCGCCGCTAAGCCTCTTGTCCAGTTTTCCAACTAGCTGCACACCTTGCACGCGACTTGGGCGATTTTTCACCCTCAGCATCTCGTATTTCCATATTTCTTTCTTGGACGTCGGATCTATCACGTTCAGCGAATGATATTGGTACGATTCCTCTGCGGTGACATCCTTGGGATTCTTCGGTGACAACAGCAGGCAAGAATGAAATTGGAAGTCTTCTGGTCGCTTGCGGTGCCGCACAAGATAGGCAATATAGAGGCGATTTTTGTTTGCGGTGAACATGGTGTCCAGAACGGAGGCACATCCGGACCGGGAGGCCGGGCAGCACTTGGCCGACGCTTTTTGAATCTCCGCTCGAAACGATCTCTTCCAATGGTCTGCACTGTTCTCCCTGGTGTCGAGTTGTTCATTCATTACTTTGGCCACAGATTATTCCAGTCCGCTGTTTTTCATGCGGCAAAGTTATTGGTGATAAATGGAACGACTACCTGAAGCTCCTCTCTAACGACAAAAGCGAAGGGTTGGCATATCTTGCCTTTTTCTTCTCTGGGTTACTGAATGAGGCTTGCAGTGAAGCTCTCGACGAGTTGCAACTAAAAAGATACTGCTGTCGCAGGATGGTGCTAACGCACGTCGATTTGATTGAGAAATTGCTGCATTACAATCGTGCGTTGCTGGTCACTTGTTCCTGAATGAGATATTTGACATTTTTCGCAGCCATGGAGAGGACGAGGGACAAGGCGCAATTCATCCAGCAGTTATGAGGAGCCTCCATTGTTTGTATTGTAGTCCGCTGGCAATGCTATTCGCTGTGTATCGAGCCGCGCCCGGACGACCAACGACGTAAAATTGCTGCACAAGAACAAGTATCCCTTCAGCCTACATTCATTCTCTATTGTCTTTCTAGCGTTTATTCCTCCAAGATAGCACTAAAATATGGTCTGACCGCCTTTTGATATACTCAGCTTAACTCGCAAGGCTAACTGAAGGCAATGCTTACCATCGACGAGAATGTCAGCTCCAGTAATGTAACGACCCGCAAATTTGCTGCAGAGCAAAACGATCGCACCAGTCAGTTCTTCAGGCGCGCCCATCCTTCCCATTGGATTTCTTTCGCACCAGATTCTCCTCCCCTCCGCCAAGCCGTCGCCTTCATTAAGAATGGTGTCCATGTAACCAGGACTAATGCTGTTCACACGAATACCGTACTGGGCCCACTCAGCCGCAAGCGAACACCGCAACTGCACGATGGCTCCTTTAGAGACATTATACGCTACCTGCGGTTGCGGGAAATTGACTCTGTGCCCAGATATGGAAGCGGTGAAGAGTATACTCCCCCCCTTCTTCTGGGCGATCATCTGCCTATGCGACATGAAAAAACGATTAATTGGAGAACCAATATATACTCACTTGGCTACAGCTTGAGCGCAGATCCAGCTTCCGGTCGTATTAATATCCAGCACGCGCTTCCACTCTGCAACGTCCATATCTACAGCGTGCGTCGTTCCGACGACACCCGCAAAGCATAGCAGTATGTCTACACTCCCTAGCTCGATTGCTGTCTCACTCACCGCCGCATGGACAGTCGCATCAACCCGGACATCCACGACCTTGGTTATAACCTTAGCCTTGGGGAAATCCACTTGAATCTGGGTGATCGCCTCCTTTCCTGAAGAGATCGAAGCTAGAACATCGAAAATTGATATGCCAGATGCTCCATGCTCGAGAAGAGCCCTGCACGCTGCTAGCCCAAGCACACCAGACCCACCGGTAACTATATTTTACCGGTTATTCTAAAGGGTTCAGCGGTTCCGCGTGCATCCATACCTATCGCATTACCCTCGATGGCGAATCGCTGACAAGCACGTTCTGATGGTGAGGATCCAGATAGTTGAAGCGGTGCGGTTAGGGGGTTGCTTGTATCGGAGAGAACCATTTGGGGGAGTACGCGACTGGATAGATCTTTCCGCTCGGTCATGGTAGGAATTTGGAAGTGGGAGGATCTAGAAAGGTGTTACTGTCCTGAAGGTGGTAGAGTTTTAAGGTTAGTCCTTTATCTGATGGCGAATGTTCCCTAAGCTGCTGATATCATTATCGCCCTTTACAGCTTGGACCGGGGCATGAAAGCTACCCTTACGTGTTTATCTGGGTAAGGTTTGATTCCGCAAGGCTCGGCGTCTTTGCCAAAAGACACTGGCGTTGAGTGAATTTGTAACAGTTCCAGATGTCGCGCGTGCCGACGTTCGTGCCTATTTCCTTAATTAACTCTACATCGAACGGCAAATGGGACTGACTGATTTGAAGTCATGAAATGAAGTTCAATGGCTCCTCCACGTCTTCAGCAAGCTGGCATCGGGTTGAATACATTTCCTTCCCCGCTATTGCGACAGGTCGGACATCATTCGAAATTATTCAGGGCTTTTTGGAGCTGAGTTACTGTTGAACTCAGCTTCTAATTCTTCCTATGATTCCAAGTGATTGTGGCTTTTGATCGGCTCTTCCCTGAGGTCTGTCGGTACCCTGTTTTCTCCATCGTCTCTTGAAACAAATGTCTCATTGCGGGTCTGTGCCCTTCTACGCAGGTTCATCGGTTGCTATACATGAGAGATCGTAGCCCTCCTATGATCTCTCGAGCAAGTCAATCTTGTGCGCTCGGAGATCGGGGATGATCTCGGAAACTGTACGACGTTGGAAATACCTGTTTGTCCAATACCACATGCGTAATCGTTTCTTATAAGACGAAGGAGTCCGGCCGCAATTCAATTTAAGAATATCTCAGGTTTCTCGCCTTCTCCCTACTGCCCATACTTCAGCTTTCATCTTCCAGGATGCCTACGGCCAAGGTCAAGTCAAGCACTGGAAAGACCAAATTCAACTACACAATATCGACACCATCGTCTTCATCGGCCAAGCATATCGACAAGAGTCTACCGACCTTGCTATTCATTCATCCAGTTTACTTTGGACAGCAAATCTTCCAGCGTTAGTGACCAGTTGTCTTTTCTCCGCCGTTCAGCGGTTGAGCTGATGTTCACTTTAGGACAATTTGAGGACCCGCAGATAAGAAGATTCAACTGTGTTACATTGGATCTTAGAGCACATGGTCATACGACGGGCGAAGATGTTCCAGAAGGATATGGTGCAAAGGAGGCTGCGGAAGATCTTGCAAAGTTCATGGTCATTGGCTTGTTTCATTAATGTGGGCGTAACTGAGCGGCGATTTCAAACAGGACGAGATAAAATTACCCCCTTGTCACATAGTGGGTCTTTCCATGGGCACCATTGCAGCAATCGGCCTTGCTGTCTACTACCCAGATAAAGTCGCATCTCTTTTCCTCGTGTCGCCGCTAGGACTGGAGGAGGTGCGCTCTTTGACGTGTTTAGGTCGTAGTCAAGACTAACAGTACATGTAGCCGACAGATGTCGCCGATGGCCGGCGGGAAATAGCAGAGTACTGGAAGGAAGGTTTCAATACAGGCCAGCCCGACATGGAGGTCCTCTCTGACGCGGTTTACGGCGCCGTGCAACTAGCTTTCAGCAACAACCTCGACGGCTTAGGAAACACGTGCGTACAGCGGTGCTTCCTATTCTTCATCAGGACTAACTATCCTTCCAGGCTTGTTGCTATCACACTTCCTTTGGCCCTGAAGAATTGGGGACCCAAACAATTTCATCAGTACGACCGAGCCACCGTTGAATTTTTCAACAATCGAAAGGAGTACAGCAACGACCGACTCTCTCAGATACGCGTGCCGGTCAAGTTGGTCCATTGTCTTGGTGACGTCGCGTATCCCCAAGAGTATACGGAAAAGTTCATGCAACAGCTCAAGGACGCCGCAGTGGCCGTTAGTCTTTCCACGATTCCGGAGGCGCCACACTTTGGTCTCGCAACGCACGGAGACATGTGAGTGCAATTATTGCGGGATCCCGGGATGACAGCTGAAATTTTTCTAGTGCTAACCGCATTCTCCATGATTTTATTATAAGTTGCTGCCGGTCTTCTGTTCCGCCAGCACCCCAAGAAGTCATCTCTCCCTGGGAGGCCGAATTGGTGAAAGCTGGTTGGGATAAGGGTGGGAGCGACTCTGAAGACGATTAAAATCGGTTTGCTAATCATATACCCCCTTTACTTCTAGGTCCAGATTGTTGATAATGTACAATAGAATGTGCGCTCGCTCTACATTGTAACTGGAATTTGAATTCTCATGCCCCTAGATAGGATTTGCTTGCCCTCATTGAGGGCGAGTCAGGAGACGAGTCCACCACTGACGTGAATGATGTCGTAAATCTTTGCGACTGCGTTCTCTTCTTTCTGTCCGTTGGTGGAAAAGAAGATAACTGAGGCGCCACTCAGATGGATCCGAGGAACTACAAGCGGATGTGTTTGAAATATTGAAGGTCTGGATGGTGATCAGTACGCGCAGAAAGCTGGCAAGATCTCTTTGTGCATGCCTAGAGGTAAGGAGGACTGCCATCTCGGAATCATGGACTCGTTATTCATCTTTGGTTTGTCAGTTTACCTTGTCATTTCTATCTGAGCCAATTAATCGGGAGCGCGTTTGTAGATTAATTTGTAGGTCAAAGGCTCGCGGCAACGTCGCGGTGATCACTGTTTGATCTTAGGTACCATTGGTAACACGACATGTACATGCTGTAGCGAAAGTGCCTGGTACCGGAGTGACTTCATGGTTGCGACAGTCAATTGGATAACGCCAGCGCCAATGACGACTTCAAGTGCCCATTTGATTCTGACCATGCCAACGCTAGGGTCACCGTATGGCAATGGTCATAGGTGTGTTTGGGTCGTCACGGTGTCCTCGCAGTTCTTCTTAATACATTGGTAAGTATCAGTTGTCAGATCACAGTCAGCACCCTGGTGAAGAACTTTGAGACACGCCGCTTCTAAAATTCCAGTGGCTTCGAAAATTCTCACAAGGCAGCATACGTCGCGACGCAGTCAGAAACGGAGGTTTTCCTGGGTAATAGTTTACCCACTGAGTTCACCGTCACCCCCAAACATCTCAAGGTGAAGTCTTAAAGGTACTAAATCGAAGGGAGGGTCTTCCTGCAATGCAGGTTCCGACGGGTATCCGTTCAAGGAAGATGACAACTTGCTGTATTCGCGCCACCACGATGGATATCTGTGTTCTGCAAGGGAAAACCATGTCACGCTGCATCCATTCTGCCCATCAAAATGCTGTACCTGTCAGGGGCGATTCTACATATATCCGTATCTCTGGACAGAATTTAATTGATCACCTTTCTAGACACCATGATGAGCAGAAATTCTTCTGTTAACTGGATTGATATCTACCGTACATTGAATCCTGCTTCAACTGATCCTCAGTGGCGCCCGAAGTCGAGTGAATGTTGCCACAAAGCTCAACAGGCTAAGTCTAGCTAAGTACGCCCATTTAGAATTTGAACGTTTGGGTTTTGAAAGCTTGAAATTCACGATTGAAATCATGGACCTCGGGCGGACTACACACGTAGTATTTTGGTTCCGCTTCTTCGGACGGGGACCTGACGATCGATACTATCTTCCGGAACGCGGCTATAAGTGGAAATGTGATTTACCGTTAGCTAGACTTCTTGCAATCATCATTCTGGAGCCTTTGACCAAATGTTAAGAAGCGGATACTTATCTGATGATAGGAGAATCAGAAATCCATAAATTCTGCAGGCCAGTCACTTCTAGATGGTTCTGGTTGACAGAAAACAAGACTACCCCTTGGTCAGTCTTTCTCAGGCCGCCAGAGGTGCGGTGATTAATTTACGACCCTAACGATTCGTCGATATATATGCAATGGCAGGCTCTGGTAGAATCGTTTCCAGAAGCGCCTGTGGCGTCTCATTACAGGGGCATGTACCTTCTGGCGTCGCATTTTTTCATTTCGCTTTGGGGTCTTATCGATCTTCTTGTATTACTCCCTCCAGCGTGGTATTGTGTTCATGCCTTTCGCATTACTCGTACGTGATGATCACCACTACTTCTGAGCTCGGGTGTCTGATGAATCGTGAGTGAATTGAACTGCGAACTTACTTTTCTATTCTGACACGTTGATCACATAGGCTTCAGTTTTCCCAAGCGCCTGACTTATCCATTATGTCTATACGAACTGTATAATACATGTTTCTATCTGCGTCGTTATCGGCGTGGCTTGCCACAGTCATTTTAGTACGGAGCTTGATATATAAGGGTCGTAACGTGATAAAACTGAACTTCCATTCGCCGAAGGTAAAATAACTTCTGTTACTACCAATGCCAGATGATATACCGACACCTGGAAAGCTGGAACGCGCCCTCATCACAGAAATGATTAAATCACGACTATTATTTAAATCCAACATACGGTTACTAGTACACATTTGTATTATGTATGTATCAACTAGACATAAGACCAGGGTTGGGCCAGTCTCGTTATGTAGTAATAGGGAAGCATCATGTTCCCAAACTGACCGAGTTCCAATGCTGAAGCCCTTTGGGTGAGCTCTCTCTCCAGAGCATCCACATCAGGGCAGTTAACAAAGAGCTGCGCGCTGTTTAAACGACGAATAGCTTCTTTGAACCGCACACGACAAGTAAAGCGTCGCTCCTTCCCAATATCCACCTCTGGAATTGACATGGGAATACCTCTGACATATTCCTCCAACATTTCCACAGTGAAGTCATCATCAACGTGCCCTATCTTGGTGAAAGTCACCGCCATGACGGAGTTTGGACCAGCCCACATCTGGCGTTCGTATCTCCAAGTTCTAACATCACCACGATCATTGGTAGTATGCATCTTCCATCCCTCTTTGAGAGTCTGTAGCAGGCCATTAATCACGGGAGTCAAGATTGAGACAAAAGACGAACAAGTACAAAGTAGAGTATCCAGTGATAGGTCCCAGGTATCGCGGCCTTTGTTAAAGCTGCGTATATGTCGTTCTTCACCCTGAAAATCATCAAAGCGGCCTCTCATGGACGTAGAAAAGTGCTCACGGAAGGGTGGTCACAATGGGAGTGAGAGTACCTTAGGCACCGTTGTGGGTCTGCTGAGATGGCATCCAGGTCACGAAGTTATCGATGTAAAAGTCTTGATGTTATCTAACCGGTTTGATCCTCTAATCCAACTATGACATAGCGACCACGACTGGGCTAGACTACCCTTTCATAAGCGAAATGAGCCCCATAATTAACTGTGGACGAAAAAGATAAGAATATACAGAGTGGAAGTGAGAAAACTACATATGACCTTAACCATCATTCGAACATCATGATTCGGCTTCATCATCCGATATTGGTCGGTCCATCGGATCGTCAGGGATTATACCAGGAACCAAAGCCGTATCTCCAGTCGAGCGAAACAGTGCTCTTTCCAGTTCTAATTCGTCCCGATATTGTTCATGACCGAATACACCAACAGCATCCCAAAAAATACGCAAACCCTTGACATTTGATATGATCCGAATCTGCAGCATGGTATACTCACAGTATTCAGGAAACCAGCCTGCAGTTTCCCAGTCGACGATTCCTGCGAGACGGCCGCCCTTGACGAGGATATTACTGGTGCTAAGATCCGAATGGGAGAAGCAGAGCCTATGCTGCTTGGCATACACAGGTTTGGCGAGCTTTCGCAGCCGAGGCATTCGACTTCCAATTACACATGATTGGAGCAGCATTTCATGAAAAGCGGCGATATTTTCGAATGGCTGGAGGATATCACGGTTTGAGAAACGCAAGGTTACAAACGGCATGCCATTTGCACCCGATACCTGGCCAGAGGGAGGGGAAGGAATAGCCCGGAGCTCGAGCAATGCATGCTTGAGATCGCTTATGAGTTCTGATGAATCCGAGAGATCGACGGTGGGCTCAAATCCTAGAAGAATAGTTCGTAGGTCATCAATCCGAGTCCCATCTCCATTCATGAGAAGGTCTAGATAATAGTGAAATTCTGGTGGAAACGTGACTCGGGGGGAAAGCCATTCATGCAATGTAATACCCTCGATGGTTTCATGATAATCAAACCACCGGGATGGGATGGGCGTGAGGGTATGGTATCCAACACTTCCAGGACTGGAATGGAGGTATTCTTTCGGACAAAACTGATGATCGATGCCTCGAGTGTCGGAGGACGTTCTTGAGTATGCTTCATTATCAAGCCAAAAGGCAGGTGGTCTATGTTCCAGCTCCCAACACCATACCATCTCGCAAGACGGCGATAGACGACTGACCGCAGCCTATCCGGAAAACAGAGCCATATATTCCAGGTAATGGTAGTGAAGACGGCTCTTAGTCGCAGCCATATCGACGAAGGACCGCGAAAGTGCACCGACATTAAGAAAGAGGACAAGATGATTGGTCTCGTTAATGGAAGGACTTTTATCAACCTGTTTAAGCTCAGCCCAATTTCATGGCGAAGCATTTTCACTGCGTACCTTGTTAGCACCTCGTGGTAGTGGATAGAAAGAACAAGGGATGCAAACAACATCAAGACGACGGCCCGGAGATCCGATGCCACGGATACCTATGTTGCCCAGGGTTTGCCGTTGAAGCTGAAGGACAGGACAGAACAGAATTACTGCATGTTGGCAACGATTCGGATCCCTTCTCGAGTCATTATCACTATCAGTGATGTCCCCTCTTGGCCATACAGCGGTAAACTACGTAGCGGATCCTGTATCAAAAGGGTTCCCTCGCGCTACTCCAGCTCAAATTGTTCAATGGCTGACCTGCGTAGGCTTTCCCGATGCGTATTCTGAGGTTTACATATCCTCAGGAGTGTTTCCTGTGACGCTGGATAATCTTCACATCCTTACCCGTCTTTCTACCATTGCCTTTCCCATCAAAAATGCCGCTTTGCACTAGTCAGCCGATTTTTTTTTTTGCTCAGCGCTTCGGTCACATTATATAAACGATATGAAAGTGGGACAGATCACATCATTGATATCTCGGTAAGCGACATTTCTCAACGATTGGTCGTAGAGCGCAAAGGATCATACTGCTTTGGCCTCAATGGACTGTTTATAGAGATGCTCAATGGCCTCGGATACCGGTAGCGATAACCTTCATTAGCCGTGCTACAATGCCAAAATTTATTCCTATTATTCTCGGGCATATTCGGGCTCAGGCAAAATCAACGAGGCCTTGGAACCTCGCGAAACTCCCGAGCATCTTTCGTTCGTGCACATGGTGCTATTCGTTCAGCCCATTGACGGCCCCAATGAGACTTACCTCGTGGATGTTGAATGTGGCGGGAACGGTCCTTCTCGACCTATTTTGCTCTCTTGTGATCCACATAATGTCGTGGTGGGTGTTTCCCCGACTGAAAACCATCGTCTTACGAGAGGCTCTCGGGCTGAGTCGAGTCCCGGTTAATGTTGTCTTTCACGACCTTTGGAATGGTTTATCATGACGGAATTCCGCAGATTCTGGCCCTGAGGAAACGGAATGGCGCCTTGAAGTGCTGCGGGAGAAGGGACTGGGCTCCAAGTGGAAGATCGTTTATTCTTTCCTTGAGGACGACAGGTTACATGGCTACGAACTTTGGAGTGTCAATATCGCCGGGCGGCTTCTTTGTGGATAATCTCGTATATGGACAGAACTTCCGGTTGAGCGTGGATGAAGCTCGGGCGTTGGGTGCGGACGACAGTGACATGGATTCCTTTTTGACTCGCTATATGGGCAGGATTGGTATGTGAAAGGCGGTGTTATTATCCGGCATATCGGAAGTCGCTCAGAGATGATCAGGACCGCAACAACGGAGGTGGAACGGAGAAATATCTCGAGGGAACCGTGCGACATAAGAGATCCCTATCGAGGATCTGGAAAATATACGAGGAAGGTCCGCTGCTGTGACTTTGGGCATCAGCCATCTGTCTCAGAATACTGATGACCAAAACGAAATCATTCTTCCTTTGGTCTTGATGGTATATTTTTCTCGCTGACCATAGGCTTTAATATATACATCATCTGAAATAGTAGTCCCCGACGTAGTACAGTCCCTTGTAATACAAAATATACAATACGCAAGAAGTAGGTAATCCTCCCCATGTTCATCTGGAGGCATGATCTCTCTGCTGGTATTACACCACTATCATGACCTACAGACGCCGAACACTACTTTTTTTCCGACTTTGGGATATATCGCCCACGATTCATTTACACTGCCATTCCTGGAAGATCGTATTCTCGATGATGGGAAATGTTATGCATCGGAATGACTTCTCTACTCCGTAGAAAATCATCACTCTGTTAGAAAGAAAAAAACCCGGCTGTCAAGGTGGAGCGCGCGCAGCAAGTGAAGAACCGACCATGTTTATGCCCCTCTTAATAAACTCCGCGGGATGAGAGCTGATTTGTGCGTCAATCAAAGTCGGCTCGGAGACGTGCATCCGGGAGGTCACTTGAAAGGGAATGATACTGGTGTTCCGATCTGTCGTACCCCGGCCACGCACGACTTTGCGTGTGTTCAAACTAAGAGAGGATATTAAGGTTTGATGACATATGATGAAGATGCAAGGACGAGACGTACGCTGCCAAAAACGAAATGGCATATACTGTGGCAGAAAGATCAGTGAAATCTGCCAAGTGGGATGGCAGACGACTGACTGACCCTTGCTTAGAAGGAAATATGCCGCTACGAAGATGAGATTGCCAGGCATAACATTGTACTAGATTGTAAGGTGGTTAGAGGGTCATATATGTCACCTAGATTCACACAGACCAAGGTCAAAGTAGCTGTACTGACCAAACTACGGGCTCAATGAGGACAACGGTTTCCGCGGAGATGAAGAGCAGATACCTGGTCACCGCGCCCGTGTTGATGGCGTATATCAACAGGCCATTCACGAGTGTATCCGACCTGAAAGATATATAAAGGATAGCAATTCAAACGTCTCAGAATTTCTCACCTCGCGTGTCCTGTACGAAATCTATTGAGGAAGTAACATAGTGCTGCGGCAGTCAATACATCGGTAACAACGCCTAAGCCCAACGCCACCGTTCCTAGTACCTAATTTCATTTTTGTCGTTAGGACCAGATCGAAATATGGAGAACGCAATCCAGCTCACTCTGAGTCCTGCTACGGCGAACACGCTCGGTAGTGAAAAACTAAGACGTCACTGTGAGCTCAGATTGGGGAGTTCAGAAGCACAGTACTCACGATTTGACACTGAAGGCTAGGTGAAGAATCCTCATTCAGATCATGTAATCGCAGTAAATATATGCAGACCTATCGCAGCGCCTTGGAAACGTTATTGAGCACACGTCAGAACAATTGAACCGGTACATACCCAGAACACCGGAATTTAATAACATCTAGAGATGACAGGCACATTCAACGTTAGTTGTTTACGAGCCAAATATACTGACCAGAGATGTCGTAATAAGCCAGTTGTGTTTGCTAACTAATGGAAAAGGTCACAAAAGTCAACCTTAAGAGTCAACGGCAATGCTCACATCGCCAGACACGTAGGGCGAAGCACCTAGTAACAGACGAATAAGATGAGAAGGTGCCCAGACAGAATTCGCGTCACCTACACTCTGACCACAGTACCACAGATAGACTAAGAAGCATCAGAAACTGACACGGAATCAGTGTAACATGAAGGCACGTACTCCCAGCAATTGCTGCATCTATAACGCATTTGATTGATTTAGAGCACAGGAGGGCTTATTTACCCGTCTCACTTACAATAAAAGACCTTTGAATAACTTTAGCAGCGAAATACAAGACATTAGCAGATACGCACCATGTCATTGAGGCGCGAAGAATAACGAGAACGTTCGCAAAGTTTGTTATGGCGTAAAAATAAAGAGTGTGCCCGATAAAAATTTGGTCCAAAAGCTCTAGCACTCTGCAGTGATTCGCTCAATTCCTATAATGGTACATTCAAGAGCTAATCCGACGCACAATAACGTGATAACCTGTAACCAGCGTCAGACGCAACATTACAGACTTATAGTGACTAGTGGCTACTCACAATAATTTTATAGGCCAACCTATCCGAAGGAAATCTTGTGAAGTAATGAAAAGTTTGAACAAGAATGGCGCCAAATGCAACGCATGATACAGAAAATCCTATGAGAACAGCACCCAGCGTCGTGTCAAATGATGGCGGATGCAACAGGGAAGCCATGAGGGGTTAAAAGAACGACTCGGAAGCTGAAAAGCAGCATATTTAACTTCGCCAGCGGCAAGGGATCACTATCCCACGCAAACGTCATAAAGCATCCGGATACTGATTCCTCGTATCCACAGAAGATGTCGGGATTAGGAACCACGGGTACGTCGGACCCACCCCTCAAGGATGAATAGAGCGGGACCAAGAAGATCATGAAAATGTCGCTGGATAAAGATCCGACCTGAATGGGGTGGTTCTGAGCATCATATGATTCACTGATGAATAATAGAGTTTTCAAACCAAGGATAACCGTATTCTGACCTTGTGTCCAGCGAGAACTTGTGCCCGCTTCAACGGAAGGTTGTGGTCTCCAGTAGGAGGAGCTCGCGAAAAGAAAATTTCCGGGAAAATTGTAAGTTCGAGTGAGAAAATTCCACGTCTTTGGCCACAGGACCTATCATTGGGAATGCTATTGTAGAAGGACCCCAAATATCAAAATTGATGATGCTACGAAGGTCGTACCAAATCTTCCAGTGAGAACATTCGACTGTGTTGATTTCAACAAGACGAGAGCGATTGAAAGTAAAGGAGCTCAGTCCAATAAACGTACGGCACGAGTCCTTTAGATGGCTGGCGAATGGAGGCTGAAAGTTTCCACCGGCAATATACAAGTAACATCGGTAAAGACCGGGCCGTGGCTGAACGTTGAACATTGAGCACGTGCTGTGCTTTTTTTATTCCAACCAATTCCACCTCTTGTCAACGTCCAACCAGTCCTAACCGATGATGAACCGACCACAAAGGCACATTCAAGTCTTTGGGGGTCAGTTGTGGCGTCTCTCATGGGGAAATGTGAAACATGGACAATTGCAATGCTATTAGGCTCACCACTCGGACGAAGAAACTCAATAATTACTAGTCCACCGAGGGGGGACAAATGTAGACTACTTGTCTACTACTGTACTCCACACACCAAGCCGATGGGCCCGAGGGGACTGAAGAGAGACCGGGATCGGGGGACCTGAGAGCTGTAGAGCGTCTTGTGGCGGTTAATAAACACTTCAAAAAACACCCACGCACAAGAGGGTATTCGGTCAGGTAATTAATTTGGACTGCTTGCAGCCATTTTCTCATGGTGCTATAAATCATAACTCTAGTCTTAGGAGTCGACATGTTCCCTTTCCGCAAGATGATAGATGCCTTGATCAAGGTCTCTCTCTGTATCATCATCATGATACTGCACGGTGCCATCACGTGTGCTCGAAATGCATAGTAAGAAGTTCTTGTTGCTTAGTCTGTCAATGACAACGTCCTTTAGACTTTCGGTGAATGAATGTCAACTTGCCTGTTATTTTAAGTGATCTAATGGACTTGAATATACTTAAATCTAGGTTACTCAGTCATGATTTGCTCGACTGATTCTAATCATGATGACCGTATAGGGGAGGGAGGTCACAACGGTGCTCAGTTGCGCCTTTATTCCCGCCATCACGCACAAATCAACCCAGATACCTATGTACTCACGTACCAATCGGTTCGAGGTCGCATCGCACATTGGTGCCATTGCGATGGCTTTTAGTTCAGCTGCATCGGATTAATGGTGACGGAGAAGGAGGAGATCCTTGACTTCAATTCTATGTTTATGGTCGGTAGACGCGCCGGTTCGCCCGTCATGTGGATGATCCGGGCCGACGGGCCGAGGAGACGACTTCCTAGTATAAAAACCGACGCAATCGATGGAGAAGACCCAATTTGTCCCTTTACTATCACCATATTGATAAGCGATGTCTGTCCCCATGGTTAAGCTCAACAGTGGCTACGAAATTCCCATTGTTGGACTTGGTTCGTGCATTCTCGTCCTCGATCTATCTCGATCGCGGGTTAACTTTTGTTTGCAGGAACTTGGCAGTCTAAGCCGGAAGAGGTCGTCGCTGCTGTCTCTCATGCCTTGAGTGTAGGGTATAGACACATTGACTGTGCATGGTACTTGCTTTGCATTCTTCTTTTCTAGGGCGTCATGAAACTCATTAGTCGACACTAGGGGCTACGGAAATGAAAAGGATGTAGGCGAAGGTATCAAGACGTCTGGCGTCCCCAGATCTGAAATATTCGTGAGTGCCACCAAGTTGAGCTTATCCGTGTGTCGACATTCATGCCTCGAAGATAACCAGCAAATTATGGGGAACATATCACTCTCGTGTCGAAGAGTGCCTTGATCAGACCCTTGCCAATCTCGGGACTGATTATCTTGATCGTACGTTATCGCCCTATCTTTGTGTCGATCTGAGCACCGATATCGCGGGGACATAACAGTATACCTCATGCATTGGCCTGTTCCTCTGAATCCGAAAGGAAACCACCCTGTCTTCCCTACACTTCCGGATGGTAAACGGGATGTCGATCACTCTTGGGCTCTCAAGGATACCTGGGCACAACTAGAAGAGATGCTCAAGAAAGGTACCCTAACGTCGTTTGGCCTTTTCTCTTTGACTGCTAAATTTCCATCTCTAGGTAAGGTTAGAAGCATCGGAGTATCCAACTGCTCCAAGATGAAGCTCAATGAGATCCTCCCGTACGCAACGATCCTCCCGGCTGTGAACCAGGTACGCCTACCTCACCTTCCCATTCTGCATCCTCCCCAAACGACCCGCCATCCATCCAGCTCGAAATCCACCCGTACAATCCCCAACACGAGCTACTTGAGTATGGCCGGAGCAAAGGAATCCTTCCCCAAGCATATTCACCTCTGGGATCGACAAACTCTCCCATCCTCAAAGATGAAGTCGTCGTTGCGATCGCCGAGAAGCACTCCATCCAACCGTCCGACGTCCTCCTTGGCTGGCTTCGTATGTCCTCCTTTCTCATTTTGGATCAGTACATATACCCTAACTCTCCGAAAGTGGCCAAACAAATCATCGCCTTGCCCAAGTCGGTGACCCCAGCTCGTATCACATCAAACCTCACAGGTGCACTGGCCGGTTTGTCTAAACTCTCGAAAGAAGATGTAGAAAAACTCGACGGGCTCGCAGCGGCAGGCAAACAGAAACGGTGCGTTGATCTTCTGCTTGGCATGTTCGAAACTTGATGTTTGTCTTTCTCCTTGAAGCTTGGTTACTCCACCCTGGCGTAAGCTTCTTTTCTTGGTATATTCGTGAATATCCTGCTGACTTCAGTTGCTAGCTATCGACTTGGGCTTCGATCACTGGCCAAAACTGCTTTAGATACGGGTGACAAAGTTGGTACCGCGGTACAGAAGTAGAACCAAATAAACCGTAGTTTATTTATAAATTCAATATTGCCGACAACAGTCAATGTAATATACAGTTGATATAGGTGCTACGAACACCGACGGTGAGGGTGTTAATAAATACACATAACACAGATTCTTCGGTCATAGCACCTAAAAATTAGGTTTTGAATATTCGAAGCAGGCGAGCCTCTGTAACGATCCTAGTCCGACATAACGGACATTCACGAGTACCAGCCATAATCAACTCGGAACATTCTCTACACATCGCAAGGTGCCTGAAACGACTATTAGAAAAAACCAAACAAGGCCCTATGGGGGAAAACATACCCGCAATCAACGATAGCAATATTCGCTTCCTCATCTTGGCATACAACGCACAAGCCACTCCGTTCGACGAAAGTCAACGGTGCCTTTGGGGGCGTAACGTGTGGTGAAGGAGAAGCGGGTATACCGTCGACCTCTGACTTCTGCTCGGTTTCAGCTTGCCTCGTCCTCTCAAACTCTTCCATCATTTCCCTCTGCCTCTGAATCCTTTCTTGCTCCTCCTGCTCCTCTGCCAACCGCTGCCTTTCTCGGTCTCGTTTCTCATCCTCAACGAGTGCCGTCACTTTTGAGACAAGATCACTCTTCTCAAGGATCATTCCGACATTGACGTGATTGCTGAAAAGTATCGCTTTGAGGGAGCCTATCGATAACGCTGATATGCTCGCTGGAGTCATTTCAACGAGTTGATTCAGAGTGGGAGGAGGTGAGGTAGATGCCGTGCGAGCTCGGGGAGATGTTCGGGGTGCATTAAGGTTCTCTGATGATCGAGACGCCCTAGGTTGCTGATATTGCGGCCGCAGGGGAGTCTGACGCGGGACTTGTGGAGGACTCTGACGAGGTGGACTTGAAGGATTAGGACGAGGCGGAGTAACAGAAGCTTGACGCGGCGGTGTTGTGGGAGTCTGACGTGGCGGGGTCGTGGGAGCTCGAGGACGATTTAGCGGTGATGGGTCATCAGGTACGAGGTCAGGCCGAGGAAATTCGTAAGTTGGCTGTCGATTTGTCGGCCGTCGAGGAAGGGGTAGCGGCTGGGTAGGTCCTGAACCTGAACCTGTTCGTGAGAAAAGCCCCCGGGGTCGGCCATATCTATCCGGAACTGAATATTGTCGATAATAACGCTAATGATAGGGTGTATAAGTAATCAACGTTTCGGGAGATTTAAGTAACGGTGAAAAGGGGGTTATTGGCAGGTCTGCAAAGTAGGTCGCGCCACACCAAAAGTCCAGTGAAATAAGACCAAACAGTGTGCCATTCCTCACCCCATAAGCTGTCGAAGAGTGGGAAACACCGTACCTCGTGAGTAGCACTTAGGCAACCGTTTGGACACTGTAATAAGCACGGGTAAGATGGTCGTCAGGGTTTCAAAGTTTGGGTACGTACTCTTGCTGTGATGAGAGTCTCTATAACGTCGTCCTTCTCAACTGCATGATCCAATCTTATGTCATACGCATTGGCATACTTTCTTAGCTTTGCCAGTGAATGATTTCTGAGAGTTCCCTTGGATGCCGCAGTCACTGGCTTGAGCTGATCAGCTGCAACTTCACTTCCATCAGAAAGAGTACGCACTTTGTAGAAACTCGATGCAATAAGCGCACACATTTAGTGCCTCGTAGCCATTGGAACCAGTACGGGGCATAAGTGCCTGGTAGTCGGTACAACTGTGGCAATACGAGTATCCTGGAAAAACCAACGCAATCAGATCCAACCTTTTCTAGCAAGAAATATCTGGGTTCACCACAATGATTACACTGTCGAGAGCGAGTAAAGATGATATTGAACTCTTTATTGCACTTCCTGCATGAGCTCTCTGGTCGTCTTGGTGAAGGCGGAGGACCGCTAAGTAGAGGAAGACCATCCGCCATTGCCCTTGGCGCAGATAGCAATTAAGCAAACAAAAATACTGTTGACGTGGTCGTTATAAAGCAAGGATTCATAGAACGTCAAAGAAGACGGTGGATGATTACCAAGTCGCGCCGCTGCACCGGCCCGGAGTCTCGCCTCAGTTCTCGCATAATAATTGAATAATAAGCAATAAACAAATAAATAAATGTTTTGAAAATGGTCGAGGATGTACTTTGACACATATCCATTGACTGGGGAAGGGATACTCCACCTCGTCGTCGTCTTTCGATATCCCAATATTTTACGAGGCAAGGCGCGAAAGAGACCGTCCCAAGGTGAAAGCCACTGCAAGTTGCCTTGCTAATTCATTTCTACAAACTAACAGCTAAGATTTCATCTACAGCCATCCCCCGAAGTAAGAGTCGCCGATCACTCGGACTTGTGACTATAGCATATTCGGCATCAGTTGGTGCTGCAGGCGTAACAAACGTTTTCGTCGCTATATCGAAGTCAATCAACCGCCAACGGTGTGGGCGTTGAAGGTAGATGCTCGCATGATATTGTTGTATCAGAGATCTTTGTGCATTATTTCGGTCGAGCCCAAATCATGTACGACATCGCAAATACCGCTGTAAGAAGTTCAGCAATCATGAAAATAATACACACTCGAAGAAAGGAAATAACTGACTTAAGCTCTTCCTCCTGTAGGCTTCTTGGTTTTTCCCCATGTTCCTCGTGAGAAGAGTACTTGTTTCCCAGATTTTTCAGCACCAGGACACATATCAACGGATTGGAAGGAGACGCTCGCCGCGCATTCCAAGGCGACCCGCTCCTCCATTTGTCATCGTCCTTGAATGATTCGCCAAGATATGGAAGATCGTCAGGAAGCCGCCAATCTGCGCCCTCTCCGTCGTCCGACCCATCGGTCTCATCAGAATTTGGCTCGGGAGGTTTAATCGTGATATTCTCCCAAGGCTCGATACGTGAAACAGGTCGTCCTTCGACGTCAAAGCAGTCTCTAAGTGGAACGGTAAAAAAGCCAAAACTGCGCGTTGTAATGACTCTTTCACAGTTCGCTTCGAGAGCGAGCTGCTCATAAAACCACGCTTCTCGGGCCAAGGTCCCACCATACTCTGGCTTCATCACTTTGACGCAAAGGTCAGGAACGACCTAGCGCGTCGTGTCATGAATTACGTGTGCAGAATACACAAGACCAACCCTTCCATTGCATATTTTGTCTATCAACTCGATCTCAAGATGACCCCCGTCCTTCGGAAGAGACAGATGCCCAGTTCTCAATTCTAGATAGGGGAACATATGACCAGACAAAGCGAGGAGCTGGAAACGATTGGGAGTGAGATAGTGTAACTTTTGCGGCATTGTCTGTGGTTTATGGTCAAAAGAAAGGTTCGAAGAGACTTTATTTTTGCCAAGTTACTTCAGTATTCAAGTTGGGCCGCCCCTTCGTACTCTGGTTCAAGAACAAGCTGCTCATAAAACCAAGCCTCCCGAGCCGAAGTTCTGCCATATTTGGCTTTACCAACTTGATACAGAAATCAGGAAGGTTCGAGTCGGCCATGTTTCTAATAACCCTTGCGGAGTACGCAAGACCGATTCTTCCTTCGGATATGCTACCTGTCAGTTCAAGCTGGAGATGAGCACCGTTTTTTGGAAGTGAGAGAGGTACCCAGCTTTCGATTCGAGGCAAGAGAATGTATGCGCCCACTAGGCGAGGAGCTGGAAACGGTTGAGACCAAGAAAATGTAATTTCCGCAGGATTTTCATCGGAAGAGCCAAGGCCATGCATCGTCAGGGAAGTGAATGTTGAAATATCAGCCTATTGTGATAGAGAAATACAGTTATTTGGGTGGCTTGCCCTACTAGTACTCACTGCAGGGACTTCGCATTCAGAGATAGGCAGCTTGATCTGAGAAAATCACACCGGCGACCGCCGCTGCTCAAACTTGATGCCAAGCTCAAGGCGGCCATAGCCTCAATACCTCTGTGACGTTTAAGTATTTAACAATTATTTACAGGATTCGACTGTTCATACAAATTGGTCGATTCTTCATCAGCGCTGAGCCAACTTGTGGCCAATGCTAGCCGTGACCGCAAATTGCCGCAAGGGTACGCGGTCATAGTCACGTGTCCGTAATACTCGTTCATTGGAATTCTTGAACTGAGCTTCTTGGATTACAGCCAACACTAACTGCGCATGAAAACTCCAGATAACGAACTTTGCATCCAGCCATGAGTCCTTGCATCGCAGATACCAGTTCTCATTCCAAAAGGCCCTCGGTTAGTACGCAAGCGACTGTGTATGGCCACCCAACTAACTCTATTCTATCATAGCAGCCTGATATTCTAACATTCTCTTCCTTGATGCTACATGGACTGGGCTCCTCTGATGAAAATCACGCTGAAAGCACGCTTTCTCGTTCCCAGTCATTCCCAGCTTCTCATCTAGTCCACGGATGTGCCACACGCATGTGGTGGTTCCTAAATGCTAGTAGTGAGGAGTGGCAGTATATCAGTTCGCCAAAAGGCGATGCAGAAATTTATTTGCTACCCTGAATCGCATACCGAACAGAAAATTATTTGATAATTGTAGTAAGCTAGTTCCATCCCCAGAAGTAACCCGTGCCTATCACTTGAACTTGCGAGATTATGGCAAGTCTAGCATCAATCGGTGCTTCGGGTGTGACAAAAGCCTTCGCAGCCGCGTCAAAATCGATCAACCGCCACCGGTGTGCACGTTGATGATTGGGACAGACAACGTCGTTAGTGGCCCGTACGATATTGCTGTATCGAAGATCTCTGTGCAGGATTCCAATGGAACCCAAATCACGCACAACATCGCGGATATCGCTTATTTAAAACAGATCGTGAGCGAGTGTTTGAAAGATGAAAGAAAGCGGCGTACTTCAACTCATCCTTCTCTTGATCTTTGGGAGCAAAGTATACATTTCCCAGCCTTTCCAGAACAAGAACGCATATCAGAGGATCCGACGGAGATGGGCGCCATTCATTCCAAGGCGATCCACTCTTCCAACCGTCGTCGTCCTTGAAGTATTTTCCAAGCCATGGGGGATCGTCAGGAAGCCACCAATCTCTGTAGTCTGATCCCTCCGCATCATCAGAGTCTGTCTGAAGAGATTTAATCGTGATATTCTCCCAAGGCTCGACATGCGAAACAGGTTGTCCTTTGACGTCGAAGCAGTCTTTAAGCGAAACAGTGAAGAAACCAAAACAGCGAGGCGTGATGACTCCTTCACAATTCGCTTCGAGAGCAAGCTGTTCATAAAACCAAGCTTCCCGCGCTAAAGTTCTGCCATATCTTGGCTTCATCACTTTGACGCACAAGTCAGGGAGATCCAACTCCACCGAGTTGCCAATAGGCTGTGCAGAGTACGCGAGGCCAACTCTACCCTCGGATATGCTGTCAGTCAGCTCAAGTTCGAGATGAGCACCATCATTCGGAAGAGAAAGAGGAGCCCAGCTCTCAATTCGAGGCAGAGGAACGTATTTCCAGACTATGCGAGATGCGGGAAACGACTGAGATCGAGAAAGCGTGATTTCGGCGGGATTTTCATCAGAGGAGCACAGCCCATGTAGTGTCAAAGAAGAGAACGTGGAGATGCTAGCATGCTAGGACGAGACAAAAGTGGTACTGAGTGTGAAATAAGGACTGGAGATACTGAGCTGCTCACTACGGGTACATTTTGATGATGATCTTCGGAGGACATGAGGAGGATTGTCGAAGTCTGGTAACCTAGGCGGGATTACTATCGGACTCAAGAGTCTCCAAAGTTCAAAGTTCAGAGTTCAGAGTTCAATGACAACGTGACAGACTGAGTCGACGCGCTTGTGGCACGTGGCCATGATGGTCCATTTTTATATTATAACTTATTTAAACTTTAAAAATTAAAATGTAAATCGGTGTCTGGATGGCTGACGCGTCCTTAGCGAGTAGCAATATATCACGTTCACCAAACGGTATCGTAGAGATCATTTGTGTGCTACCCTGAGCATTGTGTACACTTGGTACTTGTAAAGAAACTATGTCCAGCCCCGAAAGTAAGCCGTGCCTATCACTTTAACTTGCGAGTGGGAATCAGCCGGTGCTTCAGGCGTGACAAACGTCTTCGCAGCAATGTCAAAATCGATCAACCGCTACCGGTGTGCACGTTGATGGTTGGGACAGACAACGTCGTTAGTGGCTCGTACGATATTGCTGTATCGAAGATCTCTGTTATACGAGACTAGATACATACCTCAGTCTGGCGCAGTAGCGATGAAATGACTGAGGTACCGGATGTAATCAACGGGATATATATACTATTGGGTGAAGTATAGGAGTTGAATGGAAAAGAATGTACCTAGGTCGGCATGTATAAAATAAGTAATCCGTCAGTGACGGCGTAGAGTATCGCGTATCTATTTCGACAATAACCACTTCAATAAGAGCGAGAGAACAGCAGGTTTCACAGACAAAATGCTCTTTGTGCCGCCTGCTCGCCTTGATAGAGACTACCCAAAGCGAACCCAAGTAGCTTTGCGAGAGGGTAAGCCATCATGAGTATATGCAACGGCAGAATTTCAAGATATTCTGCGAAGCGATGACCACATTTTCGACGAGGCAGGAGAATGTGATGCTGTCGAAAACTCACATAATGGTAATTTGCTTTTGAAACAAGTACGTTTTACCCTTTTCACTCTCAATGCTTGACTCTTGCTGACCACTTCAGCTGTGGGGGGAATGCGCCGACTTGAGGCCTGACATTGGATTTACCACAAACCGCGATGTCGTTATGGTGTTCTTCCGAGTGGTTCCCCTTCATGATCCAGAGCAGAATACCTCCAGTGATACGCGTTCTTCTCGCAGGAGACAGCCCGAACCTACTCCCGACCCGAATTCCGGTTTTGTCTTGTCCCCCTTTATGAAGTGGACCGATAAGAGACTTCGAGCGTGCCTGCTTGCTTTGTCCCTCATGGCTCTCGATGAGGAGAGCTGGATGACACGGGACAACCCAGTATCGCTTCGCGATCTCTCTGTCCAAATTCTGAGTGCACACAAATTCTGCTCACTTGAAAGAAGGTTACTTGCTCTTAGTTTGTCCCTTGAACATCGGTGATAAGCTTCAGGGATTGTAAAACTTTCCCATACAGTAACATACCACCGTTGTTACTATATATCGGCGGGAGAGATTGACCCAGAAATGAAATCGTCTAGCCAACTTCCATGTTAGACAACATCGAGAATAAAGCCTTGGCAGGTGGGTTGCTGGCATTTCAACTTGTTGATCAACGTTCAACATGCACAATGACACCTGGTCCCAAACTCAACGACGCATTCTGAGTGGCACTCACACATGATGGTTACTATCTATTTTCGCTAAATGAAAATAAAATGCGAGTAGAGGGCGTAACGCTTCGCGGGTGTAGACTATTCTCAGTTTCGTGTAATCATTAGATGCACAAAAATATGTAAGTTCCAAAGATACAATGTGGGATAAAAAAAAAGATGATGATCCAGAGTTGTGTTTCAACTCGTTTCTACAGCAAAGATACAATCATATAGGCTGGAAAGCATCGTTGGTTGGTGTATCCAGCGACGGCGAAACGGGTCGAGACTCTTCCGTTGTTGAAAGAAGGCTAATCGCAGCCTTTTTCTTCCGGGTAAACGAAACGCCCCAGCTACTAGCAAGGTTCGCAAGAGTACTGCTGGCCGTGGTCACAGGCCTCGAGGAAACACCCTCTGTGACGGTATTCGAAGTTGAACTCTCCGAAATAGCTCTGGAAGGGGGACGGTGATAAGATGTCGTCCTTCTACGAACGTTCAACATATTGCTCATCCCATTTGAGATAGAATCGTCTGGTGGAGGGACGGTGGAAACCCCCTCGTACTGGCTCTCAACGGAAGATGCTATGGGTTCGTCCGATATCGCAGTCGTGGCCGTGGCTTTTGCACCCAGTGATGATGATACAGACCCTAATGCTGGCATTCGGCCTATGGAAAACCTGGAAGCTGATGATGTCTTGGAAGCCCTTGATCCAGGGCGTAACGGCGAAGAAAGAATGGGAGCATGGTGTGGTATCGATCCTACGGTGTGAGTCGGTGAGGGAAGGGCAGCAGGAGATTGGGGAGATTGAGGCACTGGTGACGGTGTACGAACTGGCGGCGGAGGTGGGGGCGGCGATGGTGGTGATGGAGTTTCTTCGGGTCGGGGATCCTGAGAAGCCTGGGCAAGAAGACGTGAAAGAGATGAAGGTCGGGTGGATGGCGAAGAGTTAGCACGAGTGCGCAAGGGAAAGAGACGTGACGTCGCAGGAGAGGTCACTTGGAAGGTGTCTTCGACTTCAGCTTCGGGTGGTGCTGGTGGTAATGTGGGAGGACTACCATTAGTAAGAGCTGTGGGCTGTTGATGGATGTCAGGCTCTTTCATTGACTTGACAGCGGAGGAACGGCGCCGATTCTGTTGAGCAGGTTGTGTCCAATCCTCAACCTGCAACATGTAGTACTTGACGCCGTCACTCAAGCCATACGGATTACTGGTTGGGTCCTGTGAAACAATCAGGGAAATGCAAGTAGTTATCTGGAACAAACTGACATTATGGTCGACGACCCGTTCAGTGATGGACGTAATACGTGCAACGATCCATTCTCTTGTTTTCAATTGCTCAGCAAGGTGCCCGTGAGCCTGAAGGAAGTAATGCGGAAAGAATACTGTCGGAGAGACATCAGGATCCGGCGGAGCACCAGAGAGGGGAGACGGCTGACCATTGAATGCAGCCCAAGGTTTAGATATTGAATTTCTAGTGGGGAGAAAGAGTGCAAGGTCCCCTTTTGCAAAGTTCCTGAACGAAATTCTTCCCTTCGCACGCTCTCTGTATTCTTTGCATTGCTTCTGCCACTTCCGAATCGTCGAGCCGACCTTCGTTATGGCTTCGAGGAAATGGTCATGATCAAATGCTCGCAGCGCTTCCAAAGCTGCCGCAGGATCTGAAGGATCGATAGGTGACGGTTCATCTGGTTGTCCTACAATATTATGCCGCAGTCCTGAAGAAAAAACAGATTCGCCCAAACCTGCCGTTGAATGCTTCGATCCCGAGCCCGGATGGGAAGTCATCGTTTGTGCGGAAGCCATAGCCTTTTCATGGGACACCCGGAAGGCTAGGGCAACGTCGAGTATTTGAGCAACCAAACGATCACTATTCTCTAGTTTGTGCTCGTAGTCAGATTGAGAAGCAAGACCAGCTCTCAGATCTTCCCGAACCACTCGCTCAGCGTGCCTCGCCTCCCGGAGTTCATGCTCTGTCCGTTGGAGAGCCTCACGCAAACCAACCGCGTCGGAATAGGCGATCTCTAGATCAGATTTTACATCTTTCATCTGTCTCAGAAGCTCGTCCTTCTCGAGTAGCAACTCAGTCTGACGATGCTCAAGTACGGCACGGTCTCCGTCGGCCTCCGCAATATGATCGCGCAGCAGTCGGTCATGGTCGGACGCCTGCGCTCGCAAAAGCCTATCCTTCTCCTGGCCAACTTCCTTCAATGCACTGTTCATCTCCTGGCTCTCCGCACGCGCGGCTTGAATCTGATGTTCCAAATCCTCTCCCCGTGCACGAGATTCCTCTAGCAAACGCAGGTTATTGGCTTGATCTTCCATCAAAGCCGCGAGTTTCTCCGAATTTTTCGCCTCTAACGTCTTGATATCCTCGGATTCACTCCGAATGTGAGCAAGCTGCTGTCGCAAGACTTCGATTGCTTTAGCTTGATTTGTCGCCTCAGCTAATGCTCGACCCAACTCTGACCCTTTATTATCCGCGTCTCTAATCAACTCTGCGTTCCGTTCCTCGGTAATGCGACGAGCCCTGGTTTCGCTCTCAATCTGAGCTCGGGCTTCATGGAGTTCGCGTTCCAGCCTGTCGGCTCGGTCCCGTTCCTCAGAAGCATTGGAGGCAGCAGCTTGTAGTGTAGATTGCAAGCGCTGAATTTCTCCCTTAAGACCGAGACGCTCTTCTTGAAAGAGCGACTCTTGACGGTTCTTGGTTTCCTGAACAGCCCGAAGCTGATCTATCACTTCATTATACGCATGTTCATCAGCTTCTATAGCTGAAAAAAAAAGGTCAATAAAAAGACAGTTTATTACGAAACGGACAATTGACTAACACCTTCGACGAGAATGAGATATCCGAGAAGCAGAGAGTACTGTCATCAAGTTTTATGTTAAACCCAGAAAACCTATTGAAAGAAATAAACGCACGCGACCTTTCGGCGATCCTATCGAAACCAGATTCCAAGCTGTCCATTTTCACGACCAATCTCTCCAGCCCAGTTCTGCATTCCTGTACAGCAGAAAGTGCTTCAGCATCATTGTCATTGCGGGACGCTTGCTCTAGATCATCAAGGACGTGAAGAAGACCTAGGATGGGGTTAGTAGTGCCTATCGAGAGAAAGAAATAATCTGTACCGTCAACATCGGATCGTTCAATGGAATAGGCAGCGTCGGAACTCCCGGAAGGAGAAAAATCAATAGTTGGCACAGGATCATCCATGCCCCGGGTTTCGAACGGCAATTGACCGTGAACTTCTCCACGATATACTTGACGGCGTTTCCTTTCGTTGGCACTACCAGATTGAAAAGTCATTCGTGATCTTTAGACGTTGACGTTAATGCTTACGATAACTTGGCCATGACTTCCAGAATGCTTTGGGCTCGTTGATAGAAGAACCTGGCTACCGCAGTATGAGACAAGTCTCGTTGCAACAAGATGAACTCCTTACAGAACTCCTTCCTTCTCACGATTTCAATAACGGTGGCACCATAGGCATAAAGCATATTGTGCAAACGTTGAATGTGCGAAAAGCTATTTTTACCCCGAAAGCTGTTTGATAAGGCCTGTAAACTCGCGGGGATCTGCTGCATGTCGGTATTCAAGAGACTGATTGACCGTGTTATACTAATGCACTGATGTGTATATGTATTCTGGGTCCTTAAAGTGATTAAAAAAAACTTCTCGGAGGCCAGACGAGTGGAAAATACCTTAGCGTCCACGATGTATTGCAATTGATCCCGGAGAGTAAGATCTAAATGCTTGAGCTCTGACAAAGAGTAAGCTCAATTTTGATAAAGGAAGCCAGTTAACACAACCTTGTAATCTGTCGTCAGAATTAAGAGCACGACCTATTCTCGAATCGGAAAGCGAGTTAAACAGATATGGATGAGACACTTACCCTCCAACGGTGTGGCGCCGTCGGTAATCTTCTCGAAGATGTCTCGAGATCGTCGCAAGCATCCATCAGCCTCATCCAGTGTTTGGGTCGAAACCGCTGCGGTCCGCACAGTCGACGTGCCTTCTTTGAGCTTACCGACAACCTCGTTCACTTGCTCAAATCTCAAGTAAAGGTCATTATGCGTCCTCGCACACGTTTCTGCCACCTGCTTCATCTTTGCATTCGAAACGTAATCTCCCAGCGTACGAGCCTTATCGCCCGCTTCCATCGCTTTCCGTACTGCAGGCGACACGAACTCCGTATGTATACGCACGCGGCTGATGATATCCAAGTCCACTTCCAACCCTGCGAGTAGCGCTGCCTGTTTGTCTAGCTCCTTCTTGAATCCCGAAGAAAGCCCGTCATACGTATCTACTAGAGCGAGAACGTTCAGGTCCAAACTATTCGACGCAATCTGGACAGCTTCGTGTTGATGGTGCATGGTTGTATGGAGATACTTGACGGTCTCATGATGTGAGTGAGCCGCTGCAAGGTACGAAGCAGACAAATCTGAAGCCTTGAAAGGAGGGGTTGCGGAAATACTCTCTGTGAAGACCCCTTTTGTTAATGGATCCAAGCTCCATGGCATAGACTCCACTCACCTTCAATTGGGGGCTGGAAGGCTGGTTCTACCCGGAGGTCGCGTAGCACTTCATTAATATCAAAGTCCAGGTAGACTTTATTGAATACGTAGATGGACTGGACCCATATTTTTAATGAAGAACGGCGGAGGAAGGGCAGTACGACGCACCTGATCGTGAGCACCAGCAAGTTCCCTTATATTCGCATTCGTCAATCGTCGTCCGTCGGAGAGGTACGCGAGTATAGCCTCTTGGGGGACTCCGGTCTCCTGCTGTAAGAAGAGTTCGATACTCCCTACTCTGTGTACATCGTCAGCGACCGCCGGTCATCAGGAGGTACCGTATACCTCACCTCTCAATGTCTCGGAGAGTAGCATTCACCTATGCATCGTCTTGAGTGCTCTGCTTAGCAGGATATGGTCACAGCATACCTGAAATGCCTGACCGTCCTCCGCGCGACATATCTGCAGCATTTCATGCAGGGTATCACAGTCAGATGGTGGTCGCGTTTCGACCCCACGTCGTGGCTAAATCGAGTATTTCCCTTGGGGTTTCAGATCCAAATAGGATTCCATTTTTGGCTAAGAAGTTGGTAAAATATTTTTGAATCATACCATTTCTACGGTTTCATTGAAAAAACAGAAGCTTGTTAGATCATTGGATTTGAGGTAGAGATAATTTACACGGTGTCGAAGGAAGAGTAAAGACTGGATGCAAAGAATATGAACAGACTGTGCTTGAAATTACCTTCAAGGCATGCCATATTTACCTGCAGGAAAGAGGGAAAGAGGGAAAAAGAAATATATGATATTGTACGCGTACCTAGTCTCACATTATAACAAAGAAAAGCAACGGCACCTACGTAGTCCGTGGAGGAGCGAGGGACACTATGCAACGATGAAGGGGAGCTTGTGAGACGGCAAAGGAGAGGAAGTCGGGGTGCTCCTCGACATAAGACGCAAAGGTTCACTGGAACGTAAAAGCCGTTCAGCCCATTCGTCCTTCCTTCTTCTTCTGCTTGCGCGGCGGTGTCACAGGCCGCCCCATGTTCATCCCACCGTATGGGTATTTTGCCTTCTTTTCCGCAGGTTTCAAGATCTGAGCCCCCATTAGTCAAACGCATCACTAACGGGCTTACTAAGACCTACTTGGAACGAACATAACAATGTCTCATCAACACTCATCATCGCGCCAGCATTGTCAAACTCTCCGCAATAATTAGGCGCCGAGAATAGTGTTACCAAATGGCGCTTTGCGAAGAACTCGTACCCATCCTCGACAACCTGCGCAAGTGTTAGCATACGTCTCGATGACAGAACCAAAAATTGACCTGATGAGCCCTACAAATCAGGTCCATATCATGCTTCTGCAGGAAACGCGACACCACATCCGGCCCGAAGGTAAACGATACCCCTCTGTCATTCTCTGACCAACCTGTGATATCCTTGTCAGGATCGGACCACAGCAGATCACATAACAGGCCTAAAGAGAAAACGTCATGACACAGGAGAAATGACAACGTGCATGGCAGTACTGACCAGTGTCGGGAACATCCGTAGGCCGCATTACTCTCCGTATCTGCTCCATCGACTGCAAATCAGGACTGAGACCACCGTGCATCGTGAAAATCTTCTCGTCAATGATGGCTGCGATTGGCAGGCAGTTGAAACAATCGGTGAACGTTTTCCACAGTTTAATGTTGTATCGACGTTTACCTGCAAAGACAGATCAGCATGTTTGTGGCGCGATGAAAGACAACATCGGAGTTCACATTCGTCATAAAACCCATAAATCCGATTTATACTCGCGCACTCGTGATTTCCTCGTAAAATGAAGAAGTTTTCTGGGTATTTAATCTTGTACGCGAGGAGTAGACAGATGGTTTCAAGGGATTGTTTCCCCCGGTCCACGTAGTCGCCCAGGAACAGGTAGTTTGCCTCTGGGGGAAAGCCGCCGTACTCGAAAAGTCGGAGTAAATCGTAATATTGTCCATGAATATCACCTAAGAAAATACCAAATTAACGAATCGCACCTGCTCTTGAGGGTCAAAGATGCTGCGTACCACATATCTTAATCGGCGCCTCCAACTCCAGCAGAATCGGCTGATTAATGAATATTTCCCTTGCCTTGGTACATAGGTACTTGATTTCGTATTCCTGAAGCTGTACAGGCTTCCCCGGTCGATTGCCCCGCACTGTTAATAAGATGTTGCATCAGCACGCTGCTTTGTCAGAAACAAGATGCGGAACAGAAAAAGAACATCGGCGTCTGCGGGCGAAAATAAACGGAGCGCCGAGTCAATGTCTGCCACAACAACACCGACAGGTGTTGTTAAAGGACCCGGGAAGAAATGCCATCTAATCCAGGCGGCCACTGAGTCGTAACAACGAAAAGAATGCGATGCATGTCGACATGCTGAGGTCTAAGAGCACCATGAGACACCGGAATGCGGCAAGATGTCACCCGCTCGACCGCCACGAATTCCGCTGTCGCCAAATGACGGCTAACAACAGCAGCGTCGAGCTGAAGGATCGCAACCGTCACCAAAGGAAGCAACGACACTCCCTAATGGCCCGACTACGAAGGCTAGAAGCCACCCTGAAAGAAGTCGAATCCCAATCTTGCGCATCATGATGTTCTCCATCACAAAGGCGCATTCCTGACCACGCCCACAGACAGGAGTCCATAGGGTGCCAATAAGGCCACTAGATGACCTCAATAATGCCGCCGCTCCCGGTATTGCCTCATTCTGAGACTCCTTCACGGCCTTACAGCCCGTCATCCGGTCGTCGTCAAGCATCCCCTGTTCATCCGGCAGCACCAAAACCAACGGCATATCGCCCTATATGCTCAGCAGCCCACACAGCACATCCTTTTGTTCCTGCTTGCCCAGAAGAAATAGAGGTAGTGTGCCAGCTCACCTTCCAACAAACGGTCAATGACCGAGTCCAAATCTATCTCCGTCGTCGAATCTGCCATCTTCAGGCTTTCCAAATCGTCGGAATGTGTCTTTATATTGGATTGCGACGGGTTTCAAAAGCTTTTGGTCCCCAAGATGTCGTTTTTCTGGAGCTGCTGCAGGCTGGAGACAGGGACTTCGCCTATTTTTTTCTTGATTTTTGTGGGAGAACGGGTCACCTAACCGTCGAAAATAGGCTGAAGGAAGTGTTATGAACCGGTTTCCCGAACCGCAGAGAGAAATGGCAAAGGATATCGATGAAGGGCGGTGCAGATAACGAACGTCGTGTTGATGCCTCCAATTTTCCAAAATCGGCAACCTTCGGATGAACACGTGATATAATTCCTCGTAAAAAAAAAAGGAAAAAAACTAATCCTAAAAATATCCTGTGCATTTGAGAGCTCTTTTTCACGCTCAGAACAAGTTTACAGCAATACTAGATACTTTCATAATGCACATATACAAGGCGAGAAGCCGTTTGAAGGTATACAACCCGACACTTACGAGTCATAGAAGTTCTAGAGCATGTCATGGCATTCGTTGCGTTATTGCTACAGTATTAGACTGGGGTAAATGGTATATAAAGTTATAGAACTTTGATACAAGTCGCTGCATTGCATACGCGCCAAAGAAAAGAAAAGAGATTACTACCCAAAGAAAGGGGAAACATCATGATCCAGAATTATATTATATACACGAGCGTCAGTAATATTGCGTGAATATCATTACCATCATGTCGTTTGCGCAGGCGGTTGTGCATCAACGGAAAGAGTATTCGTAGTAGTACCTGATACCGTAGTGGTCTCTGTCCTGCGGACAGCACGGCGTCTACGTCTCCTAAGTAAAGATAACAGTCAGTTCCAGAATGACACATAGCACACGATTCAAGGACCTAGGGAATAGCGGACCTCTGGGCATCGGACGTTCATCAAGGTCTAATGAAACATTCGTCGCAGAATGCAGGCCCTAGACAACAAATAGACATCTGTTAGCAACGGCCATCAAAATTGTCTGCGTACATACCTCAATCCATTCTACAACACACGCCACATTCATAGCTTGCAATAAAAATTGCTCGCCCTCCATTCGCACTCGTATCACGTTCTTCCTCTTTAAATAGTCGTTCCCCAACCCACTCTCCGCATTCTGCAGAGTGTACGCTCTGATCAATTCACCCTCTGGTAACTCAGGAACAGACATTATTGAAGGAGCAGGTGTACGACCCGGGCGGAAATGCGATCTCGAGCTCGAACTTCTATGACGTGGTGACGACCCCAAAGACGACAAAGATGACGGCGTCGAGATCGTCAGACTACTATCGGAGGGAGAAGAAGATATCGCTACCGTAGGAGTACGTGGTCTCGGTGTCGACAACGATGACCTTGGCTGACTCGGTGTCGACAATCTCGGGGGACTCGGTACGTCGCTGCGTGATCTACTGAGCGGTCTGGATGGCTTAAGCAGGCTAGCCAGTTTTGACCGACTCTGGTTTGAGTGCATGAAGGTCTGCTGCGGTTCTTGTTGACTCGGTACAGGTGACTCCGGGGAAAGCTCAAGATCCGTCTCCCCCCCACCCCTTGCCGCGTCAGTGACTACCTCTCCCAACTTCGATACTGGCTCTGTTCTATCTCCCAGAATAGTATCGGACGCCACCTTCGTGGACGCAGGTCCGCTCGTCGCGGGAATGCTGGCGTCCCCAACACCAACTTTCTTCTCCCACCACAATCCAATCGCGCTTACCCCAGCCGCCTCCCGGGGACATTCATACACGCGAAACACCGTCCCTTCGAGCTCACAAACTACTCTCCTCCATTTTCGATCTTTAGCCTGCACGCCTGGTTGAGTAAACTCCATCTTCCGGGGCATGACGGTACGCAGATAAATGGAATTCGAGTATTCCGGCAGAGTTTCTCGCCCCTCAACTCTATGGGGGGCATCGAAATCAGGAGGCGCTTGATGTGAGGATATAGGGAAGCCTTTGAAAGGAGCGAATGAAGGGTAAGGTGGAGGCGGTGAGCCAGCTGTGAAGGTGGGAAGCGACCGTCGTCGATGAAGAGTGCCTTGCGTATCAGCCGAGACCTTTAGCTGAGCAACCGGAGATGAAAGTTCCAACTCTTTGTCAGTTGATGGAGGTAACCGAGCCACAACCCCCACAAGCCCCGTGGTCCGTGGCACAATCTCGATTTCGTTCTCCCTTTCTGCCTCTTTCTGCTCATCCCGACGACACAACGACGGTCCTACGATATTTATCATACTCCTAGAAGCATGTTTATATATCGTCGGTCTACCATCAACCATATGACGGCGTGGTGATCCCGGAGTCTGCATACCGTCTTCCAAGCGGGGTGTACGTACCGGAGAGAATGCGGCAGCACTGGGGGTCTTCGATGCTGGACCAGAGGGTGTCGCAACAGAAAAGTAGTCGTTCGAGAAGGGTTGTTCTCGAGGGGTAGGAAGGCCTTTTCCTTTGGACGCGGTAGGCGTGGCAGAAGCAAGGTCGGAATCTTCCTTTTGTTTACCCTTCCCTTTCAGATCAGGGGAGCGTGGTGCGTTATCAAGGAATGAAAGATCTAGGCGAGCCAAGTCGATCGGAAGATGCAACGAAGGTGGTAAAGCTTGAGCTCTCGCATACTGTCGTGACGACGAAGCTAGTGCTGATGAATCTGCTCTAGGACCGTCTTCCGCTGTCCTATCATCGTCATCGTCTCCACCGTCACTTGCCTCAACAAAATCGTCGCCATTCTCGGTATCTTCACCGTCGTCGTCTTCCTCATCATCTTCATCTTCGTCAATATTCGTGCCCTGCCTGGGCAAGGCTGGCATACTTCTGAGTTTTTGATGTGGCTTGTTAGCATTAGAGTTAAGCGCAGCGGCATTGGATGAAGTGGAGGAAGGGGGCAGTGTCGGTAAATTGAGGATCGGCATGGGGGGATGTCGCGTGATCAACGAGGGCGATAGTCTCGCAGAACCTGCACCCTCAGGAAGGGTCATACTGAAGCGGCGTAAAGGCATTGGAAGAGAGGGAGGTGTTCGACGCGTAGGCGTCGTCCCGTACAGGGAGGGGGTCGAAAGTCTTGGAGAAGAGGAAACAGGTGGCGTCAACGGCAAAGTATTTTCTATTCCAGCCAAAGGATTATGGTTTTTTGGCGGTGGGAAAACGAAGGACGCCAATTCTCCACTATCCAAATTCGACGATCCATTGAAGACAGATCGCGTCAAAGGGGATGATGCAGGAGCCAGGAGCAGGCCAGACACTGGCATTGATGGTTGAGATACCGAGTAAGTGTTTGCCTCCCCCTCGCGGAGAGTAAGTGCATCAGTAGGCGAAGTGCTAGAATCTGGCATTGCGTTGGTGTCGTGTATCAAGATCGATGGACCACCTAATGAATTGTTGCCTCTGGATGAAGGTCGTGAGGTTGACATCGTCTGCGTCGACAAGGCAATGGATGTTGTTGGAAGACATGATGAAGATCCGCCATGTAATGAATGAGAGTGGCTTGGCGGTGTGTGAAACGAGTTGGTCGACGTGCTGGCAAAGGAAAGACTCTCTTCATGGTCATGGGGAGCTGCCTTTGGCAACGACAAGCCAGGCGATGAGGTCAATATAAAAGGAATGTTTGGACGATGGACGACCGCTTCACTGGAAGCGTTGAGACTTGCTTGCGCGGCGGGAACCACCGTTAACGATGCCAATTTCCCAGTCGTGTCCGACGTCGACAGCGGCCCATGATTGAGTAAGTGGATATCTCTGGGTGGTAACAATGATGCCCCCTCCATGGTTCTGCTATGCTCAATAGGCAGACCTGAAGTATGCTTGTTGGTGGCGTTGGTTGCTGAATACAGATTTTGGCTGGATAAGCCATCGAAGGTAATACCTTTGCCAGTAAAAACAACACCCGTGTTGGTACCAGTAACTACTGCAGTCGATACTGAATGGCGAGTACGTTTTGGCGGAACCGGGGCACTGCAAGGCTCGGTTCCAGTATGAGAACTGGAGGGAGACGGTGAAGGTGATTCATCAGCGCCTCGACGCTGCTGTATATTGTAAGGATTGGGCATCGCGAGGATGGGCTGGGACATATAAGGTTTGGCCATCCGGGCACCCACTGAAGTCGACTGCCTGTATGGCCCTTCGAGTGCAAGATCGACGCTGCCCTTGCGCACACTTGAAAGACGGATTCTGCTGCGAAGATTCGACAATTTCTGTACTAATTTACTCGTCCTCGACTGTCAAGGTCGTCAGACCATAAAACGCGGAAAAACAACAGCGTCACGCACCTGTGTACCCGCTCTCATCGAAACTACAGGCTGAACTCGCGGCGGATCCTCCATCGTACAACTATATCGCGATACTGACAGCCGAGACGAACACGAAAAAGGATGGTTCAGAAGAAGATAAGTGCAGAAAGTGACGGGATACCGGATTGGCTCTGTAACTGCATCAGCCAATTCTGATCATACACTTATCACAGCGAGGAAAGGTGGACCCTCACCGTCGGGAACAGCGAGCTCAACGTACAGAACTGCGGCGGTAACCGTATGATGGGGAGAAGAGAATTCAAAATTAGGATTCACATAGCTTTCATTGTCGCCGTCGGTCGGTTCCACTCTTGATTTGTCCTTTCCTATTATTCAGCATCAATTACGTAATTATATTCAAATGGCGTCATCGCCGTATCAGACGCATCCCCTCGCTTCTGCGTCAGCGTAAACAGCTTAAGCGAAGAGGAATATTGAATACCAAGGTTTCCTATTTCATGACGCATATTTCCCACACATGCCGCGGCTTCTGTGGTCAAATTTAGTACTGACGCTCTAACCGTACTCGATTAGGCCTCGTGGTCATTGTTCTCATGTATTGGACCACGGTCTCTTCATGTTCTGATCCTCTATTGTCTGTCTGTGATTCTTAACGAGTCAACCGGACCGCCGCAAAGCACCCGCGGATTTCCACATTCAATATGTATCCCGCATACTTCCGACCCGAAAGCTCGAATGGAGATCGATCAAGGCATCGACGCCGAAAGCTGGAACGCGGCGGCTACGCAGAATGTATTCAATACGTCTGTCCTTGTGAATACATCACAGAAAAAGCTACTAACAACCCCTCCTAATAACATCATTACTCAACAGTCGAAGGCCGGCATTCGCCAACAGCAATCTGATCTTCCGAGGCCTCACGAGGCTCACGATGATCCTTCCTTGTACCCATGCATCTTTCAATTTGCCTACGGTATGTGTCAATAATTGAAGACTGTCTACCGAACCCTGGTTACCTCGCCATGCAACCTGTTTAGTCTGCCTATAGATTGAATAAATGGCAGATCATTGGCGCGCGGTGGGTGTACTCTTGTCCGTGCTGTTTCAAGAACCAGGTATCTTCGGCTGTGTTCGTCGAGCGCAGGATCATCTCGTGTTTTCATCATGCTGTTCAGTCTATGATGGGTCCAACGCCTAGGGCTTCCAGTTAATGGCATCTGCTGCACTGTCCAGACCTATTGCGCCTTGTGCCGCCTGCACGCTATATACCCGAAGAACTCATTATCTCCACTTCGCGTACCTTCCAATATGGGCCAAACGGAATTTATGAAACTGCGCTGTTCCAAATAATATTTGATGGCAGCGGATTCGTTTTGGAATGTCCAATTTCCCCACAAACCCATACGCAATAACATTTAATCAGACAGTTTAAATAAACCAAGGCTTAAGCGTATGCACGCCCGAATGTCAGTCCCCCCTCCCAGCGAAAATGTGGCTAGGCATAACATCGCGCTTCCAAGTCACAGCACCGTTCCCGTAACTCTCGTGCGAACTTGATTATGTGTCTCATTGGATTCTTTTCTCTTCCTCACAATCCCCCCCTTACCCCCCAGCCAAGTTCTGTCATCTCTCGGCCAACCAATGCGTGCGTGCGCACATTACCAACGTATCAGAACATACCCCTGGAACCGCAGTGGCGCCCAAATCCGAAACCTCAGAGACGATGAGCAGGAACGTAGTTCTTTAGGGTGAGTTGAAGTCTTCTTGTGTTCTTCTGGCACAAATCTAGAAGGCTGCTCCTAATCATACCGTCAGATAGCGTTTTCTAGCGTCGGAGTCAAGGAAGCTGATCCCTCAGGTTCGTCCGTTATGAAATTCAGGGTAAATGATTTTCTGGTGTGTTCCGGAGCTGTATCTTCGTCCTCTAACCTTTAATCGCTAGGATTTCGTATATTTGGGTCATCAATACCTATAACGGAGGTTCTCCGCTACATGCATGCTGTTACTTAAGGGTCCTCTCAGGTCACATCCCGCCATTTTGATATCATAAGGTGATTTGTCTCTTCACTAAGCTATCCACCGATGGTTTAATACCTCTGCGGAGGCAGCTGTCGTCGCTACTGGACTTTCGCCGGACTTTTAGCCATAGATGGGTTCTTTTTGATAACGGTATCCCATAGAGCGACCATATCTTTCTGGCGCGGAATCACCATTCTGACAGAGGTACTCAAGTCTAAGACAGCTTCGACTCTAGTCCTCCTCCCAACTGACTCTATATCTCTTGCGACGGTGAGAAGATACCGATGATTACTATATCATTTCAGCGGTTTCAGAGTGATATTGATATTGGCCTATCATTGATGGCCGAATCGTACTTTCTATAGCTTTCTATTCGCAATTCTTATGTGTCTTTGTAGGACAGGGGTTTGAGCCCATCCTACGGTCCTTAATTTACCGCCGCCTCTATTCAGCGCACTCCTTTGGAGCATTTTTGATCATCCTACATGCGGTACAAGTTGGAACATGTTAGATGTCTACCTAAATTTGACTTGAGTCATTCCTTTCCACTGAAGCGGTCCTTGTTAACACGAACAGGGCAACAAGCACCTGAATACTTTCCTCGCACCTGGCTCAAGATTTATGGGTGGTTGCTTGGAGCGATGCGACCGGCTATGTCAGAGGTATAATTTTCATCCAGTCTTGCGATCCAGAGTGTATTGTACTACAATTGAACATTATCGTTACGTTTACTTACAACAGGCTAAACAGAGGCTTCCAGAGTCAAGATAACGTAGACCACCTTAATGACCCGGAAGCACAATTCACTCAGCTTTAAATTCCATCCGATCTAAGCCCAGATCGTCCGACTTTTGGAAATGGGGACCCCTGCACATTTACATGTTGATATTGTTAGAGGCTACAATAGTATCAGCACAGCGTTTTGCCAATCCGGAGCATTTGCTAGTGATTGATATCAAAATTGTCACCCCTGAGCCGGAGTTCTTAGTAGAAAAGAAGGTAAAAGTAATGGGCAACCTATCAGAGAGTGAATGCCCGCGGAAGCAAATATCGTGGGCAGATATCGGGACCAGCGGGATACCCTCATCCGGAAAGCTCCGCACTGCGACCCCCGCCCGATTTCAATTTCACCGTGTGCACGTTCACAGAATCTTCCAACTTGAAAATCAAGTTGAAATTTTCGATTTAGATTCCTCCCGAACCCATCAGAACTCCTTTCTTTCCTTTGAGCCACGCTGCCCAGAAGGACCCCGGGGTATAACCATATGGATCCAGTACAGATCTCCGTGAAATCTAATTTCGAACTCAGGTCAAAGAGACGGACATTTGGACCTAGCCAACTGAACCCAGCTACGAATTCGGACAAATAATTGGAATTTTAAGCAAAGTTTGAGACTTCCGCACCTTCGGCATAAGGGTGGGCCGCATAGGGAAGTGTGTCGGGGGACCGACCCCAAATTTTAGTCATAACCTAGGTGTCATAATTCAGATAAAATCTCCAAAATTTCTGGAAAATGGGGATCTGATTCATAGGGTATACTACGGGTTCCCTTTCTAGCGCAGGCGGGGATTGATCGAAGCGTTCCGTCCGCTACATGATCGCTTAGATCGCTCATACTAGGTAAAATGACGGGAGCCCGACATATATCCGATGAGCCGTTGTTATCTCGTTTAACTACCATAGCGTCGTTTTTCTTGCTTTCCTCCTCCCGGTACCCAGTCGATAAATCCAAATCGTTATCATAGGGACTAGCGGTGCCCGAGTTCGCAAGTTGTATCGCACGGCATCAACGAAAATCTCCCTTTGACAAATAGACTCCTTTGCTAAGAAGCGAAGAGTTCTTAGGAGGTTCTGATCGTCCCCGCAGGTCTATATAAGATACGCGGCAATCTTCCTGGTCAGACCTCAGCCCTGTCCTCTTCCCCCCCTCGCTTGGCTATTCCTTTCTTTCGTCATGTCTATTGACGTCGGTTTCAAAACCCAGTATCCGTACGTCAACTTTATGATGGACGATGTACATGCTCAGCATGTATGAACATTTCTGACTCGTAGCTTTGAGGAACTGGAAGTCACTAAAGGAGATTTAACCCTGGGATCCATCGTCTTTGGCTTTTTCGTACGTCGTTCCACGTCATCCATCTTTATTACGCGTCCGAACGTTTCCATAGTTTGGATTTGCCGTCAATGTCACTTGGTGCGCCATTCTGGAGACGAGGAGAGCAAGAAGAGTGAGCACCCTTGCATTTCTTACTACCTTGAGATTATACTCAGCTCACGCTCTTTAGTTCTCCGGGTACATCGTCATGATTTGGGTGGAAATCCTTGCGTCAGTGACTCCGTTTCTTTTCTGGATCTATGGTATCCTCATTTCAGTGTAACTAGGGACCTTGGTTTTTGTGTACGTATCCCAATGAGTCGGATGCAGTACCGTTCATCCTCAACAATTTTCTGCAGATCGTTTCGTGGGGTTATCTGTAAGTCATAACATGGGACATCGTAATGAGGTACTTATCTTCTACAGCGCAAAGATTTTTCCCCCCGGTCTCGGTGTCTTTCTCACAGTCATCCTCTGTTGGATCTGTCAAGTAAGTCTCTACTGCGGCCGATGCTCGGCCTCCTCTAAAACCTTAAAACCAGGTTCAGTGCCTGATGCTGATTATCGTAAATCGACTTTGCATCTTGTACTCGCAGCCAAGGCAAAGGGTATGTTACATTAACCGTTCAGGAGCTTCCTATGAAATTCAGCCGTCCCTAGTTCATTCTCAAGGCTTCTGTGGCCGCCATAGTGACCGCGATATCGATATCCACGGCTTGCATTTGTAAGTAGAGCTGATATCTATGGAGATGAAAACATCTGGACCTCACCTATGCTCAAACAGGGATCCCGGCGCATCTCCAAATCAACTCGACGTACATCTGGGTCTGTTTCACGACGCTGTACTGTGTGTCTTCCACTGACAATCACTTCAGCTGAACCATTGGTATGATCGATTCGAGAAATCTGTGTACCTTCGTATGTTGCAATGCCACGACGTCAATGTCGCCGACTATTAATAGTGACATCGCAGTTTTGGACTTGTTCCTTAATCTTCTGTTCATTTGGAAAGTAAAGACACGGCTCATCCAGCACGGTCTAAAGAAGTATGATAAGGTCATGCGGTATGTCCCCCAGCGCTCACGAGTCGCTCTACTTGCTCACTCTATTATTACCACAGCTTCAATCAGTACATAATTGTTATCTCTATCGGCATGGACATTCTGCTTCTGGGCGTCACTGCTCTCAGGAATCAATTCGTCTACTGTCAGGTGAGCTATTCTATCACACGGAGTCTATTTGCCGAAATGAACGGGACTGTTGTACTTAGTTCCACCCGGTGGTATACATTGTCAAGCTACAAATCGAAATGTCGATGTCTCGTGAGTAGAGTTCAGTGTTCCTTAACGGTGATTATGACCACATTGCAATCCAGGACTGCTCATCAAGGTCGCTCGTTCTACCGGTATCAATGTTTATAATGAGGAAAGAGGAGAGGTAACATCGGAGAGTGTCAGTGGGAGCAAGCCTACTGGTGCTGGAGTGTACGTATATTTTCTTCTCACTGAGAGCGTTTAATTCTGAGGCGTCCCATCGACTCGCAGTGGCATTCAAATCACTACTCAGATCTACACGCATGCTGAACATCCCGATGAATATGGTACGCTTCATATACCTCTTAAGGCTCAACTTAACACACGTCACAGAAATGGAACATCGTAAAGTACAGGAAGCAGCATCGACACATTCCTCGAACGGCGAGGTCATAAAAATTTCCACAGTTTAGAAGACAATATACCATTCGTTTTAGACCCAGCTACACTTTACACTGGACTCAGATTTTTTTTTTTCGATTTTGCGATGCCGCCTACCGGCCCTCATGTACCAATAATAGATAGACCTGCACAAGATGTGACTATACTAGATCATACCTATCTGAAGCACCTTCCTATGATCCGTCGTGGAGGTCCGTATATATTCAATCGGTGAGTTTTAACAGGCGGTGAGACTGGATCAATTTCGACTCGTGTGTTCATCATTCAATTTTGATCAATTATTATCGTCCTCGCTGGTGCGGCACCAGATCTTGCTTCTCCCGAGAATTTCAATGGACACACACTTCCCCATATCTCTTGGGTCTATAGCATGTAGATGAATCACGAGAAAGAAAAACACATCGGCTATCACGGCCAATGGCGGCCCGGAACCATCTTTGATGCGGAGGTTATTCGGAGAGCATCAAAATGTAGTCTCACTGATCCTGGAAACATGGAGTCACAGAATGTCATGAGGCTTGGAGTAGGCTTGGGTTCACTTTGACATCAGCGCGCGGTCTCGACGGACAGTCTGGAGAAATCTCGTACCTGCCAGTACTCTTTTCTGGCAGAAACCAGGCGAGTGACGCTGTAGCTCCAAGTCGTAGCCAAGGCGGCCAAATTTCGAGAAATACGGCTCCTTCCCTGGACTATCTGACAAGGTATGTCGTAAAGCGCAGCCTCTGCTGTTAAGTAAAGCGACTTCCATTCTCTTCTTGGTCGGAGCCAATACGACAGTGCATCAAGTTGGACCTCCCGTACTAGACTCAGTTCTTCAAGCTGCGGCGTACCTCTGGCGAAACTTCACCAATCAGCTGCCTTTATCCATGGGAAGGACCTGCCTCGTGGGCACTATAAAACTCGCACGATTCTTTTAAGTGATCTTCTGTGCTTTGACACCTTCAACTTCGTGACGAAGCAATGGCTGTAGGTGCTGTTGCGAACACTGGGTCGACCGGTTACAGTCGCCTCATTGACCCTAACAGGAAATGGTATAACAACCGAAGGTACGGTGGTTTTACTATTGGTGGACCTCGGGCTGGATAATTCGTATTGCAAGGCTCATCGTTCTCAACTTCTGGATCTGTTTGCTGTAAGCCTTCCCTTTCTATTCGAAGTTCGATGACCGACGGTTGTACTAGGCTCATCACGTCTTCTACGAACGGATACGATGGAAGCATGATGAATGGATTACAATCGCTCACCCAATGGTCTGACTATTTTCACAAGCCAAGGGGCGGGAAGCTTGGCCTTCTGAACGCCATTCAGGTGCGAATAAGGCATTGCATTGCATTTCGAATATTCGCTAAAATTTGTTCCACTATTATAGAATATTGGGAGTCTTGCCGCATATCCCTTTGCCCCATATTTTTCGGATGGCATTGGACGGAGATATACTATTCTCATGGGTGCTGTTATCATGATTATTGCCACAACTATTCAGACGGCTTCTCAGTCCGTTGGGATGTTCATTGGTGCTCGGTATGACCATACTGTCTTCGTATAGATCGACCTTTACGACCTTTCTAGATTCCTGATTGGTTTTGGTGTGACCTTTGCTGGTACGCAGGTCATACCGCAAAATACGAAGTGACTTATCCTTGAACAGCAAACTCGGCTCCCATGCTGGTTACCGAGATATCATATCCGTCTTATCGTGCACCTCTCACGTCGACATACAACTCCCTCTGGTATCTGGGATCTATTATGTATGTAAAGCAGGCGATCTGTTCGGGTGTCTTTCCCACTTACGTCGTTCTTGCAGTGCCGCCTGGACAACCTTCGGTTCTTTCAAGATCAACAACACCTGGGCATGGAGAATTCCGTCAGCTCTTCAGGCCCTCCCTTCCGTTTTCCAGGTCGCTCTCATTTGGTTCGTCCCTGAGTCTCCGCGTTGGCTCGTCAGTAAGGGCCGTGAAGAGCAAGCGCTAAAGGTCTTGGCTTATTATCACGCAAACGGAAACGCGTATGTGTGACGATATTTCCTTGGACATCAATATTTTATGACCAAACTGTAGCGAGGACCCACTGGTGAAGCATGAGTTCGAGGAAATTAAGGCTGCCATTGAATTGGATCGTACCGGTGCGTTCCCGCATGTTCGGTTACTGTATGCCGCTTACCATTGAGTTCTATTTTAGTGACCGCCAACGTCGGATGGAAATCATTGATTTCTAAGCCCGGAAATCGCAGGCGTATGAGAATCATCATCGCCATTGCATTCTTCTCGCAGTGGTCTGGTAACGGTTTGGCGTCGTACTACTTGAACAGGATTCTGGACGACATCAATATCACAGATCCAACAATCCAGGTAAGCCGTTCACTTCACGCTTAGGATACGGGTGTCGATGCCCGTCTTCTTTACAGCTCTTGATCAATGGTATTCTCCAAATCTGGAACTTGGCTTGGGCATTGCTCGCATCAGGTTTCGTCGACAGGCTTGGTCGACGCCTGTTGTTCATGATGTCTGCAGTGGGCATGTTCCTCTTCTTCAGCGCCCAGACGATCTGCTTCGCGGTGCACAGCGAGATGGGAACCAAATCGGCTGCCAATGCCCTCATTGCTTTCATTTTCTTGTTTTACGCGGCCTACGAGTAAGCGATGTCTCTATCAGTCACCTTGATACTACAGCTTCTGACTTATCGCTCAGTCTTGCATTCACGCCTCTGATTGTAGCCTACACAGTCGAAATCCTTCCTTACCCTATCCGCGCCAAGGGCTTCAACGTGTTCAATTTCACCATTTCAGTGGCCCTGATTTTTAACCAGTACGTGAATCCAATCGCATTGGGTACGTGCTTCTATTTATTACATGATTGTACCCAAATGAGCTGATTTTTTTTTTGGCAGACAACATTGGCTGGAAATACTACGTACGTGATCGGGTACATTCCACCTTCTTTCACGGTTGACAGGGTTACAGATTGTCTACGTGTGTTGGATTGCATTCGAATGCGTTTTTCTTTACTTCTGTGAGCGCTTTCCCCTTGAAAAACCAAGAATGATTGTCAGCTCTGACACTTTTTGCACAGACGTCGTCGAGACCAAGGGTCTTACTCTCGAGGAGACTGCAGTTATTTTCGACGGAGACGACGCCAAAGAACAACTTGCCCACGCTGCCGGTATCAAAGAGGATGACGAGAAAGGATCTAATTCTTCGGTGCACGCTGCAGAGTTGTCGGAGAAGATCTAAAATGGATAATCATTACTCATTGGATTCCACAACATTGGTTGGGACGTATAATGCCATGAGGGAGATACGGTTAGTAAATATCTGTGACGCTTTTTGCATTGAACCTCATCTACCTATGTACACGTAAATTATGCATGACGTTGATATCTCGCTGTTCCACTTAACAAGTCGGTGCTAGGGATGGAGACAGTTGTAATGACATTCAACTTGCACAGGTGCGTCTGCTAGTGCTGAGAAGCCGTACCTTGCCGGGGACGTGACCGTGCGTTCGGTGCCGTAGTATGGTGAATTAGGCAGGTATTCCACAAGTAGTACGGACGCTGGTTTGTTTCCTTCTCAGGGACAGTGATCAGAATAAAATTTCCTTTTCTTCCGGGACCGTAGTTTGAAGTGTGTTGGAAATCCTGGGTGATGCGCAGGGTAGACTCCAGGCTGGTAAGGCCAGATGGTATGAACTTGTTATTCTACAGCTCCTACAGAGCCTGTATTTGTACTCTCCAGGCTTATATCTAGAATTTACTACAACTCTCGGCATGATGCCGGATTGCCCTTTCTAGAACTTTCCGGCAAAATCCCAACAAAGTGAAAGTTTGAAATTAGACCGAACCAGACATCAGTGAGTTAGAACGGAACGATACGAAAACGTGTTGTTACATGATCAATGTCGTCGGACGAATGTCACAGGGACATCCTTAACACCCAAGGTTATCATCATCACCCCATCCAATACTCTGTCCTTCCAGGCCTGCTTCGACTCGCCTTCCCTAAGAATAGGCTTGACTGACCACTCTCGGAGAAGCAGCGTCAAGAAACACACTGCCTCGGTGGTAGCTACCTTCCTCCCAAGGCATGCCCGCGGACCTGAATTTTCATGAGGGTTTTGAACTCTAATCTAAAAGGAGAGATCCTTACCGACACTAAAGGCGGTGAATGCTTCAGATTCATTAGAAATACCGTGCCACCTAGAAGGCTTGAACTTTTCGGGCTCGTCAAAATACCGAGGATTGTACTCTTGAGACAACATAAGCAGAGTGTCCAGTACAGAAGGGACGTCACCTACGGACGCCAACCATATCAACTATGATCTATGAAAAAGATGAGTACAAGTAGATGCACCAAAGCGACTGAACCTACACGGAAACCCTTGGGTATTGGCATGGAAATTGTCCCCTCATCGCCCATTGGTCTTGGCACTTGAATGACTGTATCCTTTGTAGCTTCTCGGATCATGAGGTGCCCTGGGGCTGTAGTATATAGGTGAAGATAAGATACTGTGTGGCTAAACAAGCACACTGACGAATCATTCGAGTCGCCTCGTAGAAGACCGCCAGGACTTTGTCAAGCTTCGGGTAGTCATCAAATGTCTACGAACAAGGTAAGAAATAGCCGATGCTGAAAATGTTATTCTCACAGGGTCCGTGTGATCAGACAAGACGGACTTGATCTGCTCATAGACTTCATCTTGAATGTCATCATGAATGGCCAGAAATCCCAGCGTTGTTGCCAGTGTCTGTGCGGTGGTTTCTGATACGCCTTCAATATTATCTATCCCAGTGTTTTTAAAATGCATACCGTGTCCAGCAAATAGCATGATGAAGACATTTCCAATCTGTCTGAAATCAGAACTAGGTTTCAATCACGAAAGTGAACAGCTGAATTCTACCAATTCTTCATCATCTAACGAGTATTTTCCTCCTTCCTCTTCGCTGGCTTTCACAAGCAAATTGAAAATCGTGCGTGTTTCCAAATTGTCCGCCTCGAAATCAATCTCTCCGTTGGCGATTTGCGCGCGTCGTCGTACTACCTCGTCTTTCATGAATTGCGACAGCTGTTCATGCGCCATAGTAGAATCCCGAATACTGAAGTTCAATGTTAGTATCTGCAGCGTACACCGACGAGGAAAAGCATACTATTTTAATGGAAGACGCTTGACCCACTTGGGAGCAAAGACCGCAAAAGTTCCGGTATCTGATATTATCCTAAATGCTTCTTGTATGGACATGGTGCCGTTTTCGGATCTCGAAGGCTCCTTCCAATCAAATGAGATGCCGAAGCCGCACATAGCGATCACAGACAAGGCGAGCTGAGAAAAGATTAGATCAGTGGAAGTATATACATCAGCATGGTGGAGCACCTTGAACGTAATCCTCTGTATTGCTGGCACTGAAACTTCATGCTTGTTAGCCCATTGGTCAGCAGCCAGCATTTCGTAGTAGATTTTCTGTGTTTTATTCCAGACCAGCTTGTACCTTGAAAGGATGAGCAAATCGAGAGACACGAATGTACGACATACAAGTCATTGTTAAATGCAGGACCCATGATTCGACGATGTCGGCGCCATACTTCCCCATCAGCTGCGACTAAATTCATACCCCATCCTCTACATTAACGTTAATTGAATAAGCGAGATACTTGTCATTGGACTCACAGTAGAATTCTGCTAGCCTCCTGAGGCTTGATGAAATCCGACTTGTGACCCCCCGACGCAACCTGGCGTGTCACATCCAGATTGGAAGTATAAATCGCAGGAGGACCTCCAAACCAGGGAACTACCGACACATTCTCGCCGCTCCTGTACACTACACAAGGATTAGTATCCACTCAGGGAATCTCGTGTTGGACTTTACTCTGGAAACGCCTCGCCCAATGTAGGTCAATACCATTGTACCATCGCGTCGAAGAGAAGAAAGCCCCCGGGGGTCCCAAGGGATAAAATACTGGCCTGTAGCCTGGAAGATTATTTGCGGCCTGAGAGCCGGTGAGCGTGTAGTCGTCTCGTGGAGCATGATAACAACCTGGAGTTTATGTCGAAACTGCAGTACTCTGGAGATGACCGCAACACAGACCACGGCCCATAGGACTGTGATCCATTTCGGTTGCGCACCAAAGAGAAATAACACTGAGCTGGAGTCCATCACAATGGCGGTAATGGGGAAACGAGGGCACTACCCTGTGATTACCCACTTGAACCCTGAGTACGGAAGCAATTTCCAAACACGGCCCGGATGTCACTAATAAATATAACAGCCTACCGTCGGATATCCCGAGAGCTCAGGGAACGTAGAGATCAGCCACGAGCCCCGCTGAGAACTGATGGTCTCTCTGCACGCATGAGAAATTGTCAGCCACATCATGACGTTGATGCAAAGAGGTATTTGTTGTGACCGCGACCGCAAATTAATGCTTTGCAGAGCTTTGTTCGTGAGAAAAGGAGTTCTTATTTAAATCTTCAGAAATCCAAACACAGGCTGTCGGGAGGTTTCAGCGTAATGTAGTGCCATAGGAAAGAAATGCCAAACATTCTAAATAAGAACTGCGCAGTACTGACCATGCCAAATGCTATTACTAGACGACGTTGTGAATATTGATCGGGAAGAATTTGAAGGAAATAAATCCATGTGCACGAGAGCGCCTAGGATCCAGAGGACAACAGACCGAAAACGGAACGCGAAGCCGATATCAACCCTTCACTGTAGCAAGTAGACATACCTCTCTCCCCATCAACGTCTTCGTGCGAGAGTAAGAGGTACTTCCCAGACACCTAGAGTTATTACAATTGTGGCATACAATACCCTATTTGAACACGCCGCTTTTGTCTCACCTTCCCTGAGCATAGGTTTGACCATCCAGTCACGGAGAAGATCAAGAAGCACACAACCTCAATCGTAGTGAACTTCTTCCCAATCCACACTCGAAGACCTTAAAATTGTATTTGTAAACGCCTCTGATTCGTTCGAAGCCGAATGAGAAGCCAAAGCCGTAGACAGCAATGACGGACAGGGCAAACTAATGGAGTTGCATAAGCATACGTGGTACTACTGGCATGCAACTACCGTTCTGTACTACCTTGAGGTTTATCTTCTGTATGGTCGGAAGAGCTTCTTGTACGTTCGTAGTCCACTGATCAAGAGCCAGCATCTCATAATAAGTCATCCGTGTTTGACTCCACACCAATTCATAACTTAAGAAAGTTAAGCGGATTCCACACTGAGTCTGGGACATGTTTGTGAGACGCGTTTCGACTGCGACCGCGACCGGACTCAATTCTACGCCGCCTCGACCACCGTGGCTCAGTCATCGGGCAATGCACTCTACCACGTTGACACTGCCAGAGTAACGATAGCGCAAAAGGTGACTTGGAGTTGAGATCTCCCAACTCAGCCTCAGAATCGTCAACTACAATCATGCCGTATAAAGGCATCTCCCTGGCCTGGTTGTCCCTCCCATCTATCCCCTTCTTCCGAGGCTCCTTCCTCCCCAGCAACCTACCTGACGTCGTGTGCTTATACCACTACCTTCTCCTTCGTTTTCCTCCAGCACATGCCCGCAGCTCGACAAACCCTCGCTCAGCCAGTCCTGGGCTACGGCCTCGACCACTGTGCCACCCAGTTCGTTAAACAGTTCGCCGAGACGCAAAATGAGAAACAGCCTCGGAGACGAAAATTGACCACTAAGGAAACAGTCTACTCACGCCTTGTCCAGTCCCACAACAACGTCTTGATCCACAATTTTGGCCTCCAGGCACCCAACGTGCACAGAAAGACTGTCACCGACTCTGGCGACCTGCTAGCGCTCCTATCCTTCAACATCGCCTATGACCACCGCGTCTTCCCTAGCGAACGCCAGAGGCTCAACGTCGCAGCTTGCTATCTCATCCTGAGGTTGTCGATGGCGACAAGAAGAAACCTTGGGACGGATCCTGGGAGGAGCTCTTCAGCTCTAAAGCCATCCTGTCGTTACTCCAGAAACCCCCGGAAGACGATGCATACGCCAAGGAGCTCACGAGGTTGCTAGAACGCAAGACGACCCATCGTAGCTGCCCTAAGGCTCTCTGCTATGAAGATATCCAGTTAATGGTAGTCCGCCACCCGGAAACGGGACTAGACACTTTGACCATGTCGATCAAGTTCATTCACCATAAAGGCGCCGAGAACAAGCCGAAGCCGTGAGAACCTCGAAGACTAATCCCGTCTTGCAGGACCATCTTCTTCACGCCGACCAAAAGGCTGATCTTCTGCCTCGTCACTCTTGTCGTCAGCATTGCGATCCTGGACGACGCCTTCGATTCCCCGACCCTGACCAGCGTCGAGGCCGTCTTCGGAGCCAGAAACTGTAGTCCGGTTGCGTGCACACCCCTCCGGTGGAAGAAGGAGCGGCTGAAGCGGCCCGTGTTCCAGTGGTGCCTCTCTTCTATACCGTACCCTTCACGACTATATAGGCAACCAGTCGCTCGACATGGGCTATGAGAAGCGCATCGGCCCTAAGGACTGGCGGAGAAATGTGGGCAACACGGTTAACGGCTATGCGTCCGACGCCATGTGCGACCAGATTATGCGTCACAACTCCCACTCGAAGGTTTTCCAGGACGCCTACCTCAACGCCTTCATCCAGTACGACGTGCTGAACGCGGTGCTGAACGAGCCGCTGCAGACGAAACTGCTCAGCATGTTGTCGCATGTTGGCTACGCCACTTCTTGGTCCTATGCTCACGTCGATGCCTTCGACTCCGATGGCGGCCTCACGTGGAGTCCCACCCGGAGTCCTGCTCTCAGCGACGACTCCGCCGTCATGCAAAACTCTGCTTCCAGCCTCGACTACGGCCTCTCGCAGTGACTCGACCCTTCTCGACTGTTTGCAGCATACGTCCCTCCCTATCCAGCTCCACGCTATCCCCCCCCCTCATTCAGCTCTGCAGTACGCCCCCAGTCTCGTGATGGAGTTAGGATATCCTTCTCTTCCTCAGGGACTCGCTCTCTCCATGGACCAGCCAGCCAGCCGCCCTACAACAAATCGAGCGTTCGCCCCCAACACTTCCATTGCTCCGAATCCCGCTCTCACAACACGGATCTCTGTCCCAATCCCGACCTCCACCCAGAGCTCCAGCGTTGATATCAATGCCTATGGTCTGCCTCTACACAATGAGTACGCCAACTTCTCAGCGCTGGGTGGGATGGTATGAGCGTGGGCAGGGGCAGCAGCCATGAGCCGGGACTTGGGTCTGAGCCAGGCAGCGTGGTGGGCGCCACAACAACTTCAGGTGCAGACGTATGCAGTAGAGAGCTGGAGAATGCTTTCGGCCTCGGATTTCGGTTCATCAAGTCTCCCAAGATACATGCTTATAGCATTATTGCGGTAAGCCTACTAGAGAATGTCTGATATGTTCGAATGTCTTGCTTGGGCATGCACATGACGTCATTCGGCGAAGGAGACGCGTTGCTAAAGGTAGTCTCAGGTTGGGCTACTCATGGGGAGCTCAAAGGGCTGGTTCAACGACGCGCCTTGACTCCTCTTGCAAGACTATTACATCACGAACAACCGTGTCTCACGTAGACCTGTTCCAGAATGCTGACAGCGTCGATGAAGCCGCCAGCCAATGCAGGCACACAGGCTCTATGATCAATCAGGCCTGTGTGCAGAGGTGGCAGTGCGGACGGAAATAGCTGAAATAGTGTCGGTGTGAACGTAGGTTTATTATTCTGTAACTATTGTTGCTTACCGTGTAGTCCAATTCCTGAGACATGTAGCAGTTGTTCATGCCACGCCATAGAATGTTGACCAGCGCAAAAGAGAACAATGCAATGGGATGTGCCAAACACCATGTGTAGAAAGCGTAGCACAGGCTTTCATCTTCATACATGTCTGGAATATCGAAGCCAGATAGTCCTCCAGGGACTCCAGATCAATTTATTATGTGGGTGGCAATAATAGAATGACGTATACAGAGTAAGGAGGACGAAGGTAATGACCATGTAAACAAGACAAGGACAATATACCAATTTTGTGCGGGTGGTCTTTGCTGCAGTGTAGGGTGGCCGAATCCTCTACATCGGCATGCCAAGTGTCATGGTGTATGGGTAGCGAGCGACAAAAGTTAGGTTAGACAAAGGGACAGGACGGGATCAAACTTGTCTCAGAACGCGAGACTCCCTGATTTCTACATAAAAGTCGCGAAAACCGCAACGGTTGATGAACGCATGGCAAGTGAAGGCGAGGTCGCTGCCCTCCTCGAAGGTGAGCGCCCCGAAGTCGACGCCAATCCAGACGATGGCTGGGCCGGAGGACTCACCAACTTTGACAATGCGAAGCACTTCGATACTATTCCATTTCACGGACATCGTGTTCAGGCCATCGAAAATGCGGTTGCCCAAACCGTGGCTCCAAGCACTGGCGATGGGGTGGTCACCCACCTGCCTAAGCTCTTTGAGGACAGAGTAAGCCTCGGAGCCAGCTGGATCTTCGAAGGGGCTGGGATTGGTTGTAGCGATGAGGCGCGGTTCAGAGGGCAAGCCCTTGTAGTAGACCTCAGATAGAGCCTCGGTCACTACGAACCGGGGCATACGGGAGGACTGCAGCTCCGCGTCCTCGTCCATGGGCTCGAAGGCATTGGCGAGCTTAGATGGGTCCACTGAAAAAAAGGGCAAACAAACGTTAGTACGGGAAGGCAGTGAAAGACCGAAAAGGAAACGCACTGGTGATAGATCTTGTGTTTGGTGAGGCACAAGAGAGAGTGTGGGCAAACACGTCCTTTTAGCGGTGTCGGGACGTGGAGGTCCGAGATCCTGGGTGTCTGGCCTCTGAATTAAGGAGGACGACTTTGTTACTCCGAGGACCTGTCCACATCTGAGAATTTTATAGGATCAACAACGGCTATTTACCTAAGGAATTGTCGCTATTAATTGCCAGCAGGCCTATAGCTACCCGTATTACATATAAGTTAAGAGATCGCGGATATTTAACACAACGTACCACTGTGGATAAACAAGTGTTATGTTGAAGCCGTTAGTCATGTAATGGGAGAGATGAAGGAAACGAAACAGACCTAAATAACAATAACAAATCTACTAGTCAAAGCATTCGTCGATACCGATAAATAGCCCAAAAACAAAGGAGCGTGACGGAAGGAGAAGACGTCGCGTAAGCAGAAGCAAAAAGAAAAGAGAACGAGACCTCTCACCCTCTGAACGCCTCGCAAGGATCCCCGGTGTCGTTCTGGCATGACGTCCGAGGACTTGGTCTTGCCGGCCCTACTGGTGAGGAAGCCACACACTTGTTGTTGTAGGGGAGGATCCCTAGTAATCACAGAAAGAAGAGAGAGGAAAACGATAGTGTAAGTACGGAAAGATAGCGAAAAATAAAGGACTGACTTGTGAGCAGTAGTTACGGTTGGGTGAGAGAGGCGACTGGGTGTCGTTTGGTGGGGGACAAGGGAGAGGGCGAAGTATCACGCCGCCTTTTGTAAGTAAACACATCAGATACAGCTGGTTATTAAATGCTGGCCCCATGATATGTCGATGCTTGCGCTGCACAGAAACAGCTGAAGCTGAAATCGTGGTGATGTTCATGTCCTCCGTTTTTATCTTCAAAAAACCATCGCCAAGTTCTCGTAATTTCCAGTGTATTTACCGGACGGTGAGGCCTGTCACCCGCTATCAAAATAATAGAACCTTCCATAGTGCCGGGGTGTACCTGCGAATTCTTGTGCTCAAACACCAGCTTTCAGGTGTACTGCTTTTCATTTACCTTGGCAAGAGCCAAAGGAGGGTTCAATGCGCACCTGTACCTGGAATCAAAGTAGCTTTGAGATTTAGATGAGAGTTTGCAGCAGCGGCAACTTTGTAACGATAATAGAGGAGGAGAATGATGTAGAAGATAGACTCTATATCGTGTCGGTAGAGGTGCTTTGGTGGTTGTCCATTTTCGTCACTGATGAGGAGTTCGAACGCTATGTAGGGTAGAGTACCGGTACGCTGACACGATGAAGGACCAGTCTCATGTCGGTAGGCGGACAAGTCAAAGTCGTTGAGGACCCCACGTAAATGACCGTCGACGGTTTAGGATCCTCGCCCACTGAATATAGGTATCGGCGAGAAGAACCAGTAGAAAAGGGATAGTACTTACTGGCTGTCAGGGCCCTGTACATAGCATCGGTCCTTTTGTCGATGTAGTTACTCCTGGGGCTTGAATTCCTGCCAATCCAGTGTTTGTGCCCATGAAAATTTATACTCTGGGCTATGGTTCTTCATGTTATCAATCGCGTTTCCGGAACTGTTGAACATTGTACGAAGAACGCCCAAAGTATCGGGGATGATCTCTATTAAGCTGCCGTCAACCGTCTTGTCGATAGATGCCCAGGCAAGAGTCAGCACCTAGAACGTCGAATGCGCTGTTGAACATCATGCTGTGAGGATGGTAGAAGGTCTTCTGCCCAGGATTACTCTCATTGCATAATTCGGTGTAGGCGTTGATATCATTCTTGAATGCAGTGTCGTTTTTGAGGGCCTCAATTTGGGATTTTATCTCGTCGTTGGTTCGCCAGTCGTGAGGAAGATGGAGAATATTAGTCAAAAATTGCTCGGTGGACGTGAAAACTCGGTTTCTGAGATCTTCTAGGATGTACCGTTCAAAATCTGCCATAAGATGATCCGCGTTGGCTGTGGGATTCACAGTTAGGGCATGATTACTGAGTGGAGTACTCTGTAGAGAGGAGCGTATTTGTTCAGATACAGACTCTTTTAGCAGCGGAATCTTTGTCTCTGGAATGGAGGGGACCAGAGCGATAATTCGCGTCTCTCGAAGAATTTGAATCGTTGTTCGCCATAATATCGCCACAATAAAATCGATTTGGGTACAAAGAGAGCAGGAGGTCAAGGAAGAACGCAACAGCCATTTTATCGTGCTTTTAAGGTCGCGTAGAGCAACAGTGGAGCAAAGTAGTAGTGGCAAACTTGAAGTAAACGTGTTGGGAGCACGTGATCGTTTGCACGACCGGGGAATGCCGAACATTCTTGTCGCTCCGATTATCTTCTCTCCTTACCCTACAAAGAGTCTGCCATTGTAGTTTTCTTCTCCTTTCCCTCATCTCTTTCCTGGCTGGCATCCACTGACAAGTCTTCCTTCTTCCCCGGCTTCCTTCAGCTCAGCGATATTTCTGAAGCCTTTGTTTACTTTGACCAAAAATCCAGAACCTAATGATGTCTCCATCAGCTGCGGACGGGTTCATTCCCTGGAGTCTGTTGATATGGATGAATATCGACGTGAAGGACTATTTGACTCACTGTAAATGCTCTAACTCAAACTCCCCCTTGTGGAAATCTGTTCTGTGACCGCCCGACACGACTTGTCATGCTACATCCAGATTGAAAGTGTAGATGTACAAATCACCGAATAGCCATGGGACAATCGACGCATTCTCGCCAGCCTTATACACCAGAAGCGCGTTAATTTCCAGTCAGGAATACTGCATAGAAACTTACAATCAAATCACCTCGCCCAATGTAAGTTTCCACCACAACATTCGGAAAAAAGCTCTAGGAAGCCTCAAACGGTGAAATATAGGTCTAAAATCCTGGAATCTACTTTGCTGCCTGGTATTTCTCACGCTAGGCCCCAGAGTGTCGTAGAAAAAAACGCAATGATAAACCTTCAGATTGCGCCGAAATCGTACTATTCTGGAAACGAAAAAGATGCAAAGCAGGGTCAGAAATAACGAGAACAGGTTCGCGGTCATTGGTGAAGAATCTCTCCAGCTGAGTGTCGGACATCTACATGGTGGTAAATTGTTGAGGACAAGATCATTAGTCTAGGCAGGACTTCGAATTAGTCATTAACAAGTTCACGATCCACCACGGCCTCTATCATCGCGAGGACGTAACGGTCCAATAACGGTCGACTTGTATTTTCTCGACAAAAAAATGACAGAGAGGAATATCAAAATAATAACTGAAGGGTAAAAGCAGAAAGAGCTGTCATTGATAGAAACATAAGGAAATATTGCGGTATAAGAAACGCAGGCAAGTGGTCTGCACTCCCTGTTCCACTGTACACCTGAGTCACGAAAACTTGCGTCGTCGCCGTCGGAAGGCGGGAAAAGAAGCTATGGGAAAATAGTCAGACAGCGACCAGAAATCAAACAAGCGACGCACATGCACACAAATTGCAGCACCTTGTCCTCTTTTGAGATAAAATTGACGTGTATCAACCCTTTACAAATCAACACGCCCAGCACTGGCATCGCAACCATGCGACCGACAGCTAGCGAGAGAATGGCCCCCAGCGGCATACTCGACCAATGAGGCACCTTCAATCGCGCCAGCGCGGAACCCAGACATATCAAACCAAGAGGAACAGAGGCCGCACCCATGAACCCTGCAAAATCGATGATAAACGCCAAAGGTGGGTCACCGTCGGGCGCTGAGGGCATGTAATAGCCGTCGACTTGGACGAAAAGGGCCTTGACGGGAGTGATCAGAGCAATGACGAGGGATACAATGATAGCTAGCGACGCCGGCATGCAAATGGACTCGACAGCCGTACGCAGCGAAGGTGAAATAGTCTTCCATCGACGCAATATGGGGTGACGACTGGGATTAAATGGAGCCGGGGTGTAGGAGGTTGAACCGTCCTTATGTTCCCCGTGGGTCGTGACTGTCGATTCAGGTTCAGTACGACATATGGGTTGAGCAGCTTCTGATGGCGCTACAATCGTCGCGTCTTCATGGTATGGAACATGTAATCCGGGACAAGGTTGAAGGTCGACAGGTTCATCGGCCAAAGCCTTTTCGTTCCGAGTCATTTCCGAGTCCTTGAACTGATTTTCGCAATCCGTGTTTTCAGGATCAGCTAGACGGTATAACATTTTCTGCTTTAAAGCCTTCGGCCAACCGCAAAGAAGAAATTTTCGTCGTGTGCGAATGCTTTCCTGGACTTCTTCAGGTTCGACCTCCGGTCCCTTGAAGTCCAATGCAATCAGTCTGTTTCCCCCTAGCGGAAAGAAAGTGAACTAGAGAGGTATTGTCAAATGGACAAGTCTTTATGAGAGATTTACTGACCATATAATACAGGATTAATGCCGAAATATAAGCTACGGCAAGGTCTTGGTCTGCCTCGCCGTTGAATGGTGCAGCTCCAGTGATGCTCATGATGACAGCCGTCGCTAAGATGTCGGAGTCAGAGATAGCGCCATGACACGAGAAAGAAAGACTGCCTCACGGATGTCACCATAATTTCCCCACCCACCAGCAGCAAGCATTCCATAGCGGAAGCGGTGTGGAACCCAGAAGAACTGTTTGATCAGCCAGGACAAGCCGATGCCCATAAATTGATAGATAGCGCCAATTGCAAACAGAGGTCCTAGAGTGTGACAGAGTCAAGCAGAGAAACCGGAGTGAGTTTCGCGGTAGAATATGGGTGGTGAGATCCAGTTGCGACTGAGCACACCTAAGACACTGATATTACTTGAGGAAAACGCGGGTACCATTTTCGAAAACATGAGGCAAGGCATTGTAATATTCTGCGTTGACCGTCATCAGCACACATGAATACTAACAACACGAATATCGCGTACCAGAGCGACTTGTCCTGCACCTCTTGCAGCGACCGCCGGGAAGATATCTACTTTGGTGATAACGAAGCCTCCAAGTACGCTCAAGACCCTGTGGGAATGGTCAAAGTGTCAACAGAGATTCGGCCGGGAGCAAGCAATCAAAGTCTGACTGACAATCGTAACAGAGGTCGGAAGGAGACCCATATGAGCTGTCCTGCTGAAACCATCGTGGATCTGAAACTGAAAAAAAGGACGTGACAGAATCGTACAATGCACTGAGGAATTGACTGCAAGACCTCCCCGTATTCAAGCTTTAAGAGTCGGATAAAGAGACGAATTGGAAATACTTACGGATAGCCGTCGAGTTTATGCCTTCACGTATCGGCCCGACCTGCAGGCAATGTCAGAAAAAAACATCAGGTATTCTAGACGTACATTGGTGGCACGACGTAAGGGCGGGCACTGATTAAGGAATGCGGTACATTCTGAGGAAGATAAGGTCCGCTAGCCGAGAAGGGTGACCGGTTAAACCCCTTTTCATGTTCGATTCTACCGGGAAAAATGGATGTCCTCTGAAGTTGGTATTGGGGTGAGGTTACACGACGGTGAGTGAAGGAAAGTCTGGAAAAGTCGGTACCGCGTGGTTCGTCTTCCCGGAACTTGGGCAGGCCTAAACGGCTCAAAGCGTAGGATGGTATACTAGCAGAATCCATATAATAGTTCAGTGCAGCATCGTGGTGATTAGACAAGAGAGTTAAGCCCCCAAGTTCAGAGGCGGATGTCCTTCAATCAAACCGCAAACCTTATAACTTGATCACCTCGAATTCTGATCAGAGCGAGGATACGGAGACTTGACGGTGATTTCTATTCCCCTTGATGACATCCTGGGTAGAATTTGGGGTTTTTTCAATATGAATGCAACGGTGTACAGGAAATCTGGCCCATGGGATGAATAACGTTAGATACCGCGTCAGTCTGACAGGCGTCAGTCAGTCCTGGGACATAAGGCTTTGAGGTAGCACCTGGAATACGGTGAAAATCAGACACCGGAAAGCACAGAGAATAATTATCATCTCCATATGAGACCAATATATATTATGGAACGAAAGATTTGAGAGAATTTTCATTAACCCTGACTGACCAATTGTCATTAGCCCTTGTCGCATCAGATCAGAAAATAATCCATACTCACCGGATTCTTGTGTGCGAGAAGCGAAGAAGAGTTCCATTAGATGACAAAGAAATAAGGAGGTATACTGTATTAGAAAGGTAGGAGACAGCAACACGTACAGTTTTACAGATAGTAGACATACACAAAATCAATCATACATAGATGTCGGATCATACAATTACCAAAACAAGAAGAGGAAACATCCTTTCAAAACCACAGCAACAGCTACGCACCAACCTGCGTCATTTGAGTTTGACTTTCCACATCCCCAGCCGGGTTTCTGGAAAAGCTCCTCAAGAATGCAGGCCTAAGAGCCCCGGATAGTAATCCGCCGCTGGTGCGGGGAGTAGAGGCGCTAGCCATGGCCGTGGACTCCGCAATATTCTCGTTCTCGTTTATACCCTGCTCCTTAGTAGTAGATTCTGGCTCGGGAGGGGTATTCGTGATGCGCAGGAGAGATGTGTATGCTGTGTAGAAGTATCAGTGTCAATTCCTGGTTCACAGGATATGTCAGATATAAACTCACGCTGCCGACAAACAGGGCAGAACCATCCCTTGGCCTTACGCTTGCGCCTTGTGTTCACTATGACTGTGGGCGTCGGGGTAGGGGCGGGTGCGGGGCTGGTGGTACCGTCCGCATCTCCAGCACCCTCTGTGGTAGCTGCACCCTCCTCAGCAGCAGCCGCGACCGGCTCTTCGGTCTGCGTTATCGTCCCACCAGCGCCGAACTCGACCATGTTGAGTGCGCATTCTTTGCATGCTACCAGGTGACGACACGGAAGAAGGATGACCTCCCGTGGAGAGGATAAGCATAGGAGACACTCCGAAGACGGCTCGTCTTCTGCGACAGGTTGCTGCTGCTGCGGCGTGGTCGCAGACTCTGGCGGGTAAGTGTGATTGTCGGGAAGAGGTGCAGTAGGTGCATGAGTTGTGGTGGAGGAAGACGACAAGCCGTATATTTCATGTAGATGGAACGTATGCGGACCAATCTGAGCTGAGGTAAGGACTATGCTGGAGTAAAAGGAGACTTGTAATTACCGTAGCCTCCCGCTTGACAACTTTGACGACCCAAGGCCTAGTATCCTCTTCTTCCGCAGATGGCTTAGCTCCGAAACGGACGACATGGAGATATGTTAGCTGCTCGTTGGGAGAGGCAAGCTCTGTTCCCTGTTCATCGAGAGCAGCGAGCCGGATTATCACCTTGACGCCATCATCTGCATCTTCCTTCTTTTCCTCCTTCACTCCATTGGAATCACCATCGTGACTTGTTGAAGGCTCGGCATCAACAACTGCCAGAGCAGGGCCTGAGACACTGTGATTATGGGTTCGTTTTCGGAAGTGGAAGTGGGAAAACCGAAGCCGGGATTGCCGGTTACCTGTTTCCGTAGGAAGAGGAAGGGCTGTGCTGGTAGGAACGGTATCGGAAGATGGGTCTGCTTCATCAGGTGTCGTACTTGCGGTTGCCGGTGGGATTGAGGGACTGGCTCTGGGAGTTTCAGTGTCATCTTCGCTGTAGATAAATCTACCAAGCTCAAGAGTAGCACCTTCCTCAATTTTGAGGACCTTGCCAAACCCTCCCTCTACGACGGTCTCGAATACAAGTAGCTTAGAGAGACCGTTAGGGGAAGTGGCTGCGGGGGCATCGGGATGATTGGCATCGAGTAGGACATGGACGTAAATTCCACATTTCGGTGCATCGCAATCGAACTCAAACTCCAGGCCATGATGATGATTGTCTGGTACCGTATCTTCACCCGACGCCAGTGGAGACAAGCGCAGAGTAGGCCGCTTCAGATTAACTAAGGCCTGCAAGGTGGTCGTGGGTTCGCTCGCCTGATAACCAAGTCAACGCGATCGCGAACGGCCTTGTAGTATATACTGACCACTTTGCTTTTCTCTATCCATCCGCGAACCACGTCCGGCGTGAGCTCATCGGCGAGCACCTTCTTCTCCCTGTTTGTGGTCCAAGCAGGTCCACTGCTTACAATACCGATATTAGGACCAAATAATGAGTCCGGGTGTTTCTTTCCAGTCGGGCTAGGATATCCATGGTTGACTACAGTGCCACTGACGTTACCGGTGGGAGTAGTGGCTGCCATGGTCGCTCGCGATGTCGTCTCGTGTCTGGCGCGGTTCCAAGCAGAGAATTGGGTATGATCTGTAGTAGCGGACTGGTCAGCAGGAAATTTGGGATCACGGTAGGGAGCCCTGCGTACACCAAGTAGAAATGCTCATGGAACAGAGTAAGACGGCGATGATGACGGGAAAGAACAAGGAGAAGGTAAGCGATGGAAGCGATATTGTTTGTATCCACTTCCTTTTCCGGACTAGCACCGTGACATAATCACCTCTATTTTTATCTCTTGGGCTATTTTTGCATTTGTTTTTTTTGCTGTGAAGGCAACATCCTCGACAGTTCGGTATCAGTCTCGCTTATCATTTTGATACTAAGAAAGTAATACTGGGAGCAGAGACAGGTTTGAATTGATTGAATCAGTTTGATTCAAATACATTAGCTGAGGCGACAAGGATGTATACCACGAGTGAGATTGAATGATGCCGCGACCTGGGCTCATCTGGAACACATATTCATCGGATGCATGGCCTTAATTCATGTCACGGATATAGGACATAGAATAGCAGAAATGAAAGAGTACAGAGGCTCATGCTATCAATGAGACGACACCACCGGCCTCTTTGATTTTTCGCCTACGAGCAAGGGTAATCAGCACGGCAAGACGGAAAACATTATTACTAATGTACATACTCTGCAATTGCTGACACAAAGCGGGCTTTTACGATGAATGGCAGCTTGGGCAGCCTAAGGAGACAATCGTTAACCGAAGACGAAAGGCAGTGACACATTCGACTCACTGTCCGTTGCCCAAGACCTTGCCGTAGCCATGTCGCAGGGTGTCAATGACGGGAACCACCTCCGAGTCCTCTGTCAAGCCCTTCTTCTCCTCAGCAGGGACCAAACTCCACAGCTTATCGACATTGATGATTGGACGCCAGAACTGATTGCGCGTGAGGTGGTAGTGGCGCATACCAACCTTACCAAAGTAACCAGGATGGTATTTGTCAAAGTTCGTCCTAGAAAAGAATTCAGGTGCTGTTCAAAGATCCATTACAAGAGACGCACCTGTGGTGATGAGCACCACCAGCCAAACCACGACCTCCGGGATGCTTGCGGTGCTTTCCTACACGTCCATGACCAGCCGAGACGTGTCCACGGTGCTTGCGAGTCTTCGACAAGTGTGTCGGCATTGTTTTCTAAGTAAAACCAGAGTCAGCGTTCCATCTTCAAATATAAGCCCATCGTCATCCAGTCGGAATTCGTCCCATCCATCATAGAAACTCCATTTTGACCATCTCAAACCATAGATTCATTAATGATGGACTGTCCAGCACCGGCGACGATATAATATGGGCAGCAGGAGCATGAACACTGACCTTGAGGGAGGTTTGAGGATCTCAGTTGGCCGATGCAAACTTTCCACCAGCCGTTCAGGGCCTGGGAATTTTTAGCCACAACCACAATACAGACAAACAAGGTCGACGCGTTCAAAAATTTCTTCCGGAACTACGACTTGAACTCATTCCTTTACTCTGGTGAGTTCCGTTCTCTGTTTGCTTTCTGCCTCGATGATGGCTGGCCTTGTGCCAATATTTATTGTCGGTGATACTAATGATCACAACCTTTTTCGCTGATTTTCCTCCGTTATCCGTGAACATTTCTGATCTTCTCCTTTCCTCAGTTCTTCTCAGTTCTTCTGCGTCTGGTGAGTTCTACTCTTCGATTCTCTTAATAAAAGATTATACCAATCTTTAATCTGTCAATCCCCCGAGTGGTGATACCACCATGGCGATACACGAACCATCCATGGATTTATGATTCTTTTCTTCATCTGATATTGTTGAACCTGAAACTGACTTTTTCGGCTCATATTACAGGCCTCACCGTTACTCCGTCTGATATCATCGTAAGTCATTCTTCTCCGTGATCCTTCTTAAACAGCGTCCGAGTACACTGTACGATGGTGATGTTCTGAATGTAAACGATATGCATGGCTTTATGATTTTTCCCCCTTCTTACCTCTGAAACTTCCGCGTGATACTGACGAGTTACTCTCAGGATTCTTGACCATGAATGCCCCCGAACGATCAGAACTCTTCGTCCTTGAAGATGGCGAGCAGCCGTAGGCCAACTTTTCTCTCTGGGTGAAATGCAATCCCCACCGGAGCACTAGTGTAATCATTACCGAAGACACCAAGATCCCCAATGCTGCCACCATCAAGGTAGTCAAACAAGACCATACCCTGGCGAATCTGGTTCGAGCGTGCGTACCCATACTACCATTTTCATCCGCATACCTGCTCACTGTCCTCCCAACAGACAACTGCTATCAATGCCTCAAGTTCTGTTTGCCGGCTACAAAGTTCCTCACCCTCTTCATCCGTACTTTCTCCTCAAGGTTCAGACGGACGGGACCGTGACGCCGCAAGCTATTGTCGAGCAGGCATGTACGAAGCTCATCGGAACTATGTCTTCTTTAGAGGCCAAATTCAAGCGGGAGTTCTCATTCAAGGATGTAGAGGGTGCAGGGCCAGGCATTGGCGGTGTTCCCGATGACCCCTATGGCGCTGGGAGTGGTGCTGGTGGTACCTGGGGAGGGAAGGATTATTTGGACTTCTAGAGTGCATTTTCGTTGTATGTATCAATATTTGTATTTAATGATCATTCGATGTCGGTTTCTACCAGTGTAATGTAGGTTTTGAGTGCGCATTGCGCGAAGCGAAACCTTAGCCGGCTCGAGATCACAATTGTCCAGAAATGGCCTGGGCTGCATGAATTGTATCGGACTGGAGGCGGCTGTCGTCGGCTGCGAGTAGGAGCGCGATATATTCATGATAATCCAGCCTCCATTCCATAGGGCCAACAGCCTTCCATTCTCAAACTTCGAGGGTGTACGATGTTCTTCTCAGAGAAACGAGCATGGTGTCGTCGAGGGAATCGTGCGGGGGGTGCATGGAGGAAGACCTGGTCTTTGGGGTGAGCTTATACATATATGTATACCTGTAGATTTTCACGGACACACCGTTTCTCACTATTCATCGCCCCTTTTTTCTAAAATAAAATCTCTGTTATACAACTATTGGCCAGCCTGGGGAGGCGAAATCATCATCTGGGCCCGGACAACTTTCTTCGTCGAGATTTTCTTTGTTTGTGATACCTACATTCAACTTCCGTTCCGACGGGCCTGGGGGGTGTCTTCAGCGGAAAGGCCAAATTCGGAAAAATCGCTCCATTTCGAAACGGATGAGTTGAGGCCAGGGTCGGTCCGATAGGGTTCATGCTAGGAAGGGCCAGCATGGTATTGATTGATGGACCATTCAGGTGCCATTGGACCTCGAGGAAGCGTCTGATCGAAAGACAAGGGAAAGCAAGCCTTCTATGTACAGCTCACGACTTATATGCTAAGGGCTGATCACCACCAGAGCTGGAGGTGATTGTCCTAGTGCCAAGCGTGATAATACTACCTTACGAAGAGGGGAAGCAGAAGAACACCGAAGATGAAGGAAGCCATGCGTCTGTGGCCGATAGGAAGGGGCGACTAGTCGCCAAAAACAAAATGCTGGAACATTTACAGTATAAGTCGAGAAAGAGACGGAAGAGATCTAGATGAGTCTGCAAAACCTGAATGCAATATTCCAGACAGAAACCGCCGTCATGATATTAGCCACTTGCACTCGTCAGTGTATTTTGAACCTGTAAATGGAAAAAGACCCGCCGTTTTGCCGAAAGCTTTTACTGTTTGTTGAGTCCTGTAAAAAAAAAAGAGACAAAATGAGTATTGCTGTTCCAAGAGGGGACAAATACATTGTACCGATTTATTGTCGGCCGCTTTCTGAGGCGGAAAAATAGACTCTCGGAACAAGTCCTGTTAATGTCCACAGGCCGATGTATTCCTTGGCAAATGCAACATGTCCCGGACTGCCAGTGAGTCCAAGTCAAAGAAGATGTACTTCGGCCCAACTTCCGAGTCGCCCTGCCACATTTAACAGTTGCTACACACGTTCCAACACCTAGTCGAGCACGTATGCCAAGTTGAAGGGAATTATTCTGAGTAAGGAAAGATTGCCAGGATTGAAGAAGAGCAACATCACACGTCCACAAGTATTGGGGCATATGCCGCATGGAATTCCCGCTCTTCGGCAGGAATATCACGTGGTCGTGACATAGAAACGAAGGGAGTAGTACGCGCCGTGACGACAAGTTGCAACGTGGACCATCTTGTGTCCTCCGTCCCCTTCGTCTCGTCCCTCAACTTAAGCGTCGGCTCTAGCTATATAAGCGCACTCTATGCATTCAATTTATGTCATGATTAAAATATTTCACATCGAGCGCAGTATTTGAAAATTTCCTTTGACACTGCCCGCCGCACCGGTACCGCTCACTCATTACCACGCTGATCCTTCATTTTATCTAGAGCGCACTCTGGCCACTCGGACTGTGGGGTTAATTGTGCTTCATTCCGGCTCTGTCAGTATCGTATGCACGCTGAAATGTAGACTGTCTGTCCTGTGGTTTGGGGTTGGTATGATAGACATCTCGCCGAGTAAGGGCTACTTTCTTTTCAGCGCTCCCTCTCTGCCTCGGTCCTGATGAATGTAATACTCGGGAATATAGATAGTCCCGATCCATGGTCAGACCGACTTACTCCGTAGTCTTAACGCGATGACCCCGGACCATTCGATGAAGGGGGTTAACTGTGATCACCATTTTACCGCCATTTTACTTGTTCGGGATTTCAATGTATAGGGGATAGCAATTATGTCGCGAATAGAAAACTGGTCGCTGCCTGGCAACCCTGCCATCGCAGTTCGCGACGAACTTCACGTTGCAGCAATCAACTTTAGGGCAACTCGGGAATGGGTCCCAGGAACACTTTCGGTCCGTCAGTCGTGAGACTGGAATGATGTGCTGCGCGTACGTGAGGGAACGTCACATTTTCAATATACCAGTGACAATGGGCCCGATTCACAGCCATTATTTTGAACCCCAAACAAATATTAAATTCCTCAGACGAATGCACAAATGCGCCTCTGTGGAAAAAAAAAAAGGTAGCGCCTGCCAGCGCCTCTACAGTTTTAGGGTGCCTTCGGCGAGGCGTTCTATATATATAATTGAATTGAGGCGGTTATCCGCACGATTTTCTGATTGTCACATCATGGGTATCAGAAACAGTCGTGATATTTTCTCAACAAGTAGGATAATGTTTTTTTTCTCTCACTGGAACGAGACGGGGTGCTTGGGAGGTGATAGGGTCCGCAAAGATGGAAATGAGCAGGTGGTAAGAAGAAAAATTGTTTGGTGATCTTTTGGCAGGCGTGCCTGCGACGCCACGAGGCTCGATCGTCCCGTATAGAACTTTCTCATGACGGATCCTTGTAAGGGTTTTCCCCCTTGACCTCCATCGGCCGGGACGACGAATTCTTATAACGACCACGAAACGGCTGGTGCTTGCTGTCTGTCTGTCGCTACCTGGTGCGTATCACTGTAATATCGAACTTTTTGCTCGTTCCTGAATATGGGTGATGAATAGATTTTGAGGAAGACGACACAATCTACCCATCTGTGACGGCTCTCGCTGCGATCCCAACATTCCTTCATACCACACTCGTTTCACTTGCTAGTCAATGTTCACCCCCCCGCCATCACCTCTGCCATCGCCGGGAGACGAGATCATCCAGGAGTCGGCCAGGGAAGATACCATGTCAGTGGAGAGCAAACGTAGCACTCGTCGCAGAACGAAATGGACCACTGTGGTCTTTGTTCCACTGGCGCTTGTGCTTATCACGGCATCGACGCGCTACATCACACATCCAGTTGCATTCGATATCTTCTCCGAATCACTACCGCTCAATTGGCATACCTTGTCCACGAAGGGGACGGACTGGCGACGACATAAAAGGCACCCACAGGATGCTGAGCAAACAGTGGTGGAGACATCCGTAGTCAGTGGATCGACTGCTACGATTGTCTTTTCTTCGACAGCTGCTTCATCTGCTACATCTGTCGCCTCCACTACTGCAACGACCACGATTCCTGCGAGTGAACAAGCATTACCCACAGTCCCTACTGATCCCGATCTCCCTACACCCTTTCCCCAGTCCTTCGATTCCGACGTTAGCCAGAATTTCTCTAGCATGACTTGCTACCAATTTTTCACGAACATGACCAACACTGCCGCCTTTCGCTCTTGTAGACCGTTCTCGGTTCTGTTGCAGACGTCATCGTCGTTTATACAGGTCTGTTTCTCGACCCCTTGTTCCGTTTAAGATAGAGCTAATCATTCAAGCAGGTACAAGACAACCTTACGGAGCTCGATGCGGTGATCTGGGGTACTTGTAATCCAACGCTCGGCTATTCTCAGTGTGTTACGAATATGGCGTGGTTTGCGTCCACATTGAAAGCACAGTGCGAGGCTGATATTGGGGACAATAATGCCAACGCCGTCGAGACGCTTGCATCCCTGCAAGCGTATTCCACCATGTACACCGCTGCCTGCCTCACCGATCCTACCACGGACACCTACTGTTACGTCAATGCCGTCCACAACTCGGACCCTTCAGATCTCTATTTCTATGAGCTGCCATTAGGGATCAGTGTGCCTAACACTTCTACACCCTCGTGCTCGGCTTGCACGAAGAGCCTGATGACTGTCTATGCCGATGGGCTGGAAAATTCATCAACGTCGAGCTTGTTGGATGATCTAAGGAAGACTTATCCTGCGGCTCAGGAGCTGGCAACGGGCAATTGTGGATCAGATTATGCAAGGACAGTTGCGGCTGTCGCATCTGGTGCGCTGATATTACGGGCGGGTGCGACGGGTGTTTTGTTGATATTGGCATTAACTGCTTGGACATTGTATACGCTGTTTTAGACTGCTTTCGTCATTCCTTTCTTCCTACGGGTTGCTGGTTGTCTTTATTTATCACCTTTTTATTGTGTTCCATGTCTGTTGCACTATGACCCCCGCCCGCTCTTTCATCGTGGTCGTTTATACATCAGTCGTATTTACTGCCGGTATGTTATCATTCAGAGAGTACATCTCTCTTTGTACAATTTTTTTTTGGCTTCTGGTATCACAGCTTGTACCATGCTTTTTTCACTAGACTCCTTGTCATGTAGTCATTCATTTGTGCAGGTCAAGTACTTGGATTTCCATCTTTCGACGGACCGAACGGTATTAGCGGAGACCGTATACCTCTTACTATGTTACCTTGGATATTCCTGTTTGACGTCTGTAGGACACACCCACGAAGACCAATTAGACACGTTCGCTTTAATGTATCGTAGCGATGTAGAATTTATCATTCAATATTTCGCCCTGTACATATTTATCTCTCCCTTCCCTTCTTTCTACTGCGCTTCTAAAAATAGGTTGGGAGGCTGTTTCATCAAGCCAAATTTTGGACAAAATGACTCGGATACCAAATGCCTTTTTTTGAGTTCGGTCCAACTTGAAGAATTTGTTCAGGATCGTCCGGACGATAATAATAAAAATCAAGACGAGATTCCGAATGTTTCTCATGCGACCTGTAAATAAAACAATAAAACATTGCATGATCTGTAGGAACCCCCCTCCGCCTATTTTTGGTGGTCCTCCCGTCCCGCTTTCAGCCCGAATAGGACACGGGTGAATTCACCTGACGTCAGTTACTCTCAGGGGCAATTCGGGTGTTGGAGATTTTCAGGGAGCCACTCCCACTCCCACTCCCTCCACTGTCTCCCCCCCCCTTCAACTACGAGGATGCCTGGTCTTCGTGTTCTCGCAGGCCCTTCGCTTGAGGCTCTGGAGCCCATTTCGCATTTGGTGAACACGAATCAACCGTTCAGAATCTCATCAGACATCTTCGACGGCGAGATTCTCGTGAACATCAAAGGTTTTGTGAATTTCCCCGCAGGCGACGTTCGGGAAAGCGAGTACTTCTCCCGCCAGGATCGTCAGGGTATTACTTGGAGTATCCAGGTTCAGGGTGAGCCGCACTTCCCGGGTGTCGCGACGGCTGACCGACGGGTCATGGTAATCCATCCAGGCAGGTTCTTGAAACCTTACTCTGCGAATGACATTTTGTTTGGAAATACCTTTGATAGGCCACTCAACCTCCCTTGGGGATCTGGCGCTGCGTTGAAATTTATGACGTGAGGGATCTTTGGTGGAATATCGCGCTCTTGCCGCTGAAGTTACATATTGTTGTTTGCAGATACGTCGACCCTGTCCTTGAACACGACCTTAGTTCTCAGTCGAAACCATGGGCGTTGTCGCCGCTCATCGCGACGATGCCCCACTTTGTCCACTCACGGTTGGACAGTGAGCTGCAGGTCATAGTCACCCCGCCTTTCCCTACCGAATATCCTTCTATTTCAGATGACACCTCGAATCTCTATCTCACGTCAATATCGAGCTCTCCTTGTTCTTCTACGTCGTCTCTATCTTCTTCCTCGTCTTCTTCATCTTCCGACTCCAGTTCCAAGTATAAGATCGCAAGACGGCGCAAGAAACAAGGGGCTCAGAATTTGGCAACCCTCAAAACCGCATCAGAGCGCCGAGCATTCTTCTCTTCAGAGGAGAATAGACGCATGATTACATTTTCCGATAAGGCGCGATCGTACCGTACCATTCTGCCCCCGCTGAACAGCGTCCTAATTGATCTTAACAGGACGTGATCACGACAGACTTTTGCTATGGATTCCTTGAATTCAATCCGTCACTCGCGTTGCGGCTTCCTGGTGGTATATCTTTCGATCTGATGCGGTATTGGGACGGACAGCCTGTCAGGTTTGTATGCTGTGAGCGCAACGCAGACCGGGACGCCGGCGAGAATCCCTGGGGGAGAATCTTTTGGTGTATTGTGATCGAGCAAGCGGATTGAGTACATCTCGTTGGCATGGAACTTTTAGTCGTGTTTTTTTTGGAATTTGGGACCATTGGTACAGTAATAGTATACGGAAGCCTGCAGTGCGAGGGGACCTCGGGAGACTTTGACATAAATGATTAAGGCAGTACGCGCTTCCAAGGCAAATAAATACCCTCAGAGTAGGCAACAAGATTCGCCTCGCCCGCTTTTGGACGAACTCGTTGCCGGCAATGGCAGTCGCACGTGGCGAATCTCCACGTGGCGAATCTTGGTGCTGTTTCACTCCCGACGAGGGGCCAAATACGTCCAAGTCGTGACAAAGTCTGGTCCGTCTCTGTGTAGCCCAGTATAAAGAGCCCGTCAATCGAATGTCCAACTCACTCGCCATTTTCGCCGGCTGGAAGTGGGCCAGACGCGGTTGCATCGAGCCCGGGACGAAAGTCGCCCATGCAGCACACGGCTGTGCAAAACTGCGACATGAACTAGCGCCTGGAGACGAAATATAGCAGACGTCGCATTAATAATAATCATAGTTCCGTTTTCCGCTTATAGTTTTTATTGTTGTTCTTTTATTCTGCCTTGTATACGGTCTATAGATTACAAACGGTGCCATGACACTACAGCTAGCACGAAGGATTACAAACAAGTGCGATCGGAAATGAAGCCAAAGGACGGCGGCGTCGACGGATTCCTCCCCTACAAGACGTTTCCTGCTGATATTATTTGGGCCGCCATAAATACAACAGCAGATAAGATACAGCACCGGCGGAATATCTAGCTCGATTCATTACATGTATTTCTCTTCGTCCATGTCGTCCAAGGGCCAGTGCGTCGCCATCTCAGCCCGTTCCTTCGCCGACTCGGCCGCCGCCAACGCACCCTCCTTCAGCTGCTTGCTGCGTGTCATGACCTCCTCGTAGCGCTTGGTGGGCACCCAGCCCTCCGGCCCGTAGCCGATCATGTTCCGGAGCGCCTCCATAACCTCGTCCGCTCCACTCTGTACTCCATCCAGCTTCTTCGTCTCGCGTACGTCCTCGGCGTCAAACGCGACTGGACACGGCGCGCCTCCCCCCGTAAGCGCTTCCCAGTTTGCTGTCGCATCCATCAGCGCAACCTTCAGCGCGAGAGTCTCGCCCTCCCACGGCTCACTGGCGTGGTGGAAGAGGCGGCGGCGGAGAACGCCCGCGGGGTCTGTCAACGCCGCGTAATGGAGCTCGTTGTATTTCTCTGTGCTCTTGACGTAGTGGTAATGGACGAGGCGGCGATGGTAGAGTTCCTTCTCTCGGATTTGCTCGGCTTTGTCCAAGTCCTCCAAATTCTCCGGTAGCGAAGGCCGCGTCATAGCTTGCGAGATAGGATCATCGTAGTTCTGGAGGCGTTGGGGTACACCGGCAAGGAGAAATGGGGGTAGGATCGGGGCGTGTTGCCAGTCGAGCAGGCCGACGACTTGCCACTTAGAGTCGGGCGACGTCGAAACGATGATATTGCTCGGGTGGAGGTCGGGATGGCGGATGCAGAAATGACGCAGGGCCGGGTTCCTGGGGACGAGTGACAGCGCGATGAGGAGATAGCGGTCCAGGTTCTCGATGTGATCCGACGGCGGCTGCTCCTGGTACTGGTAACCTTCCCTCCTCACGCGTTCGAACGGCAATAGCGGTTGACCGAAACGCTCCAGATACGTCCGTTCCTTGTGGGCTGCTCGTGCGAGCGTTGCTTCGGCGCTTTTGTCTATAGTTATCAGTTAGTTCAAGGGAGTAATAATTAAAAAAAGGCAGAGAGCGGCGTACATGGTCCCCTATCTACGTCGAGCTGTGATCTCCTACCGTACCACAGAGGCAGTCTTGTATCTGGACCGACGCAGAAACGCGCGTCCTCTAGCGGGATGCCCGCCTCCCCGGCCACCTTCTTCAGGTCTTCTGCGTAGTACAGGCTTCCGCCGGCCGGGAAAGCGATCGACATCATCTTCGACTCGAGTTGCGCAAGTTGGCGCAAGACCGAACTGATTTCCCGTTCCCCTAGGTTGAGCCATACGTCGCTTAACTTGGTGCCCTGGACAAATTCCATGAAGATATACTCTGTCCCCGCCGCGTTGTCCGACGTAGGCGAGTATCCGTATACCTCAGGTATAGGCAGCCCAGAGGAACGGAGTAAGGCCATAGTGGCCACTTCACTAGCGATGGCGTAGTACTTGGGGACCATAATCGGGTATGGGATACGCGCCACCATTTGGAAGTCACCGTGCATGGTGATGAGGAAGGTACGGTTGAACCCTCCCTCGGCGAGTTTCGCCAAGTCGACGATATCGTCGAGACTCCGACCGACGGACTCGGCTGCGAGTCGACATAACCCGTCGACGTTGAAGACGCGTCTGCGCTCTGCGAGGCGAAGAGCATCGTTGATGCTGGAACATGGTCGAATACGGCCGTGAGATGGCATATCCGCCGTAGAATGACATGTTACGAGACTTACATCCACCGCCCTGACGTGTAGTCGAATAGGTTGCTATGAGAATGCGCTATGGTCGAGAATGCGCGCTGTGGTGGCCAACGGGTGGGAGTGGTGATGGAGTTGGAGAAGGAAAAGTTACATAGCGAACGCAGTGAGGAGCGAGGACGGCGCAAAGACGGCGAGAGTGGAACTGCCAGTGAGTTGAAGACGGGGGGATCAAATATAAGAAACCAGCCGGCACGGGGTCTAAAAGGAGAGAGAGGCTGCATAGCTTTGTTTTAGCGACCCCCACTAGACCTCCAGCCTCGCACAGCACTAAGATGAATTAATTCCTTCTGAAAGCGAATGTTCCTCGCGATTTGCTCTCATGTAGACGCTCAAGAACGCGGCGAGCGGGGGTGACTATGGTGGGAAGGAGAGCAAGAGGGCCCGTCGACGCTAGCCGCGTATGCTCCGCCGATGTCTCAGCTTCTACTTAACAAATATCCAGAGACAGAGATCAAATTCAAATCGAGGCAGATACAATCGAGATACACAGATCAACATAACTTCCGGAAGACGTCTGACAAAACGACAAGTACGGCGTAGAATCTGGGGGTTAAGGGAGAGGAAGACGTCTAGGCACCCCGAACCTTGCCAGTGGCCTCCTCCAGGCTCGCCTTGACATCCTTCTTAGTGCCGCCGTTGTTCTTTCCTCCAGTTCCTGATGGACGAGGGTACGTCGTCCCCCAGCGTTGGCTTGCATCTAAAACTTGTGGTAGACGATGCCCTCGATGTTGATTTCTTCGTCATAGTCAAAACGGACGCCGAGCCGTTGCTGGTCGGCCGGCTTCTAGGGGGAAAGCCGTCGTGCCCTGGGCGACGGTGGGGTTGGCGAGCTTCTCCCAAGCGTTACCTTCGAGGGCGCTGGTGACCCACAAGTTTCATGGCTCTCTGCATCTTATCTTCGGTCAACGTTAGCCAACATTGTCTCAAGGCCGGTGCGGAAGCGTAGATCCATACGGCAGGGCGTACCTTTTCGCAGTAGAAAAACGACAACCTAGATGCCCTCAGCGTTAGCCAACATTGTTTCGAGATCGGTACGGAATCGTGAATACGTACGGGGAGGGTAGATTGAGTACTCCTTGGAGTTGGATTGTACCCTCCTCCTTGAAAGGAGGAGCTTTTATAGCTCAGCGGACAAGCCACACTCTCGCGGTGGAGTTAGTCCTGGCCCTGAGATCTGCAATCAGTCGTGTCGGGGCCACGCTGCACGAAGATGTCGTCCTGTTCAGTCGCAGGCATGTGAGCAGATGCGGTGCAGGGAGGCCACGCCCTCGAAGGCGAAATGTTTTAGTACAAGATTCACGACATCCGACGTGCTGTCGTGCCACTCTGCCGACCGCCATGAGGCTCGTATGTCTACCTTTGTCGGTTACGCACCGCTATTCCGAACGAGTAGCACTTGATTTAGGCATAGGGGAAATAGCTTGAGAAGCTCGTAGCGATCAATTGAAGCCATCTACGAAATAGAAGAGTAGAAGAAGAAATCTATCTAAGGGTACACCGTGACAGTTCCCAAGTACATTCTATAACTACTGATAATAACATTTAAATTTATGCGCCCCTCGTCAAGTCCAAGAGAGCTGTTGTAGTCGATATGATTGTCCCGATACATGATCCATGAGGAGTAGTAAGCAGCTGCGCAATCCTATGCAGAAAAATACGGAGTGAGAATCCCAGTCTTGATCTGGACATAGGGTTCCTCGGTTTTCATGGACCGGACATCATTCATGAGAAAACCTGCAATCGAAGCTTGATCGAGGGAAAGATCATTTGATCTGTGAGAACTTTCAAGGGAAAGTCGGCCTCTCGAGTCGGCACCTAGATCTATGGCAGACGCCGAGCAGACCGGACGTGCGTGTGAGAGTGCACCCTCAGATCAGCATGTAAATGGCGTCGTAGACCAAGTCTGGGCCACAGAAAGCCTATCGAGTGACTTGTGGCGGTTATATTCGCTACGATGCCAGTGAAACAGCCAGCCGGTGTCACGCGGTAGTTATAGGGGAAACCAGAACACTGCCAGTAGAGTTTCTGGTGAACATGGCTATCAATGTGTACCATCTGAGTAGGTCTAGTTCTCATTCTCTTCTTCGACCAAGGGATAATTCACCTGGGCAGCCTGACTACTGTCACTGCAAGGGCGCTACTGGACACACCACACTGTGATAGCGAATTGACTTCACGTGACGCATGCATCATTAAATATTAATATGGTTAAGAGTCATGCGTGCATTGAGAAAGGACTGCAGCAAGCAGGAATGAGGCAGCCTGAGCAGGGGGTACAAGGTAAGCAAAAAGGGAAAGTTGATACGGCCTCAAACAGCAGGCTGTGGTGGAATGTTGCTGAAGAGTCGGCTGAATTTGGGCTCAAGGTCAAGGCGGCTGGGGATTCTTAGAATTATAAGTATAATAAAAACAAGTTGCTTTTAAGCAAGTGGCCAAGTTGTCGGCAGAAAGATGCCGATGGTGCCGGTAGCTGTATTTTCCACTGACATGAATCAATGTCCCTTCCTCTCCTACCACCACCATCTTGTCGCTTTCTGCTGTCAATACCGCTGCTACGCGCTCTTATTCTGTATTGTTGAGAAACGTGTCCTCTTACTTGCTACACATAAAGGCTCTTTTTCATGTTCGAGTCTTTTTGCCGACAAATTGGACTGTAAGATTCTTAGTTGAGATATGACTGCAGCGCGGGTTGGATATATGCGCTATGTTTTGACTCTTACAGCATAGATTCATGCTTGCGATTTCGTCTGTGAAGATGATTGGATAAAGGTGCGTAACACTACCCTGTTGTTGATCATGGATACTCATTCATAACGAGGGCAGTCCATACTCCGCCGTCTGAATAGCAGTTACATTCTGTACTTCTGTGTGTACCAGGGGTCTGATCACATTGTCATTCCGCCGGCTTCTATCTCGTACAATGCTAATACGTACACTATAGGGCCGTTTGTAGAACGTAATGGACCGAACCCAATAGAACCAAATGGAAGCCAAAGATTTTGGTACACACAGCTTGAAAACGGTTCACGCTAATACGGCGAGGTAACTCAACTGACTTTTCACGGGGATACAGCCTATTTGGGCCAATGGTTCGATATTTGTAGAAATGGGAACCGTAACACGTGTATGTCAAACACAGGGGATCCCAATTAGTTCAACAAGGGCCGGCTTAAACTTGAGTGACGGTGTCGTTCCGCGCAGGCCGTCATCGATCGCGCCCATTCTGGTCCGGGTCATGTGTTCGCGTCTACTAGCTTCTCAAGTTGCGAGTTCTGTGTTGAAACGCCCCAGGATTTTCCTTTTTTCCATAAAATTTCTCTCCTTCCTTCGCCGGAAGAGCAAGCGTCCCGGGAAAAGCTTTGACAGTTACAATGCAGGATAGACTTTATGCCGATGGGCGCGACAGGTGCTGTTCCTAGCCCCTTCCCACGATGTGCGGTTGACGGGTTTTTCACATTTGTGCTTGGACGGAGCCTGCTTCAGGAAGCAGTGATAGGCGAGCAATGAAGGGCAATGAGCAATGGCCATCTTATCGACGGGCGCCACGAGTCTTTTAATTATCCGGAGGGATCCCATTAGATCCCATTCTAGCCCCCTCTCTTCCGCTCCCCACAGACGGTGCTTCCTGCCTCCTAACTATCCATCTTTTGCAAGTTTTGTTGCAGGATCACCGATTGACAGGACAGTCGGGGAGATAATCGCAGATGCTGCGGAACACCAAGTGGTTGGTCCTACACTTTGCTGGGCTGTCCTTGGCATGAGGCATGCTAATAATCCACTGCCTTGTTTCTTTTTTGCCCAAGATAACTCGTAGAAGAATCCTTTTTCCTTCATGTGAGCGATGCGTCATGCCAGTGATCAGCCGAGACAATGACATATTGGCCAACGCTATATATAGACAAATACAAAAGCATTCCATCTGTTTTGCTTCCTCTTCCTCCTCCCACCACCATGAGCGACATCTCCTCTTCGGCGTCGGCGTCGACGAAGACGTTCGTCACCGCGCTCGTCTTCAACGCGGCCGTCTTCGGTATCGAGCTCGCTGCGTTCACCGTCCTACGACCCCATTTCAAGGCTATTTACGAACCCCGCACCTATGTTCCACCCCCGTCCAAGAGGATTCATCCTCTGTCAAAAAACGTGTTCCTGTGGCCAGTCGCAGTCTTCAGGGCAGACTACAACGACATTATTAAAGCGAACGGCATGGATGCCTACTTTTTCGTTCGCTTCCTTCGTATGATGGTCAAGATTTTCTTGCCTATATGGTTCCTCTCCTGGGCGATCCTGCTTCCTGTCACGAGCGTGAAAACTCGGGTGGGCAACAACGAGAAGCTGGACATATTCGTGTTTGGGAATGTGGCCACCAATAAGCAGCATCGGTATGCTGCACATTTAATCCTGGCTTGGTTGTTCACAGGTGCGTCACATGTTCATTCAGTCTGTCCATCGTATATCTTTTCTCATAGGCTGGGTGCTTTACAATGTCAAGATCGAAATGCGCAATTTCATCATTAAGCGACAACAGTTCCTCATCAATCCCGTACACTCCAAGTCTGTCCAAGCGAACACCATCCTCGTCACCGGCATACCCGCCAAGTATTTGTCGCGGGACGCGTTAATGAAAATATTCGGCGACCTACCTGGTGGCGTTAAGCGCATCTTCATAAACCGAAACCTCAAGGAGCTTCCTGACATCTACGATCGTCGCCTCGATGCATGCAACACGCTCGAATCAGCCGAGAACAAGCTGCTCTCTATCGCTACCAAATTGGACAAATCTTCTTCGGAAGAGACGGCCGCCTCTGTTCCCCAAAAGGAACGCCCCATACACAGGCTTGGATTCCTTGGTTTGTTTGGAAAGAAGGTGGACTCCATTGATTGGGCTAGAGAGGAGATTCAGAAGTGTACTCAGCTGCTCGATGAGGGCAGGGCGAAACTCGATGACCCTTCTGACACGACGTATCCTCCACTCAACAGCGCGTTCATCATGTTCAACAGGCAGATCGCAGCACATTTGGGGATGCAAGTCCTTCTTCACCACGAGCCTTACCGGATGAGTGCTCGCTATACCGAAATTGCACCTGACGACGTTATCTGGGCTAACCTCGGAATGAACCCATACGAAATGAAGGTACGTTTCACTTCGTCGCTACGAAATGTATTACAACTAAGGCGACATTCTAGGTTCGGCTTGTAATCAGCTATTCTCTTACTGCGGCTCTTATCATTTTTTGGGCCATCCCTGTGGCTTTCGTCGGTATCGTCTCCAATGTTTACACGCTATGTAGTACAGCGAGCTGGCTTGCATGGATATGTACATTGCCTGATCCGGTCTTGGGTATCATTTCGGTAAGCCATCTTCCTTCTTGCAAGAGACATGAATGTTCATTGTTCTGGTTGCTAGGGTATCCTTCCTCCCGTCGCCCTCGCAGTTCTGATGTTGCTCCTTCCCATTGTTCTTCGTCTCCTGGCGCGTTTCGAGGGTATTCCGAAGAAGACAGGCCTGGAACTCAGTCTCATGACACGTTATTTCATCTTCCAAGTCATTGTGAGTCATTCGTTGTTGTAGGGCGCAGACAGGTCACTAACGCCACCACAGCATTCATTCCTTATCGTTACCTTGTCCGCAGGTATCATTGCGTCTTTGAACGGCCTTATCAACAACCCGACATCCATTCCCACCTTGCTTGCTCAAAACTTGCCAACATCTTCCACTTTCTTCTTGACGTGAGTTACAACTTATTACAGTCCTAGATGAATAAATCTGACCTATTTTTGCACAGGTATGTGATCCTGCAAGGTCTCTCTGGAACAGCATCCGGATTTTTGCAAATCGTTCCACTAGCTATCTATTACGTGAAGCTCTACCTTCTTGGAAGTACGCCTCGAAGCATTTGGGGGATCAAGTACGGTACCCGCGACGTTGCCTGGGGCACTGTTTTCCCAGGTATTACGTTGTTGACTACCATTAGTGAGTACAGACAATGATGTCTGAAGGCATTGCTGATCTGCGACTCTAGCTCTTGGATACTCCATTATTTCTCCCATTATCAATGGTCTGGCCTGTGCAACTTTCTTCTTGTTCTATCAGCTGTACAAGTATCTCTTCTTGTGGCAGTTCCAGCAGCCCGACGATACCGGAGGTCTGTTCTTCCCGAAGGCTATGCAACACATCTTCGTCGGTTTATACGTTGAAGAGGTACGTCAACTTCTCTTCTCTTCTCCCGCAAGCGATCTGAATGGATCCATTATGGTCACACAGGTCTGTTTATGCGCGCTCTTTTTCCTTGCTCGGGACCAGAATGGCAATACAAGTGCAGTAGCAGAAGGTGCCTTGATGGTTGTATTGATTATTTTCACTGTGAGTCGTATGTGTCGAAAGGTCATTGCGGCTTGAGCTCATGGGATGATGCAGGTCTTCTTCCACATCATCATCAATAACTCTTATGATCCGTTAATCCACGCTCTCCCTCTCAGTCTGGTGGAGAAGATGGATACCACGCAGGCCGATGCGGAAGCAGAGGAGTTGCCTAATCGCACTGGATCAGAGACGCGTCTAGCGCCTAATGCTTCCCAGCTGGATAAGCCTGAGTCAACAGAGCGGCCCGAGGAGAAGGTCGTCTCTTCGAGTTCAGACGGTGATAGCGAAGGCTCACATGATAGCGGAGGTGGCGGTGTCCCGAAGGAATATGACTTTATGGCGGCGAAGAATATGAAGGAGCGACAAGAAGAGGAAGATAGCTATGGGTTCGCGCATCCTGCGGCTTCGAGACCGCAAAGGATCGTGTGGCTTCCTTTGGCTCACGGTCCTGTTGGGGAGCTGTCCAAGTCTGAGGCGAAGGAATGTCTGGATCATGGGGTTCTGGTGAGTTTGGTCGATGCTAAGATGAACGAGAAGGGTAAGGTGGATATTACGGGCCCGCCGCCTGATTTGGTGAGGGAGGAGTGAGGGAGGATGTCTCTTATGATGATATATGACTGTGGTACGACGACGATTGTTTTTTTCTATACCCTTACCTGTACTAGTCCTACTATTCCGCCTTTCTTTCCGAGTCCCAGTGTAAAAGGTTACGTTCGGAGGAACAGTATGCAAGTCGTATTATTGATACCTTTTTATCTTCAGTATTGGATTTGGGCACTGGTATTTGGTGGTGTTGCTAGCTCACGATATTATCGAAGGCATACATGACATCCTCTGCGATGAAAAAAATCAATCTCTTGGTCCCTCTTGAGCATCACTGAACCTCGCAGCGGGTAGCTACTGGTTTCGAGCTTGACGTGACGCATTGATGTTTAGGTCCTGCACTCGCAACCCTGATGATCTGCTCCAAGGTCAGGAGGGTCAGGATTTGAATAGCCCCCACGGTCACGATGAGTTGGGACCGGACCGTCTGATGTTCTTCGCATTATCGCGTCGCTCCCCCCCTCCCAGCTTCTTTTAATGACTCGGCGCATCAAGAAGCGAGCGCACGTTCAGCGTTTGAATACCATCGAGAATGGATGGGCTGTATGAATGATGGAAGACGCTCAACAAGTATCTATCAGCAAGGAAGGAATTTTTTAATCGAATGAGTATTCATTCACTTTGGGACTTGGTGAGGTCTTCGGGTCTGCTCTTCATCTTAGATAGGAATAATACGCACCGTATCAGTATCAGTATCAGATACGTACGGTCGATACGAATACGGGTGGGGTCCGTAACCATGACCATCTTTGATGACTCTACAATATACGACGGCCGTATTCATACGGATGTTTGAAATATGGTCATCGAGGGAATGGTTGGGGCAAGGTGATGTCATTGAAGTAAGCATATATAATCTCAATCAGGCAAGGTAGAACTCGCATTTTGAGCCCGGGACATTTGTCGTCATCGTCAAATTGTCCGCATACGGGTGACGGTACGGAACTGACATCGTGGACAAGAATTTTGGCCGTATCCATAACGGTATGGTGCTACCGGCGGCGAAGTCGGAGTCATATATTTTCTTGTTCCAATTTTCCGTGACGACCGAATGCTCTGACATCGAAAAAAATAGTGAATCCAAAAGAATCGTTGTCAATGGAAAATATTACATCCCAACGTAATTCACTTATGGTGGTCCATTTCTCCCATGGCTATCTCTTCATGGCGGCTATCGCAGCATGAAACCAGTAACACAGACTCAGAATCTCCGCCAGGATCTGTAATTTGATACAGCCGATTTTGTCAGTACGTTATATATCCTGGAATGATATCCAGTTACCTCGACAATTATGGCTACAATGCGGACAACCACCGGATTCATCTAAGCAACCGAATCAGGCAGCTGGTCGTTATTCACACAAGCCATTTCCGTACCGCTTTGACTTTTACAGAAGGTACCAGCGGTGAAATGGAATAGGGACCACGCCGCAGAGACCATGGCGAACGTAGCCACAAAAACACTAGATATGGCTGACGCTGTAGACTTTCGGCGGAACACTGGTCGAAGATATGATACAGAGGGTACCCTGACATCGAGAGGTCCAAATCGGAGTGCATCTTGGTAGTAATAGTTGAAGTCACTTGCGGAACGTCCTATCCGACTTGTATTGGCATATGAATTATTCACAATGAACGATGTAGACGCTGCGAGCACAGGATAAGGCGGGGGGGTACTGTTGGGCGCGATGAAAGACTGGAAGAGAGGCACCGCCGATATGCTCTCATCGAACATACTTGATGATGTCAATATCTGATTCGGGCGAATCACACCGAGATCGAGTCGAATGGTGTGATAGATGGCTTGGAATGCATTCTGGAGCACAAGTTGAACGTTTGAAGGTACTTCGAGTTCTTCATTTGGTGGCAGGATGCTGGCACCAGACGTGATATCCACGGGGCCTACAAATAATTTATGTCAGTTCTCGGCGTCCACCCCGATGCGGTGTCTAACCAAAAAAAGTGCCTTGTCCATAGTACACGGCTGTCCAGTCTGCCCTGAACTTTGCCACATCACCGTCACAAAGAGGGTGGTCAGTCAGCATCGGCGCTTGTGATAGTGTTTCAACGTTTGGTTCTCCGTACCAACCCTCGCCACCGCAAACGCAACAAGGAAATACTGAAATGTCGATGCCGGTGACAGTCTGATTGCTAGTAGGTCCTGAATCCCCATTGTCAGTGGTCAGCGTGACACTAGGAATCATTGGCTTAGGAGCATAAAGAACAGAAGGTAAACGAACTTTTCTGAATCCCACCCGTATTCCTAAGAGTATTGCATGAGTTGTGCACGATGGCGTGCAAAATTGTCACATTTACCGCATCTGTGAGCAAACCATCTAGGTCGAGCACAGCATTCAGAATCTGGAATGTACGATCTTGCATCGATGCGTGATTCAGACTTAGAGTCATCTCGTAGTACGCAGGTAACCAACAAGAGATAACTGCCTATAAGAAAAATTAATTTATTGGTCAGCCAAAATGTGAATGTAATATAAACGTACAGACAACGAGACCCGCTCCTCCTTTCGTAAGGACAACGAAATATTCGACTGGGAGGGTCAGATAAATGACTATACTAATCCAATGGACTTACAACATCACACGATGATAAGGGATTATTATAATAAGGGAACGAGCCAACAGGATCGTATGAGGCGCTATCCTTAAACGCCTCCGTAATCACATAGTTAAAGGCAGAGAGATTGCTTTGAATAGTATCGCCGACTTTGAATGTCTGTGGTGTAAAATCCCCGGCTGTGTGTCTAAGGGATGCAGGAACGACGCTGCTGAAGGGAAGTGATGGGGAAGTATCGTTTGGAGTGTATGTAAATTCCTGGACAACGTCGTATGCCGATAAAGGAACTAGAAAACGGCGTTCAGAGTCTGTATTGCTGAAAGAAAGTCGGCTTACTGTTGATGAAGACCAGCAGTATTGTTAATCCCACAAAAGAGATACACACGAGTGGTGTTGTACCTCTCCATGGATAAGCTAAGAAATTGGTTAGTATGCATTAAATTGAGGAAGTACGCCTCACGTTTCTGAATATTATAGCCAAGTTGGAAGTTTTTGGCAGCCGATGTTATTTGACTCCGCCACGACATCGTAGAGAACGGGTAAAAGGCAGGTTTAGCACGTTCGGATAACGAATACTTATCCTGATGACTACCCACCATCACGCATCACGATTAGCGTGGTGTTATGCTGATGGTGATTACCGCTGTAATCCAGACTCGAACCAGTCCCCCAGCAACTTGATGATAATCATCAACCTTCAAAGGGAATAGTTGCAACCGAGTGGACCGGCACAGGTGTGTCGGCAGCCACAGAGGTGCTTGGGGAAGTAGAGACACCATGCTGATGACTGCCTACCAAAACGATTAGCGTGGTGTTATGACGATGGTAATTATCGTTGTAATCTCGAACCAGTCCCCCAGCAACTTGATGACTATCATCGGATCAGTTCCATCAACGTTCCACAGCTCTGCTCTCTTAAAACAGGAACTGAATTCTCAAAATGTTTTTCCGGTTTGAAACATGTTGCAAGTTACTGATCACTACCTATTTGATTCCACAAACCTTTTATGGCCACCTTTTCCTTTCCCCAGCTTTTCATTCACTATCTCTCTTATGATGGTGACAATTCCTTTTACTTTTGCTACCATACTCTGCTACATTCATGATTAAGGGACTGTTTTCTGGATAGCAAAAGGTATTGATGGAAGAATATAAGTAATGATCTCAGTCGGGCACAGCATAGGCAAAAACAACTGAGGTATATGGGTATCTACAGCCAGGCTATATAGATGATCAAGTAATGACAGGGGGTGTATATATAGTAAGTAAGAACAATTGATGATCAAAGGGGAATGGGTGATGATCGAGAAGGTAAAGATAAGGGTATACATATGGATATCCTTGGTGCAAATACTCTTGCTACAATGGCAGACTATATCTATCAGTCACAACTCTTTATCCCTCTTCATAAAATCCTTATAGCCTATCTCATTATTCTCATCATACTTTTATATCAAAACTAGACTCAGACTCAGAATCTAGAATCAGACCCTAATAGAAGCAGTGCTAGAGATTTGTGAGTGTTAGTGAAAGCCTAACAATTAGCTCAAGACTTCACATGCTCTGGTCTAATGGCACTTTGCCTAGGACTAGCATATGAAACTCATGCTCAGAAACATTGTCACCACCTCTATTGCAGGCACTTGCCTGTTCATCACAGTAACAGGAATTATTGAATATCATATTATGTGGTTACCAAGAGAACAAAGAAGAAGAAGGAGAGAACTGGAGGAGTGGCAGAATTGGCAAAGAGTGGATTTTCTTTGTCAAGCCCTTCAACCAGCATGCCATACACTTCTGAGTCAGGAGAGCATCATCATCTGGTCATTGGCCTCAGAACCCACAGACACCAGCAGCATAAATTATATTGTCTAATCTCTAAGACCTAAAAGTGTATAAAGTGGAAGAGGAGGAGTTGAACCCTCCTCTTGTTATCTGACTGGCTATCTCTGATGGAGGAGAGTTGGTATGAGGAGATGACAGCCATATAAGCTGATCTCCAATCAGAGATGTGGCCACTTTCACTGCTGACTATCACCAAGAGCATATATCAGAAGCTCTATCCAGACTCTACTCTAAGCAGGCAGATAAGTCCAGCCTTGTGGTCAGCCCACTCTGAAGCCCTTTGATCTAAGAGCAGGACATCAGTCAGATCATCCTCAGAGTTAATGCATACAGCCTTGGAGGGAGTGAGCCCCAGTCTGCTGAATCAGAAATAGTGGACCCATATGAGCTGGGTAGAGGATATGAATATATCCTCAACTGGCAAATCTGCATGACAGAAAAATCTGCCTAGATACTATTGGTAGCTCAAACAGCAGCAGACAGTAGACACCTGCTAGTTAGATATCAGCAAAAGACCTCAATACTTTGCACTGCCAGAATACACCAGAGAGCTAGTAGACAGAGTATGGCAGAGACTAGAGTAGCTGAAGTAGTATAGAATGCTAAAGAGTGCTGGGAGCCCCCATTTCCTTCTCTTTACCATATGCTTAAATGACCACCATCAGCAGAAAGTAGCCTAAGCAGTTGGAGAAGCTGAAATCCTTTCTGGTGAACCCCTCAATAAGCTTCAGCTACACTCATCTGTCTATTTGCTAGAGCAAGGCCTGAAGATGTCAGACTCTCAGCTCTATCAGCACTCTCTGGCAAAGAAAAAGAGAGAAAAGAGCCAGCAGTACTATTTTCTCACTCTCTGAAGAACTGTCAGACTATCCTCAGTATGACTGGAGACTACAGTCCTTGTCTAAGCCCAAAAAACCAGCGCTACCACCAATGCCACCACTACTGCCACCTGACATTCTGCCCTCATGAGAGCCCAAAACTATAGAGCCCTGAAGAAATTTAAAGCTGACTATAGCCTATGAGTGAGTACCATTCAAAGAAGAAAGCCTGAACTTGAAACACTTTTTCCAACAATATGAGGCTTATTTCAAGGTGTATAGCATCTACTTCTCCATGAGCTCCACTGGATTCAGCCCTCACCAAGTAATATTCTGTATAATTTGATTTGAAGATGCTGTATAAGAATAGTAGAGCCTATAAGAACAGTACTTTTATGACTCAACTATAGAATGATGGAGGTATCTCTTCTATTCATGATTCAAAGAAGCTATATAATGATAATTCAAGCTAGATGTAGAACAAAAGTTTTGTGTAGCCAAGTGGCAGATCTTATGACAGGCCAACTTCACTGATGCCAAGAAATTCTTTCAAGAATTTAAAGAGTTAGCATATCAGGCTGAGAAGATGGATGATCATAAAGCCATGTTGGAGCAGATTGAGAATGCAGTCTGACTTAATCTCCACAACACTATTGTCTATAGGGACAATAATTTTTCCTCCACTTATAATGAGTAGAAAAGAAGGATTCTGTGGATAGACTACAATTATCAAGTCAGCACTCTTGGTTATAGAAAAGTGAAAGTCACTACAAGTGGAGGAAAGGCTGTTGCCAGTGGGTCAGTTCCAAAAGGAATGACTATGAGTAACAAGAGGACAGAGACTGAAACTGTGTATGGTGGTCAGAGGCAGTTGATGGATATTGATGCACTCTGAAGAAAAGGAAAGTGCTTCAATTGTAGAGAGAAGGAGCACTTATCTCATGCCTGCCCAAAACCCTGCAAGCCTTGGCTTCAAAGATCTGTCTCATGCAATATTTAGAAAATGAAATTCTCAGATAAAGAATGGAAGCAGCTAAGTCAAATGTATCAAGAAGAAATGGCTGGACAAAAAGCCTAGAAGAAACTGGACTGGACCATTAAGGAGGAGAAGTGGAAGGAGAGAGGAACTGAATCTCAGGAGGATTTTGGCAAGTAACCTCTCAATGTATACATAGGCAGGTTTCCAACATTTTTTGACTAAAGCAGATGATACTAAAATAGTGCATTCCAAACCAGACATTATATCTACCAGTACTAGGACATTCTCTGTAGGAACCAGTAATAAATATTTGCTGCTCAAAAAGAAAAAAAAAGTATGCAAAAAGACTCAAATGCTCTTAAGAGCCAAATCAGGCAAGCAGTGCTCTATAAGGTGCATTTTATTATTCCACCAAAAACTGAAGAAAAAGCACAGGAGAAAGCAGAATCTAAATCACATATATTGCTACCAAAACCAAGGATGAAATCAGCCATTCAGTGCAGAGCCCCTATAGAGAAGTCTCAGTCTGAGCAGGCAATAGAGTATCCAAGGAAAGAGCATCCTGAACCAAAGATAGTAACAGGATGGAGAAAGCCAGACACAGCTGCCTGGATACTATAAGCCATAAAAGAATCTCCAAACCTAGTAGCCTTAGTCATGCTGAAAGGATGGATACATCCAAAATAGCAGGCTGAAGCTGATCAGAATCTAATCAATATACTCTAAAGTATAAGAGAAAATGAAGCACTATAGATGCTAGAAGAAATATGACAAGAGAAAAAATACATACAGAGAGGAAAGGGCAGAGATGAAACTATCTTCTAAATCTAACTAGAGATACTGGACACCCATCAAGTGGTGAGCACTGAGGCCTTATTAGACAGTGAGTATATGAGAAGTTCCATAGATAAAGACTTTGTCCAATGAAACAGGTTCAATACTCAAAAAATTCCCAGATCCATTCCAGTGTATAATGCAGATGGAACTCTCAATAATGGAGGGTTCATATTAGAGTACTGTGAACTACAAATAGCCACTGGAAATGGGCATATTGAGCAAATAGACTTTGCTATAACCTATCTCCACAATCAAGAAGTGTT